GAGATTGGACAAGAGCACAATAAACAGCAACGCATATTTGAAGTCTGCGCCGGCCGCAACATCCGTGGCGTAGTTCCCGGGGTCGATATAGGCAACAGCAATCAAAAACCCGGGTCCGAGGAAGCGGCCGAACTTGGCCACACTGCGGGCGCAGTGCAGCGCAGAATCTGAGAGAAAGGTTCCAAAGGGACGGCGAGGTGGTGACCCGCTGGGCCTCGAGGGTGGTTGTTGACCCCCCGAGGCAGCAGCAGTGACCACTTCGCCGTCGCGGACCTTCTCGATGGCGGGGTCTTCATCCTGTATGTGTGGCCGTGGATCTATCGCCATTGTGTCCTCGCCCGTTGTGCTGCCTGTGCTCGCTGCATACTTGCGGTGGACTCGGGAATTGGCGATGCCATTGAAGTCCTGGCGTGTGGTGGTGTCCGGGCTCAGGGACGGGGGGCTCTGGTTCCAGCCGGGATGGTCGAGGGTCTCGTCGGTCCGCGAGGGGCAGTTCATACCGGGCGTGGGAGGGATATTCTTTTCTCAGAAACGAGGATCCGGGTGGTATTAAAGTTCCTGGCTATCAGGCCATGATCATTTCGTCAGAACACAAGAACCCTGCGGGCGACCGAGGGAGTCCGACTCTGCCCGAATAATTCGGTGATGCTGAACTAACGCGGCGGGTCTGTTCCAGACCAGTCGAGCAACTGACGTATATCGGTACGTAACCAGAAACAAAACTTTCTCAACACGAATGTTGCCTGGGTACTAGCTGGACTTGTTGTTGTACATCACTGGTCCCTGAACGGCTGTTGCTGCCGCCGGAATGACGAGGTCGCAAACGGCCAGCAATGGCCGGATCGTCGTCCCATTGGATCCGGAGCATTTGAAGTCGCGCACGCGCTGTGTACTCACGCGAGCAGATCAGGAGATCTAGCTCGGGGAAATGGTTTGGGGTGGAATGGGGACACAACGGGTGTATCTCGGAGGGCTGCAGGGCGTGGTAGGTGAGACAGCGATCGGAGCCAGCACAATGAGGTAGTTAGTTCGGGATACCTCCTGACTATTGTTCTACCCCACTGGAGAATCAACATGAGCAATAGTCTGTAGGGATTATTGTCATTATATATGTAACTATTGAATTCCATGGTGGATATGATGGTGCTGAGAGTGGTTGTCTGGTTGAGATATATTTCTGTAGTATACAGACAAATTGGACCAACACAACACAATACTAACCCGCAGAACACCAAGTAAACAACCGCGAAAGTACTAGATAACATCCAAGAAAAATAATAATTCCCATCCCCGACGAATGAATAGTGCCCTGAACTTCATCCTCTACACTCACCGCCATCGCCCGTTGCCGTCGCAACCGCCGCCTCACGGTGTTTGGATCGCCAGCCAACCCCAAGGATCGCTAGGCTGCCCGGGTGGATCTCCGAGATGACCGTTGCTGTTGGCAGCCCTTAGTAGTACTCCTCTTCATACATATCTCCGGCCCATCCGCCATTATTCTGTTGTTCTGTTTTTCTCCCCACTCTGCATTATTGGCTTTCGGTTCCAGCATTGTCGTGTTTACTCACTTTTCTTTTTTCCTTCGCAGCTGCCCTCGACAAGCTGCCTCCGCAAGGCATCTTGTCTTGTTTTTTGTTTGCTACAAATCCCGTGAGTTCAACATCACTGTGTCTGCTCAGCCTGACAACAACAACAGCTGACACTATTTCCAGGTGCTGGTCAGCGGTAGATAGCAATGGCCCCCAGTGACAATGCCGGTCCCCAGATCTTCGACGATGCCAGTCGTGCGCCCAATAGATCGTCCATGTTTCGCGCCATCATGAAACCACACAAGAGGAACCAGTCCGCGGATGACGCGATTCCCTCACGCCCGCTGCACCGCAGCAAGCCCTCGGGCACGATCCCTCTGCCCTTCGGAGAAGAGGTCACTCTGGCCCCCGGTCAGCTGCCGCTGGGTGAGATAGCTCCTAACCGCGATGCGGGTGACAGTGCCTTGCCAACCCCCAAGTCAGGCAAAGAGGCCAAGGGCCCTGGACACAAGAAGACAAAGAGTGCGGTTTCCTTGAAGTCTCTCAGAAACTACATGGAGAGAAAAGAAAGTAAATCGGAGGAACCGGGCGACGAGGGGCCGGGAGAGCTCAAGCCCAAGAAGACCAAATCATCCACCAGTCTTTCCGCTATGCTGAAGCGGTCCCAGCGTGGACGCAAGGCGGACGGCTCGAAGCAGAGCCGTGACAAGGAGAATCGCAGCCCAATCGATTTGGTCGATAACATGCCCTCCCCAATCTGGGCACAGGAGTCCACGCCGGCCAGCCGGTCGTCGTCCCAACAGCCGACGCCGCAAGTGCGACGCAGTGTGGCCGAGGAGATGTCTCTCTACACGCCCAAGGGCTATAGTCCCGCCCAGCAGCGGAACTTTTACGACTACCATCAGCCGTCACTTGCCAGGGTGCCTGATGCAAAGCCTAGACCCAAGTCGGATAACTTGTCCGGGAACCTTAAGGTCAAGGACTTTCTCGGCTCTCTGCAGCGTGGTCCTTCGGGGGAAACCGATGTTTCTAACAACTCGAAGGGACACGGGTCTGACAAGGCCACTGCAAGGGAGGACTCCAATCCCAAGCGGCTTTCTCGTGTTCAGGCTGCTATCTCCGCGTTCAATGCGAAGGAGAAGGATACTGATGTGCACAACCACCTAAACTCAAAGGATCTTGAGAGCGAGTTTGAGAAACTACTAGTTTGTCGACCTTTACGCGCGTGAAGTTGTGTTATACTTGTGCTAACTTCAAACTAGGATGCGAGGAATATCCCTCACAACATGAGGGACAAGATGCGATCCCTTGACACCAATATCAAGGCCGACTTCATCCAAAAGGATCGCACAGAAAGTATTACGCCTCACAGCGCCGGCGGCACGGCTGAGGGCCGGCGGGGCCGGGGAAGCGAGTCCAAGGAGAAGGAATCTCAGGACCGCAAGAGCTCACGCTCACGATCCAGGAGCCGCGGCTTCAACTTTGGCAAAGGTTCTTCGTCGCCTACCAAGAAACCTCGACCGGAGAGCGGAAGTTTCCTTCACCGTCCCAGATCGGTAGATCTCTCTCAGCCCGTGGGTGTGTATACGACTCTTACGCCTGCTGCATCGACCACTTCTCTCTCCCAGGCCGCAGCGGTGGACACTGCAGCAGACCCGTCCGACTTTGTGCACTATCTACGAGAGATCCAGAAACCGGAAATGATTGAAATAGGGAAGATCCATAAACTACGTCTTCTTCTGCGCAATGAGACTGTCAGCTGGGTCGACAGCTTCATAGCAGAGGGAGGAATGCATGAGATCGTACAGCTTCTCTACCGCATTATGAAAGTGGAATGGCGGTATGAGCCCTTAATTTTTATGATTATCGCCGGTGACTAATTCATCTTTCCCAGAGCGGACCATGAGGACACACTCCTTCACGAGGCACTGCTCTGCCTGAAGGGCCTCTGTACCACATCTGGGGCTTTGGCGCGTCTGACAGAGATCGAAGGCGAGCTCTTCCCTGCGTTGCTGAAGATGCTCTTCGACGAGGAAAAGAAAGGCCCCAGCGAGTTCACCACCCGGAGTATCATCATCAACCTTCTATTCACACAGCTCACTGCGGCACCGTCTGGCGAGACGGCTGCCAATAAGGCAAAACAGCTCCTCTCCTACCTGCGCGATCCCTCGCCGACAGAGGAAAACCAGCCAGTGGCCTTCATCGCCAACATCTACCAGTCGCGCCCTTACCGCGTGTGGTGTAAAGAAGTCACCAACGTGACCAAAGAAGTCTTCTGGATCTTCCTGCACCACTTGAACGTGATCCCGTTGGCTAAGAAGGCCAATAATGACCCCTTCACCGAGAAACCACCAACGGACACACGCCCCTTCCGCGAGCGACACTTTCCGCCTCCTCGCCCTCCTGTGCCAGCGGCACCGTATGTCGGCGGCGTCGAGTGGGATGCTACGAACTATCTCGCCGCACACCTGGATCTTCTGAACGGAATAATCGCCTCGCTGCCTACTGGCGATGAGCGGAATCAGCTGCGCGACGAGCTGCGCGCTTCGGGATTCGAGAAGGTCATGGGCTGCAGCCTGCGCACCTGCAAGGAGAAATTCTATTCTGCTGTGCACGACTGTCTCCGCACCTGGGTGGCTGCCGCTGCAGACGATGGCTGGCCATACACGCTCGTTCGCGAGGGCCCGCCTCGCAGCAGTGCTCCGGGCTCACCGAACAAGTCTCCCAAAAAGCCTGCTCCCGGCAGTCCCAAGAAGGGTTTCCTCGATGAGAAGCCGCCCAAGCTGGAGCTGGCTCTTGATGTTTCCAACAACAGCCCTGCCCAAGGCCCGACGACCCCGTCAAGCGACCTGCGCAGCTGGCTTTGAGCACAGGGAATTTCTGCCCCGCTCTATTATTTGCCGAATTTCCTCTCTTCTTCCTTGTTTTTTTATTTTGGTATTCTTCTTGCTGTATTTTGACATGACTTGGCGTCACGATTTGATGTTTCGAGGGAAGGAGTTCCTCCATTCCCTCAATCTGTTTTTTTTTTTTTTTTTTTTTGCGTCGTCCTCTTTTGGAGTGACTCCTTTTCTTGGGCTGGCGTTGGCATTTTTGGTGTTGGATTGCATTTCTTTTTTAATTGCTTGTCCAGGGAAATCCTGGCAGACAGACATGATATGATGAAGTCAGATCTGGGGATACTACAGCAGGCGACCTGCACGAAGGAGGGTGATATATACGGACCTCCTTTTGCTGTCCGCACTACAGTGACGGGCACACCTGTATCCCACAACTGAACTTGCTCATGACCGATGACAGAGATGAAGCCTGAATGAATCGTCACGTAATTTCGTTATTGAAGTCCTTTTTTCTTCGTTCCGATGTACATGCAAGGTGGGAATCTCAATCGTATTGTACAAAATGGCCCGATGATATGTAAACACCCGGGATTGGTATGGTATAGTCCACGATATACACGATGGTATCACTTTACTGCGAATCACTCCGCGAGGCTGAGCTATTGTTTTCAGCAGTCCTGCGCACAGGGTTAGGGGGGCTGGACTGGAAAATACAGCGCGGACACTGGAGAAGACGCGCTCCCGAAGCTAGAAAAGAAGGGGAAACGAATTAGTTCCTCGCTCGTACAAAAATATAATGTAGCTCCCAGACTGGCCAGCGCAGCAGCAGGCAGTAAAAGGAAATGTAAATAAGGGAAAACTCACTCCATCAAACGGCGTCTCCCTCGTATCCCAATCCATAAACAGAATCGCATAGATAGCGACAACTAACACGGAATCCACTGGTCAGCCTCATTCTCATTCTCATTTTCATTTTGTAAATGTGACACCTGACAGCCTGACAGCCATCGGATCATACAAGGCAAAGCAAAGACACTTACATCCGATAATAACCCACTGCGCCAGGGTAACGCCCTTGATGAACTTCGGCCGCGCGTACTTCAGCGCCGCGCGCCGGCGGTACTTTCGTTCGAGCCGGAACTGGTGTTTCTGGGAGAGCTTGGACATATCTGGGGGCCATTGGCGCTTTGGTTGGTAGGCGCTGTAGATGTCTTCTGGTGAGGGTTCGGTTTCGGTTTCGGCTGAGGGAGACGGAGAGGATGAAGATGGGGAGGGAGTGGGTTTCTTGCTTGAGGCGAGGCGGAAGGGTGATGCGGAGCGTGCCGGGGAGGTGGATGAGAAGGCGCGCGAAAGCTGGGGGATTGTAGCGGGGCGGAGTAGGGAGGCTATTGTGTTGTTCTAGAGGGGGATTGTCAGTTTGGTCTGGGTACCGGCGATATGAGGTCGTGGTGGGAGTGACTAGTGGATGTCGTACCGGGACATGTGCTGCGCTGAAAGAGGACTTTGAAGCGGCTGTTACTGAGGCCGCAGGCCCAGAGAGGAGCCGCGCCGACGGGGCGACTGCTGTCAAGGCTCTGAGCATTGATGTGGTTGAGGATGAGACGCTTGACAGAAGCAAGTAGAGGCGTTAAAAAGAAGAGACGGGAACATTTGGTGATCGACAATCAGCCTACCGCCTGGGCGCCTTAGGCACCACTGTACACCATTTGTACTGGACTCACGCTTTTCTTCTTCTTCTCGCGCACCACCCAATAATGACTTGGAGCTACTAATCATCAAATGCCTCTCTTGAAGAGTTCTAATTACATGTTACAGATTAAGAATACACTTTCATGCCACGCCAATATCAGCATCGGTCACCTGGCACTTTGCCCATCTAACTCGGCCGCTTCAGACGGCTGAGCATGAGACGCCTCGGGGGTGCTTGCCATTTCTAGCAGTGAGGTTGACGCCAGTTCTGGCTTCACATAAACGAACGAGTTAGTATGCCTTGCCGCGGACAATTCGACGGGTGCCTTGTTAGCAGCTCGCGCATCCGGACCATCGACATCTGACGAAGAATCATGTCTCTGAGTCTGGCGCTGTCGTCGCCGGAATAGTAAAAAGCCCAATGTAAGGGCGATGACCAAAACCACACCGACTGCAACACCAACTCCGATGCCTGCTTTGGCACCCGTCGACAAGCCCTCGTCGGTGACGCTGTACGGTATGTCTGTGCTGGTCGGTGTGGTTGTTGCGGTTGCCGAGGCCGGCACTGAGCCGGTGTCAGTCGACTGCCACCGGATTTCGACACCATATGCATTCAAGATTCCATTGCTTCCCATAGTGCCCAGAGCCGAAGACGTCGAGCCACGCCCATCTGTCCAGGTGTAGTTGTACGTGGTCTGGATGTTGGATGGTAGTGTCCACTCGCAGACCTCATTGGTTTGCAATGCAGGCACTTGCGCGCTCGTCGTTCGCAATGAATATGTGCGCCCTGACACACTAGGACAAAAACTAAGCGAAATGCATAATTCCCCTGGAAACCAGATTTGACTCACACTGGGCAGCATGTTGCGATCGTCTGCGTCGCCGTCCCACTCTCTGCGGTTGATTCACTGGCAATGGCATACCCACTCGGACAAACGCCAGGCGAGAAGTACGAGGCCGGGGCCCAGCCGGATGGTAGACATTCGGCGGTGTTGATGGGTCCCAGATTCATCCAGGTTGAGCCGCCGCTCATGGCAGCCCAGAGATCATGGAGGCATCCTTGCGGTGGAGTAAAGGTGGTTGTCAGGGGTAGAGGCCCCGTTGCTGTTGATGCCATTCTGGCATACCCATCCAGGTTGCCTTCAAGGAATCACTTTCAAAAAATGTTTTCCTTGCGCTGCGGAGATAAGAGAGAGAGAGCCAAGAACTCTCGGAGTAGAAAAAGGCTGGGCGACAAACTTAATAATAGTTAGTCGGCCTTTTTGCATCGGCGATAAGAATGGCCCCCAACAATTTACGGGCCGGAACTAACTAATAATCGACTAGTATAAAATAGAAAATGTGGCGAGCTCGCGATGTTGGCTCAACTCTCACAATAATTACGATCCTTGTAAAGCCCACCGTGGTCCCTCTAGCGAGGTGACAGCCAAATGCGTTAAAAGCGGAAACATAGAGCCGGAAAAGGAAAAACCAAATCAAACAAAGATTATCATGTAATTGCCTAAGGTATTATGTTCTAAACAGGCAGTTCCAGCCAGGAATACAAACAAAGGGAAATCCTCCGAACCAAACCATTATTTCCCAACCCTAAATATACCCCATTATACTCCATTACATGCCCTCGCAAACACAAGTAATAGTAGCGGAGCACAAGTCCACCACGCCACCAAACGACTCCCAAGTCCTCTGGGAGTCCAGAGTCACGCTGGGGCTAGACTGCCCGGTAATCGTGCAGGAAGTTGCCTGCTGGAATGCGACAACCTGGGCGCTCGAGGCAAAAACAAGACCGTGCTCGGCGACAGCGGTGCTGCCGTAGAGTTGTTGAATGGAGTAGGCCTGACCATCGGCGGGGACGGCGATGTCCGCATTGGCGCCGGACTGGTCGTTGGCAAGTTGGACGGTGACGCTCGTCGGGCTGTAGAAAGGAGCGGCGAGGCCGGAGGTGGTGAGGAAGGCGATAGCCAACGCGGCGGTGTTGATGAACTGCATTTTGGAAGGGATGGTGACCGACGATTTGTCTGGTAGGAATTGCGATTGTGTATGGCTTTTGTTGATCACTTTCGGGGAAGAGAAAGTATGAATAAGGGTTGTTGGTTCTTACTTGGAAATTGTGATGGGAAACCAAGACACTTATATAGCTTTGTACGATGATCAGAATGAATTAACACATTCTACTATACTAGGATAGTAGCTGAAAGCAAAATAAATGTCCGTCTTCGTCGAATCCCCGGACGTGGATTGTCCTGGGCAATGGGGGAGGTAGACCTTCCCATTTGCCGCATCCGGCAGACTATACAGCGAACAGGATAGGACTAAAAATAATCGAAGCCTCGGCATACTTGAAAGCCATGAGAACAAGTTTACCTGTTGATATGATTATTGAACTTGGTGCATTTCTATTACACAAGGGGTTTGATATTCGTGATGCCTTTGGAGTAGAAGCCGTCTTGATGTGTCCAGTGTCTGTTTTCTCTCTTGGATTGGCGGGATACCAAGTTTGGAAATGATATTCAGTCTCATGTTGCTGATTCTTCTTTATTGCATATCAAAACTAGAAATATGATTTGCTTACCTCAAGAATTGGTGACCAATGCCATGATCCAATACATTAATCCGAAGGTCATCACTACAACTTTGACAACCATATGCCTCTTTACACGGCAGTCACTATCCGCTAAAGAGGTACCGCAATCGATAACGACTAGATGTCGACTTGTGGCTGGAAGGAATGACATGCACTATGCACTGCAGTTCCGCGAAGTCAGGGGCAGGCAGTTGTGGCTGGGAAGGTTCGAATGACTGGCCTAGTAAGGCAGCGAGCGGCCGCCATTCCAATGCCAAGTCTCCGAACATTCTTGCCCGGGGTTGAACGTGTTCATCCGTTTCCTGACTAGGAATGACATAATATTTGATCATACACATTTTCCACAGCTCAAAGTCCCATCTGGCTTTCAAGATTTGAAGCTTGTGTTTTATCGTCTATTTATAGACTCTGTTAGAGAGCTTCCGCGGTCTAATCAGTATTGTGGGCTTCCTTCAGGTTGATGTGTTTGATACTTTGGATTTGACACGTTGGCCACACATTGCTGCTGTGTTGGTGTTTTGACTGGCAATGCATAAATTATCAGTTCCATGTCCAAGACTATTTATAACTTTCCCCAGACTTCACTGCCTCAAGAAATGTTTGTGCTATCATCCTCGTAGTTCCACCATCGTTCCATTGGAATTACCATTGGCACCAAGGAAGTTCGAACTTAATTCCCGGTATCCCTAGATTGAATACTGGTTGTGATACCCACATTCCTGGCCCCTTGATAGAACATGACTGCGGCAACTCCCGCACGTATAATTACCGTGAGTGGGACTCCCCAGCAGGATATTTGCTCAACACATTCTTAAAAGTCTTGGCATAAGATCAGGTTTATGTTCAACCGAAGGTTCTAGATCCAATATGTCTATCGAATGAAGAAGAGTTACTATCAGATGTAAGCGCAATGTACAGGCCCGTTTAGGGATACGAAGCATGTACGCGATACCAGCCGCCAGGGGCCATGCAACTGGTGGACGAAGACAGTTGCTAGCGACACAGCCAAAATTAACCGCTCAAAGTGGGAAAAGTCAAATAGACATAGTCCAAAGTTAAGCCATTTTACTCCTCCCAACCTGAATCTAATGCGGAAGACTGAACACCAATAGATCTTGCAGTTTTCACGATGAACAATGTTGGAACGGTCAGTGGGGGTTCTGTCTGAATCAGAGTTACTTCGATAGTCAGATAAAACAGCGACAACCACTAGAGAAGGTCCTTTCTGCAACGTCGTGTCGGGCCGTTCAGACGCGCCTTTACTGGTGGAGAGGAGAAGAAACTGGGGAAGGGAAGATGCGGTTGGACGTCCAAAAGAACTATATAGTTGCAGGTTGTCTACGTGGCTATCAGCGAGACGTGGGACACGTTGTGTCGTTGGCAAAATCATTAACGCCCGTATATGCTCTTTTAAGTTATAGATATTTATCGTGTTCCAATTCTATTAACTGCTTTGCTTCGTCACGGCCTGGAATGTCTCTCCTGACGGCAATGGCCCGCACCACCCATAATTATCACAGCGACATTGTTCATAGCGAGGGCAGCTGAAGGGGAACCGTTAGTAAAGGTATCTAAACGTATCTGGGGAGGGAAAGCAAAACCTACTACACCGGATCCATGCCAAAAATGACGTGCCAGAGTTTTTCAAGCACCCATCCCACCCCGAAATCATCTGTCAAGTCTGTCGTGGCCGCCCACTCCAATATCCTTTCATAGTCCTCCTTGGGCCGTTCCCGGATCCTTTCTCGAGACACGGCAAATTGACCGCAGCAGATATTTCCCAGCTCGCCCGGCACTTGCTCACGGGTCACATTAAACATCTGTTCATAGGCCAGGGCAAAGTGTGCGCGAATGTCGTCCTTTTCAATATCGGCTTCAGACGGAGTAAGAGGCCATACACCTGCCGGACAGCCTGGGTTGTGTTGGCAGCGGAGGTTGACATAACCGCGGGCATCGACAGACTCAAACCGGAGCAGTCTCAGGGTATCTATGGTGAGGTCTCCGAACAGGTCATTATGCCACTGCTCTGGCCATGCGTGGACGAAAAGGGAGTAGTCGGGGAGATGGTCGTAAAAGTCAACGATGTAGGAGAGGTAGGCTGGAGATTCGCGACCGCGGAGAGTGGGAGGAACAAGAAGGCCAGCTTCGGGGGGTCGTTCGCCGGTGTATATGAAAGGTGTGCTGCCACTGCGATCGCTGTTAGAATGTTCCACATCGTTGAGATTGAGAGGGCGACTCACGTTTCCTTACAGTAGTCGAGCAACCAGTCCAACTTGTCCGTATGGATGGATGCGAGGACCACGCCGACGGTGGAAGTAGCAGTGTTTGACACGTAGGCATTAGTCAGTTCAACCAGGGGCTCAACTGTCTTGCGACGAAGGTCAACCGTCCCATCCGCGCGCTCTATCAGTCTTTGCGCATTTTCTTGAATGAACAGGTGCAAAAGCTTGGCGAATGCCACGGCCATACACAAGAAGAACAATCGCTTAGGCGTCACCCAGTGGAATAGCTGGGATAGCACATGGCGCATGGAAATCATCTCTCCGGAAGATAACAGGGGAGTCCAAAGGAGAGAAAATATCCATGATGAGAATTGACAGGGAATGGGTATGTCGGTAAGCACAACGGAGTACCAAGGCCAGCTAAATTTCGCCCAGCCTTTCCACAGGGGGCCGAAAAAGAGAGCCTCCAGGACCCGGGAGTTGACATGATTGGCGGGAAACAACTCTGACCTATCCACTGCCGGACCAGAATAGAATGAATAAAGAAAGCATTTCCTTCATTACAGTCGAACGAGGACCAGTCTGAGATTTGCATAGAATGGAGACTGTCTGTATAATTGTTATGTTGCAAAATAAAAATACGTTGGGTATCTTTATTACCAAATATACGCGAGGATTCGCCCTCCATGGCGCAAAACAAGGCTGCGATGGTGATTCACATGTGGGGCCGCGCGGCGGGCTGAACCCTTACGCCTCTAACCGCATAGCCCGGTTTTCAACTGGAGGAAAAAATGACAGTACCAAGAGCCAAGACAGCCTGGTGGGTCTAGCCTCATCCTTGATGCATTTGCGTACACCCGTCGGGAGACTCAATCTCAGTCCCGGTAAGTATTCTTCAATTGGTTTTTATTTGGGCCTATAACATATTTTCTAGCTCAAAACTCAATTTGCTAACCACGTTACTCGTCCCTACGAAATTTTATGTCTATTAGAGTGAAATGTATCCTCAAAGAATACACTTATTGCCAATGAGGGTATTCTACTTGTTGGGTAAGTTACCCAACGTGAGAAGACAAAATTAGAGTTGTACAACTAGTGGTGATCCTAATTCCTGTTTAACATAGACGGTAAATGGTAAAAGTTCTCTGAAAGTTATAAGACGTTCAAATAAAGCTAAGCTATGAACTCTGCTACGGTTCTACTTTCTTCCAGCCCCGAAAACATCTACAATCAAACACACGTTACTTCCGTGTCGTGAGCCCCTCTATCTTCTTTTGTACACCAAAGGAAATGCATAGTTAACAGGCCCTCTTCATAGCTCGCCATCGCTCCTCGTGGGGAAGCGCTTGCGACTAGACTCGTTCGCGGGGTTCAGCCGACGGTCATGCCGGCGTACTTCCCTCGTACTCGGTGACATTAAGACGAGGCTCCCAGCCCTCCGGAGCGATCTCAAATGACTCAAACAGGAAGGCTGGCGCCACCGTACACCCCACGAGTGTCCAATCACCCAAGCTTCTTGCATGCTGCCATTCTCCGCGCTTCACGATAGCTTGGGGGCGTTGGCCCTAGATCGATAGAATTAGAATGTCTTTCAAGCGGCCGCGAAACGAACAATGGATCATATGAAGATAACTTGCTTACTTTCACAAAATCAGTCCCTAGAGTAATGTCCCGAGTGGGTTTTCCGTCGTCCCAGGATAGTGAAAGTTGCACAGGGGCGCCAGCGTAGTAATGCCATACCTCGACGGCATCGAGAACACGGTGCCATTTTGAGCGGCCAGCTTCGCCTTCAAGAAGATAGTAAATACAGGTGCTGTAGGGGCGGTTATTTGACAAGTCGGTGTCGCGGAAGGTCTCGATGTAGTAGCCTTTTTCTGGATGTGGGGATAGGTGCAAGACCTCAATAATCTCCTGTGCGGAATAATGCTTTGCCATTCTGGTTGGAGGATAGGAGGGAAGAGGGAGAGCCTGTTTGTTTAGGGGGTGGGGGGTTTATAATGAAGATTGATGCGCTTGAGATTGAGCTGAATGGGAATGAGGTAGTGATGTGGTCAGCTTACACCCCACTATTCCTAAGCAAGTTCAAACACGGCTAAAACTGTCGACCAAAATTTGGGCAAAATATACCGCTAGACCAGAAAAGTGCGAAAGGCAGCATAGGCCCGGTTTTAAACTGGAGGAAAAATGACAGTACCAAGAGCCAAGACTTCAGCCTAGTGGATCTAGCCTCATCCTTGACGCATTCGCATACACTCTTCGGGAGACTGAATCTCAGTTTTTGGGCATTGTTCTTTCAGTATTTCCAGTCTGTCTAATACCTTGTCCAATCTCATCCTACGTGCATATCTACAAGTGAGGGAATGGAGACTGCCATCCACCCACTATCCATCCCGGCAGTTTGGTGGATATGGGAGCCTCTGTCAATTAAATTTCATCTCGCGGTAGTCTAAGGTGACGGATTAGAAATCAATTCTCTTCGGAGGCGCCGTCGCTGTCGAGCTTTATTTGTTCCCTTTTAGAGAAATCTTTATTTAGATCTTCTTTCCAATGTTCATTATCGTCTTTAACCAAATCATCTTTGTAACTTCTTTCGCTGATCGGTACTTAGAGCAAAGAACCAGAAACAATAACTAACTACCAAATAGATCTATTATAAGTATACGAGACTCCCATTGCACCACTATTTTGCCGCCCCCGACCAATTGACCTAGAGTATATCAAGATCCAGGCCCATAGATTTTAGTCACTACTAGTCGTACAACAACCGACACACGTATACACGTCTGATATGGACAGTTAGCCACTCAGGCTCAAGGTCCTCATTCCTAGATCCGCATAGGCCGCGGATCACCCAGATAGTTCCCTAGCAGCTCTAGAGAAACAGTGGTTAAATAAACCATTCTCTAGATCGCTTCCTTGTTTAGGTGTTCCACACTTCAATGCTACGTGAATACAATACTATTTGGCTGGATAGCCCCTATAAGGACTGTATGCAGCAGTAGCTGTATTGACGGAATATACCGCACATACTCTAGGTCCAAGGTCCGAGATGTGTCCTACATGTCCTACATACGGCCGTGGTGACACAACATACTTGACAGTGTAGATAGCCCTCTCACCACTGCTGCATGCTGTCCCTATTTCTGGTTCAGAACTCACGAGGGCCGTATGTTACAGATACACCTCCAGAAAAATCCAAACCACAAATGGTCAAGCTCCGTATATGCAATGCCCCTCTTTTAACCAATGGAAAAGTCGATCAACCCTCAGGATCATCTGCAGCCTTTGCTGAATGACCATGTCTTTTCGCAAAACTCGCCCTGCGAGGCGGATACTCGTCCCCGATCTGGAGGTGTATCTGTAACATACGGCTCTCCTCGCTACTACGTCATCCGACTCAGGGGCGATCTCGAATCCGGCGACTTTGGGTACGTGAAAGATAACTCGATCATCAGACCAGTGAAGAGCTTCCTTTGCTATCCAAATACCTTTCTTGTAGTAAAACCGCTCTCCTGAATGTCCGTCAGAGATGCTGTAGACGCGTGGTTAGAGTCCGTGGTCCGCCAATTATTCTGCCCCGCTGCCGCGAATCTATGTTTTGGGGCGCTGTTTTCAGCCCCATTCGTCGGCTTCACCTCAAAACTCAAACTGCTCGCACCTTCCCTTGGGAGCTGAACTCACGGGTCTTTACATCGGTATGCGGAGTCGACAAACCACCGTCATCATTCTCACATTCCTAGCCGGCCTTATATTATGGCGCACCCTCGATTTCAGCGACGTGATAGACGGCGGAATCACGTCAACAAGTGCCACGACAATTGCCGATGACGAGTCGGAATGGGAAATTGAGAAGTCACTTGGCGATATTTCAAATGCGACTCTTGGTGTAGGCGATGCACCCTCACAACAGCACATGGAGAGAGATATGCTAAAAACTGCCGGTTTCAACAGTTCGAGCGAGTGTTCACCATTGGCTTTGAGGACCGCATGGACAAGCGCGATGCTATGACTATTGGTGCATCATTATCGGGCATGAAACTGGAGTGGATCGAGGGCGTCCGGTGGAAGGACATAAATGAAAAAGCTTATCCGGCAGTATGTGAATATCTTCTTACCCGATCAACTTGATAATTTCTCATAACGGTCAGGGATGGAACAAAGATCGAGACCATCCAGCAGAGCTTGGCGCCTGGCGCGCACATCTCAACGTACTACAAAGGTACATCTCTTTTCTAAACTACTTGCAATAACTTTTATTAAGCTAGTTTGACAAATCTATAGGATCGTGGCCGACGGTATTAGTACAGCACTTATCTTCGAAGACGACATTGACTGGGACGTAACAATCAAAGCACAACTAAGAGAGTTTTCTCGTGGAGCGCGCGCGCTTCAAAATACCAACTCATCTTCACCCCATTCTCCCTACGGTGACGATTGGGACGTTTTGTGGCTAGGAGCCTGCGCCATGCGCACCAGGGATGCAAGCCATGTGTACCAGATCCCGGACGATCCGACGGTACCGCCCTTTAAGCATCGTGGGGAGATGATTTATCCGCCGTTCGTCAAGCCGTTGGAGATGCATAAGACGCGGTGTGTGCTAGATAGAGTGGAGGCATTATGCACATTGGCGTATGCGGTGACGTACGAATCAGCACGTTCAATTCTCACAAGTTTATCTCTCCAGCCAACTAACGTGGCATTCGATGTCAGCATGAATCATTTCTGCATGAATAAAGACTTGCGGTGTCTGGGGTCGTATCCAGTGCTTTTTAACACTTGGCGAAAGGAAGGGTCCAATGCCCACGATTCAGATATTCATGATGATTGGGAGGACGTCTGGCATGAGAAATGGTCCAGGGGAATTACTTACAGCACTATGCTAAATGTGCGGAACTTGATGGATGGTGGAAAAACTGCGCAAGCACAATATTCCGAAGTTTCACCGCAATGGATCGATTTCGAAAAGCTTGAAATCCCACGTGGAAAGCTCGAATCATACGAGCTTACAATCGGTGAGCTTACAGCTTGAAATACTCAGCACAGCGAGAGCTTGAAATTGTTATAGATATCCAGCTCTTCTTCCAGTTACTATACCCGCAATGTATTTATATCCTTACGAACAAGCGTTTATTCTGCCACAAGGACTCAACAGACTACTGTCATGACTAAGTTCACTTCTGACCATCCTCTGCACCAACGACCAGGCGAATATCGTAATCCTTGAATTTCCTGGTTGGAACTTTCCGCTCAAACAGGATATCCAACTCCTCAAAAGTTCGATCTTTGGTCTCGGGCAGACAAAAGAAGCAGTATAGCGCACAAATGAAGCTCAGTCCTGCGAAAAGGATCCCCAGCTTACCTCTCCAGTTTCCTTCGTCTTCGTTCATGGCGTACGGAATGGCTACCGAGAATACAATTGAGAGGCTCTGGCATGTCACCGTTGCTAACGCGATAGTAACGCTCCGCAATTTGGCGGAGGACACTTCTGCCAGGAGAACAAAGCAGAATGGGCCGATCGTAAGGTCGTACACGAAATTGCAGGCCAGCATTAGAACACATTGAGCCCAAACTGGACCGGAATTGCTTCGAGGAACCAGGTCAAGCACACCAATTAGAAACAGCAGCACAGACAGACCTGCGCAGCCCCATAAATATGCTGTTCGACGGCCGATATAGGACAACAGTGGCCACGCAAGGCAGGTCCCCACGAATCCAATCGAAGTAAGTCCCAGGTTCATGGAAAACGCATCCGACGAATCCAGGCCCGCCAGCTCAAAGAAATATACCGCGTAGTTGATGAAAAAGATGTTTCCCGTAAGTGCCTGCATATCATATGCCATGACACATATGATCAAACGCCGGAAGTTGGGACCGCGGAAACAGTCCAGATAGCTCGGGCGTTCGCCTTGGAAGTTTTCCTCTAGACGAAGAGTCTCCTTGATATGAGCTAACTTCAAACTCACGTCCACACCCGGAGTCGTAAGACGGCGCAAGGTCTTTTCAGCAGCTTCATACCGTTTCTTCTTGCAGAGCCAGTAGGGAGGATCCGGACAGAAAAAGACCAAGCTCAGCATGACAACAGGCAGAGCCCACTGCGTCGCAATGGGAATTTTGTACGCCAATTTGCCATCCATTCCATCTGTTCCTTTTAGAATGCCCGATGCGATTAATTGCCCAATAACGAAGGCGATGTTGGTCATGGATGCCACAAATCCGCGCAACGACAGAGGGCTCACTTCACCGACATACGCCGAAGCGGAAATCGGATAGAATGCAATAATGCATCCGTTGATTAGCTCACCAACAAAGAGTTGCGCAGGTGTATGGCTAAAAAATTGGATAAAGATGAGGACGATTGAGCAGAAGGAGCAGACAGTCATCATGATTCGCGGGCCGAAGCGATCATACAAGTAGCCTGAGGAGAGAGCACCGACGATACCTCCCAGGAGATTGGCATAGTTGAAGGCAGACAGCCACTGGGCAGCGATGACATATGTGCCGTGGTATTCGTATCCGTAGGTCTCCTTGAATGTCTCTAGACCTACAAGGCTTCCGACGATGCCGCCGTCCTGAAAATCTATGAGTAAATTGACTGGGATTTTGTTTTTTTACGGAGATTATCACTCACCAGCCCTTTGAGGATCGTAGCCTATGTAGTCGTGGGTCAGCATACTGTGTATCGATTGATTGAATCAACATGTCTCACTAAGTTAATGAATACGGCCCATGCAACAGCAGGCCAGTGCAGCTTCACTGCCTCCCAGAAACCGAGTGAATGTTCATATTCCGTAAATTGGGCTGATTTTTCGGCTTCCACCGCCTGGGAAGAAGGAGCTGTTTCCACAACAGTGTTGTTTTTGTTGGCAGATCCCATGGTTGATTACAGACTGCTTGACAACAATGCTAGTAAACGGCACGACTACCGGCACTCCCCTAGGACTATATATATACATCGCGTCCCCTACACTGCAACCAACCAGAAACCTGGGGATTATCAGAATCCCAGAAACCAGCAGCATCTCCATAGGTATGGGTCACTATTGGAACTGCCATTATCGAGTCCGCCCATAGTATATCTCCCTAGTGTAGTACAGCCGCCAATGAGAATAACGCCGAGCAGCCCCACCTCGTCCTAAACAGGCAATTTTAACAGTCGGGATGGAAGCTAGGGATTGTATCGAGAGGGGTCAGATAGGCGGGCCAGGATTCTGGACAAGGTTGCATCCTTCTGGAGCCTTGAACAGGTCGTGTTCACTTGTAAAAAAGCCATCGCGACTATATAAACCTCGCACTGGGCATCAAGGCGATCCACTGCATCCTCTCGCAACAACTCCGCAACGGGAAAAGGCCAGAACCATGACCCCTCCCAACCCCCAGATCACGCTCGTCGAGCTCGCACCGGAAGAACTAGCTTCACAGCAGATAGGCTCGCATAACCTGCAAAAGGCCATTGAAGCCCTGCACCGGGACGGCATTGTCGTCCTCCAAAATGCAGTCGACCCCTCGCATCTCGACACGCTCAATGCACGCATGGTACCCGAAGCCGAGAAGCTGTATGCACGCGCAGAGACGCACCGGAACTTTGGCGAGAAGACCGGCAATATCCAGCAGGAGCCAGTTTGCGAGCCAAAGTACATTTTCGAAGACGTGATTGCCAATCCTTTCGCGACCTCAGTAATCGAGTGCATGGTCGGCCCGCATCCGACAATGCACTTCTACAGCGCCAACACCGCTTTCAAAGCCACGGACCGTCAACCTGTTCATATTGATATCGACTTCGACATGCCCCGTATGCCCTTTGCATACTGCGTCAACATCAATCTCGTGGACACATCGCCTGAGAACGGCGCGACGGAGGTGTGGCTGGGCAGCCATATCGACACGGATCAGTCCGTGCTCGACCGCAGCGTCAAGAACAAGAAGGTGAAACAATCGCTGCTTGAGAGCAGGAAACAGGTCAGTCCGGGTATCCAGCCTGGCTTACCAAAGGGATCGTTGATCATTCGGGATTTCCGCCTGTGGCACGCGGGAATGCCGAACCAGACAGATGACCCCAGAGTCATGCTGGTGTCGATTCAGTTTGCGAACTGGTATCGTAGCGATCAAAAGTTTGTGCTTCCAAAGAGTCTGGACGGAAAGATCAATTGGGGCCGGCTGGTGCCTTGCGTGGAGTGGGTTGACGATGGCTACGACTACTTGAAGGGAGCTCACGATCATGATTTTTCATTACAACCATAAGTGTGTATGAAAAGAATTTTCTACTACTGCTAATGGTAGGAAATTTCTGGGAAATATTCGTTAGTGTTGGCAGAATAGCTATGCTAGATTGGCCTCTCTCCCGTGGCCGTGCAGAAGAACCTGGATGCAATCCACCCGCGACATGCCGTCCAGCCCTGACATTTCATGAGCTGCATCTTTCCTTTCCATACGTTTTCAATGTCGCTCTTTAGGTTTTTCAAAGAGGGGAATCGACGGACGACGAACATGTCATCTAGCCGAGACTGAACAAATTGCCTCTGAGCTGGTAGAATTGACTCACACCCAGCGGTAAATAGTGGCCAGGTGTGGACAGAGATAAGTGGGGAGTCTGTCGGGACCTGGGATAGGAAATTCAGACACCGACGGACGTGGTCTGATGTAGTCGGATGCGGCGCGCCGACATTGTGCCAAACGCGATAGAGATACACCAAGGCTGCGTGGCGGTAAGCTTGCGCGGTATATTCAATGTGGAGTATTCGATCAGATTGGTCTTCAATACGGTATTCCAGATCTAGAAGGCCTCTCTCGATCGCGGCAGCAAGAAGATCAGACTCATCACCAGGGCCAACATCTCTGGAACGTTTGATTTCTTCGGCCACCTTCATATCATGTACTTGGCTGATGCGTGCTACAAGATGGAGCACCGTCGATATTCGGTGAAGAGATGCTGCGTCTTCGATAGTAGATATGTCTGGTGCATACTCCATAAAAGGCTTCGCACGGCGCGATATAGAGGATAGGATATCATGGTACGCAAATAAACTTAGTAGGAACCTTCTAGTAGGCGAGTATGATGGAGATCCTGACTCTGAACCTCGTGCAATAATTGCCTTGGCTCCGAGGAGATGGTTATTTGCAGAAGACACGCCCTGAGCCTCTGCGAAGAGACGGGAATATACCAACATCATCATGACAGTGGCGAGGGTCGTTTCTGAATAACAGTAGACAGGATGTTGGATAAGCTTTTGTAATTGACTGATGGCATTTTGCTGATATCGGTAGCCTGTCAGATCAAGGTAACTATCAGCTGTCAGCAGAGCCAAATGGCGGGCGGACATCGACAGTACGATAGACTGCAAAGCGCCAGGGACAAACACTGTGCCACCGAGGTGGATCTGGAGAGGGTTCACCTCTCCATGCCGTGCAGACGCGGTAATAAAGCCGGACAGGCATTCGCTCCAGTGGTGTAGCAGTCGGCGGTGGTAGGGACTGATATCGGAGTGAAGGCCGAGGAAGACGAGACTACTGTTCGCTTGTTTTGTAGTGCGTACAGCCTCATTTTCCTGCGTGGCAGCTGAAAAATAGGAAGTAGTATGGCGGAAATCAGCATTCCATACAGATGAAGAGGACGGTGATCGAGATGGTGGTTTCTTGCGTTTAGGGGAGAGCGACGGCTGGACTTGTCGCCATCGACACCGTATTCCGTATCCCTGGCAGTCAATCCCTAGTCTGGCGCAGCGACCGCAACGAGGCTTCTTTTCGTCACATTTATACCCGGCATCTCTGCAGGTCCAACAGCCGTCCCTTGTGCGCACCCGAGGCATCGTGCGCGAGTTGTGTGTGCGGTGCAGCAGCCAAGACCGGTTTCTCCGCAAGCTTACCCAAGACCCGGGAGAGTAACTAGTCGACTTATCAAGGATCGGGCTTTAATTCGGGGGTAAAAATATTCCTTGTGTTTGCAACATTCCCTAAAACTCTGTTTTCATTTTCATTCTGTACTCTGATGTTGTCCCGCTGAGCTCCGTTCGAGCCGATGTCACTAGAAGGCGTTCCAGACGGCTTCTCAGATGTCTTCGGACGGGTGTGGCCCACCAAGTGCATGACAGAGACAACAGTCCTTTTTCAAAATGCGGCACAACACATATCCACCTTCTAATAATAACATTCCGCGGCAGAAAATACATAGCATGTCGCGCCGGCCAATCTTTGTGAATTCCTCGGCAGCTGGCCAGCACCGGGACCCCGTTTGCATCAACGGTCTTGAGCAATTCCATCAATCACTTCCCGGCTATGCTCCAACTCCACTGGTACCGCTCCCTGACCTCGCAACTGAGCTGGGTGTCCGCGCTGTGTTCGTGAAGGACGAAAGCGATCGATTCGGTCTACCGTCTTTCAAAGTCCTCGGGGCATCCTGGGGATGTTATCGTGCTATTGCAGCGTATCTCGGTCTTCCTTCCACCGTGCGCTTGGATGAACTCTCTGCAAAAGCACAGGAAAAATCAACCACTCTGGTAGCGGCGACAGAAGGAAATCATGGACGAGCAGTTGCGTTCATGGCCCGACTTTTGGGCATCAAGGCCCTAATATTCGTTCCTCAGAATATGGATGACACTACACGCAATCTTATTGCGAGAGAGGGTGCCAATGTGATCGTTGTCCCCGGCGATTACGACGAAGCTGTGAAGCAGGGTGCGGAAGCATCGAAACAAGTGGCCGAGGCGCTCTTGATCCAAGACACGGCTTTTGAGGGATACGAAGACATTCCCGCCTGGATTGTGGAAGGGTATTCGACGATGATGACCGAGATCGAAGCCCAACTGGCGCAACTTGACCTTGCCGGGAGCGTTATGGTTACTCCAGTGGGGGTTGGGAGTCTTGCACACGCCGTTGCGAGACACTGCAAATCCAGAGAAAACCCTATGGCAGTTATCGCCGTCGAGCCCGATTGTGCTGCGTGCTTGTCATCTAGTCTAAGTGCTGGGCAATCAGTCGCAGTGCAGACAGGGGCAACTATTATGGATGGAATGAATTGTGGCACGTTGTCAGCCACGGCATGGCCTGATTTGCAGCAGCTGCTTGATGCTTGTGTGACGGTTTCATGCTACGAGACGCATCGTGCAGTACAGTATCTTGCCTCGAAGTCTATTACAGCAGGGCCTTGCGGAGGAGCATCGTTAGCAGCACTACGTCACTTGGCTACATCGAAAGACGCTCCATCTATTCTGAGCAAAGACTCGGTTGTTGTTCTTCTCTGCACGGAAGGCACACGAGACTATGAGATCCCTTGGGATGTGTCTCTTGATGACGCTGTTTCTTTGACTGAAGTGCTCACCCACATTGATTCATCGAATCCAACATTATCTGTAGCTGATGGGGCTGGAGAAACCCAGATCGTGAACTATCTGGCCTCGTGGTTCGCGCATCGAGACATCGAGTATCACAAGATCGAGTCCGTGGTTGGACGACCATCAATCGTGGGAATTATACGCGGTAGCGGAGGGGGAAATCTTTGATGTTTAATGGCCATGTTGATACTGTCAGTCTTTCCAGTTACGGCAAGAATCCTCTATCCGGATCGATTGGGATGAAAGATGACAAGGAGGTTGTCTTCGGCCGAGGTAGCCTGGACATGAAGAGTGGACTTGCGGCAGCGCTGGCAGTCATGTCGGCAATCAAAGCCAGCGGCCATGTGCCTCGAGGCGATGTAATTGTGGCTGCTGTCGCGGATGAGGAAGATGCATCTCAGGGAACCCAAGATGTGCTGGCTGCTGGCTGGCGTGCTGATGCTGCGATCGTTGTTGAGCCGACCATGGACATCATTGCAACTGCCCACAAAGGTTTCTTGTGGGTGGAAGTCGATATTTTGGGAGTTGCTGCACATGGATCAAAGCCCGATGAGGGTGAAGACGCCATTCTCCACTCAGGTTGGTTCCTTCGTGCGCTGGAGCAATATCAACGCCACTTGCCTGTAGATGATACTCTGGGACAGGCATCTCTACACTGTGGTTTGATTCGGGGTGGTGAAGAGCCATCCTCTTATCCTGGAAAATGCACCACCACTGTCGAGTTCCGCACTATACCATGTCAAACGGAGGAGTCGGTCCTGGGAGACGTGAATGTATTGTTGCGTGACATTTCCAAAGAGCATCCTCGGTTCCGATACGCAGAGCCTCGAATCAAGCTGTCTCGTCCAACGCAGAAACTGGCGACGAACCATCCTCTCGTCGAGAAAACAGCCGCCTGTGCATCTACCATTTTGGGAACTAAGCCCACCATTCAAAGTGTGTCGTTCTGGTGTGATGCAGCCTTGCTCAGCCAGGCAGGAATTCCGTCAATTGTATATGGACCTACAGGGGCAGGATTGCATAGTAAGGAGGAATGGGTCGAAGTTGATAGTCTGCGGCAGATGGAGAGGGTGTACTTGGAATTAGTGCGACAGTTTTGCTATTGATGCTACTAGTTTGCCTGGTTCGAACTACCTATGTTCCGAACTGCCTAAAGATTCTGATAAACTGCAGATTGCTAAACGAACGGGCCGAATCCTGTCAAATTGTTTGCGGCAAGAGATAAGGCCTCGAGGTCTGAAATATGTATTTTTGACCACTCTATGTCCTGTTTTGAGCATACCTATCTAAAGCCAGTGCACTACCTTGGTATTAATTCTGCAGATTCGTGCGAAAGCTGGGAGGACGTCGAGTTCAAAGTTAGGCTGGCATTGTCTGTGAGGGAGAAGAGGAAACAATCCACAAACAAGACTGTCTAAGGGCTAGCCAAGCGAGAAATTTGGCCGCCATCATCCCACCATATGTATTCCGGCTATCTTACAACAACGGCTGACTCGTTTTCACAATATCATTTGCGAAATAGCCCTTACTACGGGTTTAAGCATTTCATAGATATAGATTAGTCATCGATGTCGTTGGAAGGCGGCAGTCCAGACCAGAAAAGGCTAGATCGGACGGTGTGAGTCGATCGAACATGAACCGCTAACTACTATTGATTGTTCCGGATCTCTTGCTGGCTCCAAGTGACTGCGTGAGTGTCTTCTATAACAAAGACAGCATAGAACCGCACTCCATGGATCAGCAACCTTCCCCTGTCCCGGCTCAGCCCAGTCAACTGCCACCGTCCACGCCGGACCCTGGAGAGAGCATATTGGACATGGATGCTTCCGATAGTTGGTTCGCCGAACAGTCTAACCTAAACTGGAGCTCTTTGAATGACTTTTACTTCTGTTCATCGAGACTGGCAGACACAGAAGGGTCGCAATGGGAGGATCCGGCGCTGCCCCCAGCGCCGTCTTCAACTATGACTCCACCGAATCGGATGGATGTACAAACCCAACAGCTTCAACATACCGCTTCGTCGCCTCTATTAGTGGACCCAATCAACACGCGGGCTTTGGGCAATGTCTCGCAGTGGCTTGACGGGGCGTATCGTCCCTCCGTTCCTTGCAGCCACTGCCGCAGACACAGGCTACAATGTCTGATCCTCCGTACTGCGCCAGCAAATCCGAATCCCATCAAAGCATGTTCTAGCTGCGTGGCCCTGTTTCGAGAATGCAGTTTAGCCAAAGGAGAAAAGCGCCTTCCATCTGGCTTCGAAACATTCTCCCCCGTGCTAGGCCATCTGCACGGCGTGCCCGAGCACACGGAGGATGGAGTGAGTATTTGTCAATACTACGATATTCATATCTATTAACCATTATTCTAGGGCATTAAACAAGAACAGCCCATCAACCAAACAGAACCACCCACAGAACGCAAAGAATCCAAACAGTTTATCCGAAAAGGCGCGCGCGTGCTACGGGAATGGTTCTCACAGAACCAAACGTACCCGTATCCCAGCGAAGCCGAAAAGGATCGGCTTTCTCGTGAAACGGGATTCTCCACGAAACGCATTTCAACGTGGTTCGCCAATGCGCGCCGGCGACAGAAGCAGAAACTGCAGACATCGACCGTTCACCCAGACTCCCATTTTCGAGCCGGTTCTCCCATGGTCACTAGTACATTGTCTTCTATGTTGACCCCGATGGAACGTTGGCAGGTGTCGCCGCCGGAAGATGAGCCGGTTCCCAAGTCTGTTATCCAGGATGCTATTGCTTCGGAGTCGATGGAGGCTCCGCTTGACATAATGGACGCGTTCTTGGACCCGTTCTCTATCGATGGTTCTGCAATGGATCTATTCAATTTCGAGGATTCGTCTTCTCATTTGCCCTCCTCTGCCTCCAGCTTTGGGAGTAGGGCATCCGAGACTTCAGCATCGGATAGTGCCTCGTCAGCATGGAGCTATCAATCCTCTGGAGGAGAAGGGAGCTTTCTACCGTTCCCACTCATACCCAAGAGAAACACAACACGCCGACAGCGACATACACGCCGAGGATCTACATCCAACGATGTTCACCAATACCAATGCACATTCTGCACACAATCCTTCCGCAAGCGCCACGACTGGACCCGGCACGAGAAAAGCGTGCACCTCCCTCTAGACTCCTGGATCTGCACGCCCTCTGTCGACGATATGAACCGCCGCCTGAAAGCGGAGACCGGATCCCAATCAGAACCAAGCTCATGCCCATTCTGCGAACTCCCATCCCCCACACCTTCCCATTTGGAAGAACACGAATTCGCCGTGTGCGCGGAGAAACCCATCACAGAGCGCTCGTTCAGCCGGAAGGACTACCTGTGGCAACATCTGCGCAAGTTCCACGGGTGTACCAAGACGCCCGTTCCTGATCTGGATGCCTGGCGCAGTAGCGGTAGTGTAGTTCACAGTCGGTGTGGGTTTTGTGAGCGTGCATTGCCGAGTTGGAGGGCGAGGGCAGAGCATTTGTCGGAGCATTTCAGGAATGGGGCGAGGATGGAGCAGTGGGCGGGGGATTGGGGACTGGACGCGATGGCGATGGGTGTTTTGAGGAATGTTGTTTTGCCTGCTCAGAGGGGACAGGGTGATTCACCTGCTTGATATATAGCAGAGGAATATAAATGTAGATATTGGTATAGATTATGGTTGGTTTATAGTATGCCAACTGGAATCGTGAATGTAGGTAAAACCTTCATTTCAATCTATTGGTCTCATCTCAACTAGTACACCGCAGCAGTCTGCCACCCGCCATGATACCAAGCGCCCATGCCGAGCACAAACAGAACAAGACTTCCATCGCGGATAACATCCCTAACCAGCTGCACCGCCATACCGAGACCACCCCGTTTCCCAGAAAGCAAGACCCTCCCACCGGAGAGCAGCAATTCCCCCGTAACAAACACAGTCCAGGGGTTCTGAGCCGTCGCGGGCTTTGGCGGCGGAAATCCAAAGGTAGCAACTGACGTCCCGATCACGAAAAGCAAGTACACAGACACCACGACCGCGAAGAGAACATGCAGCGCCTTGAATACCTGCTGGCGCTTCTGCTCCTGCTCCGTCGGCGGCTGTTTGCCGCCTAGCATATTGGCAAGGTAGGGCGGGACACCAAGCGCGGAGGCGATGTCGGCAGGGGAGAAGCCCGGTGGCTGTTGGCCTGGAGGCGGGGGAGGCGCGCCGGGGGGAGCTGCGGCGTTGGGGTCACCGGGCATGGAGCCGAGGAGAGAGTTGAGGAGTTTCAGGGTAGGGTCTTCTTGCATGCCGTCTGGTTGTTGCTGGTCCTCGCCTGGCTCTGGAGCAGATTGGCGGAGCAAGGCGCGGAAGGCTTCCTGCTGGGCGCGGAGGTTCTCTGCAGACTGCATGTCTGGTTGGGGGGAGGGCGAGGGTCGGATTTGAGGCGCGGGGGATGGGGATACGCTGGCGGCAGAAGACCGGGGCGTTGGAGAGGATTCATCGTGGGCTGTTGTGGAAACAGTTGTGTTAGTTATTGTGAGATGCAAAAGTCGACGGGTTGGTTGGACATGAAGCGAAGGGAAGGGAGATGTTGCATACGCTGGGGAGTGCGTCCGCTGAGGCTGGTGATCTTGTCCAGACGCTGTGCTCCTCCATCCCTGATCTTGGCCTCGCGGCGCTCTCGGCGCAGGCGCGCAGATCGCTGGGCGGGAGATTCCTCCGGGGTTGACATTTGGGGGAGAAGATGTTGTGGATGTGGTTGAAGGGAAGCGTGGAAGAGGAAGAGGAAGACGATCGCCGATCCCGTGGCGATAAGAACACGACGCCATCTTGCATACACTGGGCCCTACGCTCAGCTACATGAACTATTCGATCACTAGTGACTATTTGTGATCGGTCAACCGATCGACTGCCATGATCGCCCCTTCGCACTCGATCGCCGGCTTGATACGCGACTTTATTCGACGCGCGGCGGTGCCTGTCCCACACAAGAATGCGTACGAACGAGGCAATCTGGGATCGTCCATCGGCGCCATCCATGGTTGTTGTGACCGCTTCGGTCTCCGTATTGAAGTCATGGATACCCCTAGTGACATCATGTCGCGTGCACAAGGGAGACCAATCCCCAGGCGAAAGCTACGAGAGAAAGACTGGAGAAAGCGATGTCCCACTGCAGGCCCAATGCCTTGATTAGTGCCGGCCTGAAATGAGCGCATCGCCAAGACGGGGATTCCGCCAGTGCAAGAAATAAAGCGATCGAGTGTGGGGAGGGAGGGACGGATCAGCAACAGAATAGTCTATGGAAAGTGATTGCCAATGATCGATATCGTCATCCCAGTCGTGCCCAGTGCCCACCGATGACGTAGATCCACCAGGAGCTTACCTGACCACTTTTTAGGGCTGGATCTCTGCCAGCACTTGATTGCAACTACTCCCAGACAGTATTATTGACCCAGGGGAGATGATTTGAAGCTGCTGGTGCTCACCGGCCACATACATCCCTACCGGCCATCTTTTAGTAAACATCTCATTCCATTGCAAGCATGGCCTCCACTACCCCGGAACCCGAAGCACCGCAGCCGCACCATGTCGGCGAGCATTGGAGCGGGGCCAATCCCATTCCGACGGTGCAGAAGTACATCGAGCATCTCGATGCCAACAAAAAAGACCGAGACCGGAAGATTGACGAGGACAACCGAGCTAGGGGACAACGAGCCAAGCAGGACAAAGCGCAGGGCAAAGATGGCGGCGAAGTGATGGAGCATCAGCCGCGCAAGGCTCCCAAAGGAGAGACGCACACAGTCACAGATCCAATTACCGGCAAAGATATCGGCGTACAGGATCTAGACGAGACCGCCATGGAATCGGTCAAGGATCCCAAGCTGACAGTCCCCAATGCCAACCTGGGGCGACCGACAGAGCATAGGACCAGCGCGGATCAGGATCTGGCCAAGTATAAAGAAGAGCAGGATATCACCGCGCCGCCTGATCCCATTGCAGAGGGCACAACGTCGGATCTCCCCATTCGTGGCGAGAAGACAAATATCCTCTTCCACCCCACGCCGACAATCTCATTCAAACCAATGTTTGATCAATTGGAAACGCGCGCCACGGCTCTGTGCATTATCATTCCGTTCGCGATCATCGTTCTCGGTCGATTCTTCGGCGGCTCGCTTTGGGGTCTTATCCCGCTGGCAGCATGTATTGCATCGGGCGTGTGGTTGTGGGTAAGAGAGGTCATCCGGAGTGGTCGAGAAATGGAGTGGAGCAGCGAGCAGCTTCGTGGGCAGATGGTAAGTCTGGGCTGAAAGGCATTTGAATTAATTGAGCTGATCATATCAAAGGCCACCGCCAACCTCCTGCCCGAATCCGTCGAGTGGATGAACAGTTTCCTTGCTGTCGTTTGGGGACTAGTCAATCCTGAGATGCTGAGTCCTGTGGCTGACACCATCGAAGACATCATGCAGGCCTCGGCCCCCAGTGTGGTTGAGAATGTTCGCATTGCTGAAATTGACCAAGGAAGCAACCCATTCCGGATTCTCAGCATGCGTTCTCTTCCGGACAACCATGTAGACCACATGAAGAATAATATCCGCGAACAGAACTTGAAGAACAAAGATCCCCAGGAAGCAGCCGCCGCCGAGGAAGGAGGTGACTATTACAACATGGAAGCCGCATTCGCCTACCATGCAAAGCCTACTGGTCAGTCTGCCTCGTCCAAGGCACGCAACATGCACATGCAGCTGGTTTTCTATCTGGGTGTCCGAGGACTGTTCGGCGTGCCTTTCCCTGTGTTCGTCGAGTTGATTGAGCTGGTCGGCACCGTCCGCCTGCGATTTCAGTTGATGCCCGAGCCACCGTTTATGAAGGAAGTTACTTTCAGCTTGGTCGGTGTCCCACATGTGCGTGCAGGCTGTATGCCCATGGTTCGAAAGGGAGTTAATATCCTCAATCTGCCATTGATCTCGAATTTCGTCAACTATTCCATCGCTACGGCATGTGCTATGTTTGCAGCTCCCAAGTCCATGACAATGGATCTTTCTATGATGCTCAAGGGCGACGACATTCACAAGGATACTCTGGCATTGGGTGTGATGTGGGTTCGCATCCACCGTGCAGTCGGCTTGAGCAAACAGGACAAAAGGGGTAGTGAAGGCGGCGGCAGTGACCCGTACATCAACCTGTCCTTCTCGAAATACGGGAAGCCCATGTACTGCACGCGCGTGATCACCGACGACCTGAATCCGATCTGGGAGGAGACTGCTGCGCTACTCGTGACGCCGGAGTTGATCAAGGCAAACGAGAACCTCAGCGTCGAGCTTTGGGACTCGGACCGGAACTCTGCCGATGACATTGTTGGCAAAGTCGAGCTGCCAATCCGGGAAATGCTCCAGCATCCCAGTCGTATGTTCCCCCAGGTGTCTAAGCTGCAGGGCATGGATGAAGGCAGCGAGATGCCAGGCCAGCTGCACTGGGAGGTTGGATATTTCGGCAAACCGAAACTTCGTCCGGAGCTGCGAACCGATGGGAAGAACAAGGATCTGCCTGAGAATATGAAGGGTGATCCGACCTTTGAGGATGAGAAGGGGACGATCACCAACGAAGAAGAGGACGCCGTCATGCACACACCCCCGGACCCCCTCTGGCCCAGTGGCATTCTCCACATCGTGGTACATCAGATTGTCAATCTCCAGCTGGCAAATATCAATGGCAGCGATGGAAACCGCAAGGGCAAGGAGTACGAGCCCGCTAAGCCGTTTGGCGAGAATACCGAGGAAGAGGGCGGGAATCTTCCAACGAGCTACTGCCAGGTAATGCTGAATGATCAATTGGTGAGTGCTTTCGAAACTTTCATCTAGCTTGTCCTCAAAATACTGATCATGAGATCAGATCTACCGTACCCGCGCCAAGGCAGTGAGCTCCAAGCCGATGTTTAATACAGGAACCGAGCGGTTCGTCCGCGACTGGAGGTCAGCCGTCGTAACGATCACCGTGCGTGACCAGCGCCATCGCGAGCACGACCCCATCCTCGGCGTGATCCCACTGAAGCTGTCCGATATCTTCCAGACCAGCTCGCAAGTGACGCGGTGGTATCCCCTTGACGGAGGGATTGGATTCGGACGAATGCGCATCTCGCTTCTCTACCGTCACGTCGAGACCAAACTGCCGCCCAATATGCTGGGTTGGGACGTCGGGACTTTCGAGTTTTCTTCCCACAAGGTCGTCGCGAAGGACTACGGCCACATCGCCAAGATCAAGATGCGTACCGGCGGCAGCGTCGGCAAGATCACCCGGCACGTCTGCCATATGGACGGCAACGATGCGGTCTACGATACTTCTGACGTGAGCTTCCGCGACTCGCTGCGCATGCCTGTCAAACACCGATACCGTTCCCCCGTGGTATTCGAGATCCATCTTTCCGGAAAACGCGGCGCAGCCGCATATGCCATCCTGTGGCTGCAGCATCTAACCGACAACGAAGACACAGACATCGACATCCCCATCTGGACCACCAAGAAAGGCTCCCGCCTGACGCAGAACTACGTGACGGAAGCAAATTGGCGCGCCAAGGAAGTGCCTGGCCTAGAAGACCTAAAAGAAGTCGGGCGTCTGCAGTTCCGGTGCCGCTTCTCGCCAGGCATTGACGAATCGCACGAACGCTTCGTAGTCGACAACGACTCGCGCGAGACATTCGAGACCTGGGAAGCGTGCATGTCGCAGGGCGTGCGGTCGCGCAGCGTCTCCATTGACATTCCAGCAGAAGTCCGGGCGAAGCACGAGCAGTCCCTAATCGAAAACCGCGACGTGCTGAAACAAGCGGACCCCGCCGAGCGCCGCCGCTGGGTCGACCGCGAAGGCCAGGATTGGAGCGGCGCGTTTGGCCAAGACCCGCGCGCGTACACAGACTCCGCTGGCCGCAAAGTCGCAGAACCAGGCCGGGACGCTCCGCGGCATGACCCAGTCACTCCACCACCGCTGAAGGGCCAGCCCTCGCAGATGGAGAACGGGACGGGCGAGGACCGCGCGCGGGAGACCGGCGATGATACCCTTGTCGGCGAGTCGGAGGAAGCGGAGCGGATATCTCTGTCCTCGGAAAATAGCAGTTATAATGGTCCATCGACTATCAGCGGGAGGAGCATTGGTGGTGCGACGGCGTCGTCATCTCAGGCTAGCGCTAGAAGCCCAAAAGACATCAACAAGGCGAATAAGCGCAGCGAGCAGAGACAGGAGCGTGGGCTGATGCAGTGGAAACCGGCCAGGAATGCGCTCTTCGCAAAGGATGAGGCTAAGTTCGCGCTGGCGAAGCTTAAGAAGAAGGTAGGGGCGGGTGGTTTGACGGGGAGGGAGCCAGATGTCGAAACGGAGACTTAGAGAGAGTGTGTGTGGGTAGATGCTAAATGAGATAAATGGGTTTATCAAGGGTGTACTTTTATTATGATCGTTATGGCAATAAAGACAATTGTCACCAACGTGGGTATTAGTTATTCAGTGGTTGTATACCTGAACAGATAGATGGTCCTGGGATTTATGAACATCCATTGTTTGAACCACGCTTGAATGAATTGCAATCCAGCGGGTTGTCAGGTACCTTTGTCTCAAAAATAAAGATCGATTCGACTACTTTGGTTAGGTTATCTACATGGCTAAAATGAGGTCTGCTGGATGCTTCATGCCGGCTTATCAACTGCCGTATATGCCCCGCGAATACGACTAGAGTCGGCAAGTGTCCGTCCTTCTTTCTGCCGTGTCGCCTCGTGGCCCTATGACATCCGGTGCGGAGTAAAACGTCGCCGTTTCATTGCTTTTTTCCCATCAGCCTTGGACTGGAAGCGGCATGGCGACTCCTCGATGTACCTCTCGGGACACTGGATCGCGTGGTAAAAAGGAGGGACATAGTCGAAAGAATTCTCAAACTCAACTGGCCCCTAATCTATCTCTCGTAGGGCGGGTCCTGGTGAAATTTATGGAGAAGATAAGGTTTACCCCATGTGAGAATGCTGCTTTTGCGGGGTTCAGAATCTCTTGAGACTTGACTCGGAACGATTCCGAGCCGCAAAATGTGCATGCGTGAGAGTGAATCCCTTTGCAAAGACTGCAGTGTAACATAATCGCAGACATGTGAGGCCTGTGGGTAAGGCATGATGTAGATGACGGCACTGACTGAACCAAGCTCTCAGAAAGTGGGTTTTAACCCCGCATCGTGAGGAAATATTCCGCCTTCGGAGCTACGTTGTCCTGAGAAGAATGGGCTTTTACAAAGGAACTCGACTCTCATGACTGCGATTATCGGTATTTGATCCGCTTGATTATCAGGACGGTAACCTATTCCTCGTTGATACCATCGGACTCAGGAGTGATACGATCCTATTTCAGTTTCAACGCGCCATGTCCCAGTTTCCAATTTCCATCAAACCGGAACTCCTGCGTGAGAAAGTGATAATAGTTACGGGTTAGTCGTTGAACCGTACTGTGTTGCATTACAGGAATCAAGTGCCTTGAGAAACCCTAATGATAGAGAAATAGGTGGATCTAATGGCATTGGAGCCAGTTTTGTAAAGTTGTGTTGTGGAAATGGCGCGTATGTCTGTTTTGGCGACGTCGCGCTTGAAGCAGGGCGAGAACTCGAACGAGAATGCAATCATCTCGAGACCGGGCAGCTCCCGCGAACGATCTTCTGTCCAACCGACGTGACGGATTACAGCGCAGTTGTCGCTCTGTTCGACTGCGCATTGCAGACTTACCATCGGATTGACCATGTAGTTTCTTGTGCTGGGATCGGAGAGATTGGGAACTTGTTCGATCCCAAGTTGAACCTGGAGTCGATTCGCACGGTAATGACGAAATCCCCGCCACCAGAGCGGTAGGCACAACTTCTGTTTATTCCATAGTCGAACTGATCGTTTTATTCACCTATATCAGACACCTACCAGCAAAACCCTTGATGTCAACCTCCTCGGCTGTATCTACGTGACTCGAATCGCCCTAGTCTATCTCCGCCAAAACAGACGAGCTGATGAAGATCGATCCATTGTTTTGGTTTCGTCAGTAGCAGGATTCAAAGAATCTCCAGGGATCTTCGTCTACCAAGCTTCTAAGCACGGCGTGATTGGCCTAATGCGGTCTCTACGGCGGTATACCTTCAGGCCAGACACACATAACATCCGCATCAACACAGTGTGCCCATGGATGACGCAAACGGCCATGACCAAGGGCATAGAAAAATCATGGCTGGAAGCCAAGCTACCAGTCAACACACCGACGGATGTGGCTCGAATCGTCACCAGTTTGTTCTCAGACTCTAACCTGAACGGCAAGTCCATCTACGTGGAAGGAGGGCGCGGTTGGGAGATCGAAGACAATCTCGATCGTCTCGAGCCTCAGTGGTTAGGGGAAGCACCGAGTGTTAGTTTGAACAAAGGGCAGGAAGTGCTGGGGGACGGGTCGGATTGGACGACCAAATGATCCCGAGGAGTGTGAATAAGCCCATGAACGATGTTTTTGTTTCCGAAATTGGATATTGAGAAGTCCTGGTGAATGAGCTTAGTTCATCTGTATAATTCCAATCGACCGTTCGCGCATGCACCACACTTTGCAAATAGTGACTTACGTTGACCTTGCTTACCTGCAGACTACTCATGAACCTGCTTATCACACTACTCAGCCTGTCAGCCACAGCTCTCTTTACGCTCCGTGACACCCCTTAGTAGAAGCTAACACACAATGATGTTACTATACTCCTCAGTGGCATCTTCTGCCTTGGGGAGATGACTTACACTCCTTTCAACGATGATGATACCTACCGAACTGAACAGCATGATCTCTAGGAACGGACTCCCTCGTATACCCCCACCCCCGGTTACTTTGACCGCGAATAGACGCTATCAGTAATCTGCCATTCACTATCCCGAGGACATAGTTAGTGAATGTTCACCCTCCGTACACTAACATCCGTCCGACCAACTGAGTTTTCATCCCGCGGTTGAACGTGAAGATGGAAGTGCATAGGATGAACAATCTCTAGACTATATTCACTACCAGATCGAATAGAGGGTTAAACTAAACAATCGAGTTGTGGTGAAGGATACGGAACAAGACCTGACTCTCCCACCTAGTTCTTATTAGGAAAAGATCAAGGAGGACGCCGCGAGTATTCTACGACGGAAGATAGCCCGTAGCCGACGAGTTCGACTAGACGATACTGCCCTAGTGTTATCTATAAATGACCATTCCTAGGGAGATCTTACTAAACGCTTCGAAGGCACTAGTATTGATTAGACAATAGCGGAGAAGTAGCTACTAGCGTAGGGCCATCTATACCGTCTTAGCAAGAAGATTCAACTATAGATATCGATTAACTACATAGAGGAGAATAGGGCTCTTCCTTCTAGGATCGACAAGAGAGGAAAATCATTAGTTACCACGAGGATGCTTACTGACCGAGACGCTCAGATTGAGGCCGAGTAGGTCTCCGGCTAACATTCCGTCTAGCGCGATGTGTATCGTGTCATACGATGTCCCAGACCTCTATATCGCCACGAAGGTCAATATTGCTAGCAAGACCCGGAGAGCAAAAGACACTATAGATTAAGGACACACCATATGAATGCCCTCGTCAAATACGTGGAGCAAGGAGGAATCCTTAAGACCTATGACGATGTTCCTAAGAGCCTTCGAGAGCAACTGTATGCCGAGGAGAATCAACTACTCGAAAAGCGGAACAAAAACCTAGATAATTCTACAATCGGTTCAATATGTCCTCCGATCAATATCAATGTCCTTCCGGCTGGGTCATCTCAACAAACGATACCTACTCCTACTAATGACGCCACGCCTAGTAAGCCTGGCTATGCTGAACTAATCATGGTCCATAGTCTGCTTGATGTCGCCGTGGAGGAACATACTGAATGGTAGCAATCTTAGGTGAGCAACGAGACTTTTAGAGATCATATCAACAAAGCACGTGATGTGACTCTTGAAAATTGCCTGGATCTCATGTAGATTTATGAGGATCAAGACCTAGGGTTTTTCGTCAAGCACGGCGTGAAAGTAGGGGCCGCCCGGCGGTTCGTAAGTGACATCGGCCTCTGGTCGAAACGACGCGGAGAAGTCAATTGCAACGAAAATAATAGTAATTCCGTCTAGTTATGTTATAGTGAATAGAGAACAGCCCACACCGGCATACTGCATTTATCTCACTGCATGGTTTTGGAGCGTACTTTCATACAGTCGGATTCAAAAACCAGATTGCGCTCGTACACTCGCGAATTGTTTCCCGAACCCTATCTTGAAACACCCTAAGTTAATCTATATTGGCTTAGTCGTCGATCTCCCTTGTCTAAGGATAGAAGCCACTTTTTTCACATGACGGTAGGGTGGCGTAAAATACTGTATTTGACAGGAAACATCTTTTCGCTGCGACCTTTTGTGCCCCTCCTTCTGCCTTGCTGTCTTGTTTCCAGGTCCCGAGCATGGCTTCATCCGGAGAGGTCGAGAATCGCGATGGAAACTTGCACATTATGGCACCGAGACTACCCCTTTCAAAGCTCTGCTTGATTTGTGATATGGTACAGAGCCAGTCACTAACCACGTCTAAAATGGGCTGATATAGTTGGATGCGGCGACCATACAATTAAAAATGTTCGCTAGAGCCTACAGCTGTTTGGAAGCGTCCACGCACCCCCGAATCGTATTGGCCGGAGACGAAGCATAACGCGGCCGGTGCTGTATACATACTGTATGCATTCATATATATCGATTCAATTGTCGGTGTACAGTACCTTCCGAAACTGGTGCAACCGCCTACACTCTTCGAGTGATTATGTCGAGCACTAGCGGATAAATGATTGGCCACTCATCACCTGACGTGGGATGTGGGAATATGGTCCAAATCAACAAGATAGAAGATGTCTGACATTCTGAATATAATCTGGATATCCCTTTAATAGTACAGAACGCATAATAAGCGAAATAAACGCACAATGCCAGGAATGTCAATAAACAAAAGCAGTTTAGTGCTGCACAATACTTTTTATCCATGGCTCCACCATGGGTGCCGTCCTGACACTAAAGTCTCCGACCCCGCTACAGACCGCCTTTCGTTATGTCGCTTTATCTGCCGATCCAAATTTGGCTACCATCGACTATCACTTGATACACCAACCGTTTGGCTCTGAAGTAAGGCCCATAGGCTGTTCAAGTATACAGATATATGCATTGTCGCAATGGTCAAAGCCCACGAACACCTCATCCAGTCTCTATGTGACCTCGAAATTCCAAAGACCATCCGGCTTTCCCCGGACCGCTCAAGTATCCTTTACTCAACTGAACTCACCTGGGGTCATCGTAAAGGGGAACATGCCGTCTCCACCCTTTGGCTAGCCTCCACCGGCTGTGCAGACTCTTCGCTGCAGCTCACCCCGGGCCTCTTTCGCGACTACGCCCCCACATGGAGCCCGGATGGAAAGGCGGTGGCCTTTATATCGGATCGTGCGGATGCCGGCGCCAAGTGGGCTATATATCTCTTACCATTGCAACAGGGCGGTGAGGCGTACCCGATAACGCCGGTGAAGAACGCAAGTCCAATCGAAGCATTCGCCTTCTCACCTGATGGCACTCACATTGCGTTCCTCTCGGCCGATGAGGAGGTCCAATCTGCCTCGGCAGGAGACGGCGCCCACAACGTGCGGGCTTGGGGCGAGGATTGGCGATTTACGCGTCTGAGGGTCGTCGACTTGCGTACCAAGCGAGTCCTGTGTGCCAAGGTCGACAGGCACGTAAAGAGCGTCTGTTGGAACCCGGATGGGACCCGCATTGGTTTCTCAAGTTGCCTATCGCCCGATATCGAAGAGTCTCACCTCACTGGGACGACCATCTCAGCTATTGACGTCGGCCTTAGCTCCGTGGAAGAGTTGTGCCACTTCCCTGGAATGGTCGTTGACCTAACATGGGCTGCTGATGGGAATATATACTTTTGCGGAGGTGTTCCCGCAGACAAGATGTTCGCTGGCTTCGGCACGTATCATATTGACCCTACCACGAAATTTCACCAGTATGAGTGGGCGGGTTTTGGGGTAGAAAATGACTCCAGCGGCCTCATTAAGGGCGGAAGTGGCGCAATTTTCGTCAAGGTGCAACACCGGCTAGAGTCTCGCGTGTGCCTGCTCGACGGCACGGTGCTATATAGTAGGAAGGAGGAGCTCGAAGCATTCGACGCTGCAATAGATACTGATGGCAAGTTTGTCCTTGCCGTCGCAACTTCGGACGTCAACCACCCTACCGAGGTCTTCACCACATTCTCATCCGATGGCGCGATGACGCGAGTGTCGAATCACGGACAAGAGTTCGCAGGCCGTCGTTTCGGGACGTGTAACTTTTTGACGTGCACGTCAACAGACGGCGAGGTTGAGCTGGATGCCCTCTATTTGATCCCGGCCTCTTCCTCAGTCTGCGACCGCCGTCGCCCGTTGGCAACAGCGGTGCTCATCCACGGCGGGCCCAACACTCGTCTCACCAATGCCTTCAACGCCTACTACTACATGCTTGCTCCATATTTGCTGTCGCTCGGCTTCGGAATTTTGCTGCCGAACTATCGTGGAAGTAGCGGACGTGGGCAGTCTTTCGCGTCCTACTCCATCGGCGGGCTTGGCGTGTATGATTATTCTGATGTGATAGCGCTCACACAGTGCGCGATAGACCAGGGCTATGCGGACAAAGAAAGACTGCTAGTGGGTGGTTGGAGCCAAGGCGGGTTTTTGACAAACCTTTGCAGTGTGCGTAACGACTTGCATGACGGTGATTGGCGATTCCGAGCCGCCGTGTCCGGCGCCAGCATCTGCGACATCGATGCTATGGCCTTGACCTCCGACCTCGGCTCCTGCTTCGAGCCTGAACTCTCGCGCGGCGGTGTAGCCTGGAATATGGACTGTGAAGATACACGTAATCGCGCTGCGAGCGCCTTGTGGGCATTCAAAGACGCCGCACGGCGAGCCCATCTCACGAACGCTACTGTTGTGCCACCTATGCTGATTTTACACGGCGAGGCGGACGCTCGGTGCCCCGTGTCGCAGGCATGGGGCCTGCGTCGCGCACTACGTAGCTACGGCTTGCCCTTCGAACTAGTCATTTATCCTTCCCAGGGACACTTTTTTGAGGAGCAGAAGTATTGGGTGGATATGGCGCTCAGAATCAGCCGATGGTGCGAGAAGTACATCGGTGGTGCATCATCATGATGCAGTTAGCACTATAAGCTGTATACAGGTATACTCTCTAGCTTAGCCCTAGTCCCTACTTCGGTCGTACCCCTCCAGAGGCACTAGCTGTCACACGTTGCTAACTAGTCACGGTGAGTAGGTGCCTTGGGCAGTACGATACCTGAGCTTGTTAGCTTACCAGGGTTAGCTATCTCCGATAAAACGAGGGAATACTCATGCAACTGCCGAAAGAACTCCCAATATAGACTAGTGTGTCTTGGCGTAAGGGCCAGGAAAGTCAATCGAAGAGAGTAGCGGTTGCACCAGTTTCGGGACGTACTGTACGGTGATATTGATGTGTAAAAGAATTTATGCGTTAGATATCTATGGACACTGTCATACCCAAAATTCACGAATCCGTTCCAGTCAATTGGTGCGATTAGTTCCAAACTTCGCAGTAGTAGCTGCGCTATATCTCCCCTACGACCAGGCCAGCATGCCGGAAGTGTCCCTCTGCGCTGTTCTTTCTTGCACCCACGACGTCAACACACCATTCGAGGAAGTTATCGAATCCTTGATCTGGGTGTTCTTCGTAGGATTGCCAATTCCGCCGGATGAAAGCCTTGAGCTCAGCAAAGAACTCCTCAACAGGATTCAAGTCTGGAGAATATAGAGGCAAATACACTAGCTTTACGCCGGCTTCAGAGCATAGCTGTTCTATTCGGTCCGAGTGATGAAAGGATGCGTTGTCTATGACTAACACAGACTTCGGTTCGGGCCACTTCCCACAGTGCTAGAGAAGCTGCTTAATAAAATCCTCAAAGACGGACGCATTAGTTGAACCTCGGAACACTCGAGACAAAACAATGCTATCTTGAGCATATGTAGGCAGTATCTGATAACGTTAATCGGGATGGAATTTGGATACTTGAACTAGTGCGGTACCGAGTGGGGACCAACCCGTTCGCCTAAAGCCTGATCCTTTTATCACATCCAGATTCATCCACATAGACAAGGTGGTAAGACCGGAAGTCTAAGATAAAGTGAACGTACTCGTCCTAAAGGTCTAGGTTGCGCTCTTGGGCCTTGATGTAGGCAATCTTTTTTGACTAGCCTTTAGATGCAAGGGCGCGGCTAATGCTCGCTTTCGTTGCTTGAAGGGCGAATTCGTCCTATAGAAAAATGGCTATCTCGTCGAGGTATAGAGTAGGTTTTTCGAGCAGGCGATCGCACATAGCCTCGAGCATGACTAGAGTGATGCTACGGGTTCGTCTACCTTTATTAGGCGGTGCTTTGACGCTGCCAGATATCCGTATATTCGAAGAGATTCTCAGGATGGTTCTCCTGCTGCAGCCAGCAGCCTGTGCCATCTGCGATATAGATAGTTCCCCACTGTGGATCATGTCGTAGATAAGCTCATGCTTTGAGGGAGCTAGGTTTGGGGCCATCTTGGTTCGACCACTAGTGATAGATTGTTAAGATTCCCCTCCCTCGGGTGGCTGTTTTGGAGGTAGGGTACGGAGGTGTCAGATGTATTGAATTGACACACTAATACATACTTGAAAGTACGCTGTTATCTACAGTAAGACGCAATACACGTCCAACTGACAGGGGTACTCCGGAAAAACTCCCAAACATAGACTAGCTGGTCTTGGAATTACGGTTCGAGAAACAATGAAAGAGTGTAGGTGGTGACACCAATTTCGAGACGGACTGTAGAAGAATGTAGATCTGGAGCTAGTTTGTTGGCTTTCAAGGTACATGTACAGGCTGGTGCAAACCCAGCTTCACCGTTTCATGCTTTATTTATCACTTACTTCTGCGCCCCCACCGCCAAGACGCTCGCTCGAGAGATAGGTACTCTGAAATGGTTCTGTGCTCATTACTTGATGAGCACTCATCCTATAACCGTTGATCGTCGCGTAGAAATGCGTTTGGTTCACCAGAGGCAAAAAAGATCGAATTGTACTCTGTATTCTGGCCGATAGTTGGGCCGGATACCAGCGCCTACATAAGTTGTCTCTCTTTATCTTGCCAGAATAGCCCAGAGGAAGCGGGGAGAGGGAGATAAAACTGCTCTAGGCGTTGAATAGTGGCTAGCTACAACGGTATCCTGGTGACTGGGTTAGCGGCTGTCATATCCCGGGCGGGGGTTACCAGGCACAATCCCAAGTAGACAGAAAGATAATGTATAGGGTAAACTTAGATACGTCAGCTCAAGCTGAACAGTCCGCTCGAGCTCAGAAGGGTGACTCAGTGCTTCCGATCTTCCGATTCAGTTCCGATGATGGCAATATCCTCCTTGTCAGACGTTCATACTTCACAAAACCCCAAAGTTTGCTTCCTCATTCTGCCTTAGATTTCAAGATGCTCCACCGCGGCAAGAGCGCCATGGTCGTCCCACCTGAGACGATCTCTTCTGAGGGGAAAGTCATTGTGGAATTTGCGTCCGGATTGAATAGTGATGATGAACAGTTGGAGGCTATGGGACATGTGCAGGAGTTACGCCGTAATTTCTCTATTTGGTCGATCGTAGCCCTCCAGATTTCTTTGATGGCTACCTGGGAGGCACTCTCTACCGTGGTATCTGCGGCATTGACCAGTGGGGGAGCTCCGTATTTGTTCTGCAACTAGTGAGTGCAAATTCCCAAGTGGACTCTTAGTCTTTTCTGTGGCAAAATCGCTAATAGAATCTTCTCCTCCCCTTTTTCGTTAGTGTTATTACCTTCATTGGGAGCATGTTTATTGTGATTTCCTTGGGCGAAATTGCGTCCTACTATCCTACTGCTGGTGGTAGGTGTCCGCAGTTTGTGATATCCACAGTATCCTCGTATTCACTTCTGTAGGCCAGTATCATTGGGTCTTCTGTCTCTCGCCAGCCAAATATCGCATGACAGCTGCATGATTTACTGGCTGGATCACAATCGGCGCACAGCTGGTGTTCACCGCATCATCCGCATTTGCAGCTGGCCTATAACTACAGGGGCTTATCACACTCAATCATCTGGACACCTATATGCCAACGAGATGGCAAGGCATGCTTTTCTACGACACTGTGCTCGTGTATGCCATAGTAATCAATATATGGGGGTCAAAATTTCTCCCGCATGTTAATACTGGGGCAGGTGAGTAGTAAACCGAAGCAACTGAGATGACGCTCCTCTTTTCCCCTTTGACATTTCGGGCAGGTATCCTTCATGTCGTCGGCTTTGTCGCTTTTCTCCTTGTATTCGCGATTATGGCTCCGAAGCACTCAAGCAATTATGTACTCCTAGAAACCAGTAACGCAACGGTTGACTATAGTGCCCTACTGTAACTAGTTTGACAAACAAATTCCCCCCTACTATAACAGAAATCATAGACTCGGTTTCCAAATTCTCACTTTACGTCTCCCTCGTCATCCTTGGTCTTATCGCGTTTATCGTTGTCCCATTCGGTATTTAGACAGTGCCTCGCGTACTAGATGGCAATACTACCTAGAAAGTACTAGGAATACCACGCATTAAAGAAAGTGTAGGTATATCCGGTCGCACACACGGTTATGCCTGTCCACCTAGAGCCTCCATACTGACGCCAATGAGCCGCCACACCGGTGGAAGTCGCGGTGCTAGAAGTCGAACTCGTTGTTGGTCTTAGCGGCAGATGTGGTGGTGGTGGACGACTAGCCACTGGTCGAGAAGCCAAACCATTCCATGTCCAGGGCTCCGTGAATGGGGACTGTATGGCCGACGCCCGTCGCGTAGATGCCCTGGAGATTAGAGCCCCAGTTAGTGGTTTGGTAGTTGGCATCCGGGGTGTTAGCTAGGGTCGACTGGGGAGAGTCATAGTTGTATCCGAAGACGCCGGCCCACTGCTTGCAGGTCTCGTAGTAGTTCTGTGGGTAGAGAGTCGTGTCGGCGCTGCCGTGGTAGATCTGCATTCGGGGCCGTGAGCCAGAGTATCCGGGGTACATGGCTTCGGCGATGCCGCTCCAGACGGTGGGAGTGCTAATGACGTCGCCGAGTGCGCAGCTGCTGTTCCACGCGTCGACTTGGTTGCTAGAGGAATAGAAGCAGCCAGCACCAACGCCGGAGTAGACCGTCGCAGCTGCGAATAGGTTGGGATACGTGGCTGCCATGACGTTCTGCGTCGATATAAGTCAGTCACGTTTGCAGAGCGGCACATCAAGAAGATAATGGTATTCACCGTCATCATAGCCCCAGAGCTAGATCCTGTCACGAAGACTTTGCTGGTATCCGCATTGTATTGACTAATGGTCCAGGTCACCATGTTGGCGATCGAGTTGCTATCCCCGCCGCCATTATGGGTCAGAGCAGACTGAGAGCTAACGTCCCAGCAGGTCCCGCTATAGGGGCTTTGAGGGTAGATGACAATAAAGCCATACTCCTCCGCTAGCTGTGCATAGGGAGATCCGGTATAGTATGCCTCAGCGTTGCCAGTGCCTAGATCATCCGTTGTTATTGCATCGCTCTAGGACAAGACGGATCCAGAGGCCAACCCTCCACTCACAGTAATGAATCGCGACGACGATTCCGGGATTGGTGGCCAAGTTGTTCGGGACATAGATGTACATGAGAGTGCCAGAGGGATTGTTTCCAAAGCCAGTCACTTGTTGAAGCGAGCCGGCGGTGACTTGCTCAGTGGCATCCTTTTCCAGTATTCTGGCAGAAGACAATGCCAGATAGAGGAACAAGGTAATAAGAAGAGAGAGAGACGGGCGTCTCATAGTGGTCAGGAATTGTATGATCTCGCTATTGTCGAATTGAACCCAAAGAGCGCTGGGACATGACGAGATCAACAGCGGGATATCTCCAGGCTTTTATATGGTGAAGCGGTTGAGTTTACCCTGCCTTCAACATTTCCCCAGTATTAGATATCGTTTATTCTTTCGCAATGTTTCAACCACTGTCCAATTTTGGCTGAATTCTTAAGTTGCTTAGTAGCCTCGGACGAACGGAAGACAGGGGATTTCGTTTTCTCATTCGTATCTCGTCCGTGAGTTTCCTCAGCCTAAACTAAAGTAACTAAAACTGCCAAGGGGCAGCGTTTCCCCGCAATGGCAAGATCTGCAGTTTACGGATATCGCACGCCGTGACGAAACCAATATCTATCGACCAGAACTGGTTTGCGATCTGCAATTCGGTCTCTTCCGGCTGGATTCCCTACCAAGCCTGGATCTGTGTTTTGAAGTAACTTAATGGTTTCGCCTTAATATTCAGTCGTCTGAATCCGGAGGAAAAATTCGTATCGCCTCAGCTTCACTTTGCGTTTGCGCTGGCCATGGCCAATCAGCCAGCTTTGGCATCGGAGCGATTTCGAGACCGTCTATTGGAAAAATGATAATGGAGGTGAGGCAGAACAAAAGAAGCTTCTCATGTGGCCGCCAATCGGGCGATTCTTGGGCTAGGGGTCTTTCCAGCCACATTTGGGTTTACATCAACGCTTCTACACTCTTCGATTAATCCGCCAGCCCCAATGCCTAGTCTCTATTGGGAATTTTTCCGAAGTACCCCTGTCAGTTGGACGAGTACTTCTTCTTACGTAGATTACATTGTACTTTCTAGTTCGTGCTGAGCTAGGCCCATCGGTTAGGACATAAGGTCCATAGTGGGGTTTTACACTTATATCATAAAATAATTACCTAACCGCAGAGTGAAAGCGTAGTAAGAAATATAAAAATAGTATAAACTAAGAAAAGGAAGAAATGAAAGGAGGACAAAAAACTTGGGCTCAGCCGGAGATCGAATCCGGGGCCTCCTGCAATTTAGGTAGAACTCCCAAAGCAGGAATCATACCACTAGACCACTGAGCCTGGACTGAAATAGAATTTCAACTATAGGTACCCTTGACAATCCTCACGGATTCCTTCTTTAGTCTGATCGTTCCACAACTTGATTATCATTTATCTTCTCACCCCGCCTTTTGAAGCTATTTATAGTACAACCCCAGTCTGTCTATAACAAATGCAATGAATTACAACCGAGTGGCCGATTTCTCAGCAGCCACCTGGATTTCCGCGTCAACATTATTCTGCCTTTTTTTCTCACCGGTGCCATTGAAAATGCCTTCTATCTGAATCTCGAATCCAGGTGATAGTCCTGCTCAGCTATGAAAACCCCAAACGTCCAGCCCCAATCGACTCACCAAACCAATCACCGTAATGGCCGCCCGCATATTCAGAATTCTAAACTATTCAAGAGAAAATATGTGGTCACTCCTTACTATCCCCGACGTACTGAGCCAGAGGCAATAGGAATCTCTGATTCCACCTGCAAGGTCAACGGCGACCCCGTCAATGAGTGGAAGCTACCTATTCCGCCGCTAGAACAGCGTGAGGTCAAAATCAGTGGTCACCCGTGCAATCCTCAACATCAAAGCCGCTTCTTCAAGCTCCCACCCGAGATCAGGAGGTTAATCTACCTAGAACTGCTAGGTGGACGCCGCGTGCATATCGACTATACTTTTAAGTGGCCGTCGCCGTTTCGGCCGCAGCCGCTAGCGAAGAAGCGCAAGCGTTATTATTGGCAATGGTGGCATCTTCTATGCCACGAAAGTGATTATTTCTCGAATGACCCGTTTTTTGATCGGTGTGCCATTCATGCAGATGAGGCTAATGATGCTAAGAACCATGGGTGGACGGTAGCGCCCGAGGGGACGAAGATTCGGGGCGTTGAGTTGTTGAGCTCTTGCCAGATGGCGTTAGTCGCTCCGTCATGTCCCTCTTATAGTTCTAAAATCTCATACAAAGGCAGATATCGAGAAGCATTGCCTATCCTTTATAGCACTAATGTTTTCGATATGGGCGATGTGGTGGACACCCCATTCCACATGTCTAGGCTTTTTCCCTCGGAATACACTTCTCAAATAACAGCCATGGGCATCTGTATCGAAATTCGCAAATCACACTGCAAGCCGCCCGAAATCACCGGGAATTGGGTGGAGGTCTACCCGGCCTGTTATGAGCTCTTCAATCATACGTTCTGGAACGTGCGACGACTACGTGTGACCATGCGCTTAACGCCCTGGGACATTCCTCCAATAACCATGAATGATCAGAATCTGGATGCGTTTATTGCGCCCTTGGAGAAACTGGAAATGAGTCGAGAGTGGATCTATTTGGATCTGTGTGTTCCAGATGATTGGTATCCTTAACTGAAGAAGGAAGCCGATGCGCAGAATACGTGGTCACTAAGTACAACTTGTTGGCGTGTAGGTCCATGTATATTTTGATACTATTTAGGATGGGTGGACTGATTATTACAACGAAATCATTTAGGTGGAAACGCTCCCAATGATCTAGCTAGTCGCTTCTGCGAGCACTGGAATCCCATTGGTGATTGTCGTGACCGGCCCAGTGGTTCCAATGCACACGAAGCAGGTGTCTCCAGGCCAAGTTGAGTTCCAGCTGTAGAAGTTTCTGTTCTTATGTTGGATGCAACTAATTATATAATGAGAATGAGAACGAGAATGTTAGAAGAACCTATGACGTAGCAACACTTGCCATATCAGCATAATTATCTCCCTTCTGCATATCGTAGAAACGGAGACAGTCGGACACCATTTAACTCTGGAGAAAAGTCCGGCACACTACCTCCCGGACACTCTTCTTGGAAGAGTAGCGATTGACGGAGAGATATGTAACATACGCCGAGCTATATTGTTCCGAGCAACATCTTATGACAGGGAAATCAAAGGGACGAGCGAAAGCATCATAGTCTTTGATCCAAATGCGGATATGGAGTCCCTGCCACACTGGGAGAATGAGGATCCATCGAGGGGAGAGACAGGGTCTATACCCCCGGGATTTAAGACTCTTATTATTAGAGCGTTTGGGGAGTATAAACATGTGTAGTTTCCGGCTCATGGATCACTTGGAGACCGCTTTTATGGCCGCCCAACAGTGAGATATATACCATGGCTGCGACTCTTAGGGAACAGGTGCGTTTAAACAATCGGATGGAACGAGTATGGTCCGCAAGCTGTATGCTTTATGTGCGAATAGATGTATTCATTATGACCGTGATGACAAGTAGGGCAGAGATCATCAACAGACCAGAGAGTGATTAGTAAATATGTACAAAAGAACGAAGCCGCGCCTTCTATATGACATGGAACATGATTCATAAAATGCAAGAGAAGCATCGTCACCATCGCGTCTCTAAACTCCATTTCCCCAAGGCTCTTTGAGACAACCGGGGAAAATTAAATAGCAAAACAGTAACCACTAGTGCGTACCTCTGCTGCGCCATCTCCAATCAAGAAACAACAGTATTCTGAGCACTTTGTGGATTATTCGAATCCACAGGCCCCAACGTCCACTTCCACTCGCGCCGGCGCTTCACCCGTCGTTGACGGGGTGTCTGTGGCGTAGAGGCAGCGTAGGCATCGTCCTCCTTGAGACCATCTAGCAGCGCAACGGCCCGGACCTGGCGTTCCATGCGCAGTGTACGCCGTTTCTTGCGCTCTGTCTTGGACAATGACGATGGATTATGCTGTTGCCCGTGGTCGGGGCTGGACTCCTCGCTTGACGCACTGGTCTCTGACAGCGATAGATTGGAGTAATCCGAGTCGTCGTCTTCCTGTTCAGGTGTTGGGTGCTCGATTTCCTGCTTTGCATGCCCTTGCTTCTGTCGTTGTTCCTGCCCTTCTCCTTCCTCCTCCTCCACATCCTCCTGAAGTACAAGGTCAAAATGCGACGCCGTGTATCGTTCCGTGTGGATAATCTCTTCCAGCGGATACCGATAGCTCACCTGCTTCTCGGCAGGGAAGAATACCCGCCGCGTACCGGCGCCGCCAACTGTACCGTTCACGCTCGTCGCGGAGATAGACCCTGAGCGCCGGCGCGCGGCGGGATCGAGTGGTGAATTTCGCAAAATGCTTCGCACGCCCAGTGGTTGTTGGTATGGATAGGGACTGCGGTAGTTATAGGTGAAGGGATTATTATTGTTGTTGTTGTTGCTGTTATTGTTGTTATTGCCGTTGTTGGCGACGGCATATGGGGAGGATGGTTTTGAGGTGCTAAATCGCGGCCCCAGTCCTGACCCTTCTATTGTTGCTGGTGTTGGTAATGTTCTGGAGGGAGAAGCCGTTGCTGACGACGGAGTGGCTACGTCGTAGGCATTTCGGAATGTATTGCGAACAGTCGGTGAAGCGCCGGACCCCGCGGCGAAGGAGAAGGAGAGGCCTGTTGAAGAGCTGCCGAAGGAACGTGGCAGGGAGGATGTTTGGAGGGTGAGTTTAGGCCGGGATGCGATGGCTGTTGGTTTTGGCGGGGCAGAGAGACTGCAGGCCATGGTTGTTGAACTGCTTGTGGTGGTAGTGGTTATTGAGGATAGTGTAGATGGGTGAGAGTGAGAGAGAGAATGAGAGGGCGAGGAGGCAGATGACGAGTAGAGAGCATGCGGCGGTGGAGTCATGTCATTATTTTTGAGGCCGCTCCCCATAGACCAAAGAAAAACCAAAGCAAAGGAACAAGAAAGGATTTGCCCCTGCTGTGGGCCGGGGCAGACAGAGAGGAGGAATAAGGTCGGCGCTTCCGAGTCAATCAATCAATAGCGGGGGTTGGTTGGTTGGGACTAAGAATAGAAAGTAGAAGACCAGAGAAAAAAAAATGAGGCGTTTGTGGCGACTAAGTCACGGACAGGGGTACGTTATGCAATAATACTGTGGGTGTGTAGGGTATGCAACTTAATAAAAATGGCCTAACTATCGATCTCTAGTTAAAAACTCGCACGTTCAAAGGCCAGAGTGTAACGCCCGTGGGGATCAGACGATCGATCAGTTATTGCCTCCAGACCGATAATAGACCCACTTCTATATTTGGAACAGATGATTGCCTATATAGGCTGGAGCACTGGACTAACGAGTACTAGGAACATTGGGTGAAAGACTAGTTACATAGTAGACATCTACGAAGTATAGAATCACAGTTCTACACTGAATTTATTTCCTCTAGGTTGCCACCGTGGACTGCTGAATGCCACTGCTTTTGACAGTCATGAGCTCATTGCATGCAACGCTATCTATATTTAGTAATCACCCCCTGGAAAAGCCGACTACGACAGAGAGGCAGCCTACGGACAAGACCAGATCTAGGAATAGTCCGTATCATATATAGCATACATCGATACCTAATAAAATCCTCTTTTGGTCGTCACTAGGAGAATAGAATGCCTCACGTGACGTGCTATAGACTTCCTCTTCTCTTCGCGGTCGATCATGACCGTCAGCCATCCGCGTCATCGGCGCATGAGCCACCACCAGCCCACGTTGTCTCATGGCATCATATCCAGCGCGCAACGATAGCCGGATAGTCCTGCATTTGGTAACTGCCACCTCTCACCCACTCACCATGCGGCACCTCCGCTGATCATCCAGGATTACGACTGTTTCTACGCCTCGGTCTTCGAGGTCGAGCAGCCGATCCTCAAAACTCTCCCCCTCGCCGTGCAGCAGAAGCAGATCGTCGTGACGTGCAACTACGAAGCGCGCCGACGAGGGTTGCATAAGCTGCAGCTGATCCGCGACGCAAAGCGGATCTGTCCCGACGTGGTCATTGTGCTCGGCGAAGATCTGACGAAATTCCGCAATGCCTCCAAGGAATTGTATCTCTTTGTCAAGGACTTTGTCTGGGGCGGCAGGGTCGAGAAATTGGGCTTTGATGAGGTACGTAACTATTTACATCGTAGAGTATAGGCCTGTCTCTTATGACGGATTTGGGATGTTGATTGTCGCATTCGTATGTAGCTCTCCCTCGATGTGACGGAGATGATCGATTACAACGTCAGGGGTCTGAATCCTCATGATCTACCTGCTTCCTTCTTCCATCTGGATCGCACAGACCCGACGGTGGGCTTTGCGTACGATGCCGCCAAATTTGAGGGCCAAACAGCTCCACCGTCCCCTGGGGGCCTTGGAAGCGCATCCTCATTGGACCTGTCGTCATTGGAGGTGAGGCTGCGGGTGGCCTCCCATTTAGCTGGGTATATTCGAGGTCAGCTAGAGCATGAGAAGGGCTACACCGCTACGGGAGGGATATCGACGTCGAAATTGTTGGCTAAGCTGGTGGGCAATCTCCACAAGCCGAACAGCCAGACGACGCTTGTACCGCCCTACGCGCCCACAGAGAATGACTCGCAGGGCAATATCATTAGATTTCTAGATGCGCATGAGATCCGCAAGATTCCGGGGATTGGCTCGCGGTTGGCGCAGAAATTGAAGGATCATGTCGCGGGCCGTGATGCAACAACGGACGACAACGTCACCGTGAGGGATGTGCGCCTGTTCCCGGGCATGGGCCCGGCCTCGCTGGAAAGGATCCTCGGGGGGCCAGGTGCCCCCAAAGGTATCGGGATGCGCATGTGGAATATCCTTCACGGAGTCGACAGTTCCGAAGTCCTCGAAGCCCGCGATCTGCCCACCCAGATTAGCATCGAGGACTCGTACGGTCGGCTAGACAGCCTCGACAGCGTACGGCGAGAGCTAGCAGTCCTAGCAAAGAGTCTCATCCGACGGATGAGGACAGATCTACTCGACAAAACCGATCCCACGACTCCCCAGGGACGGTGGCTCGCTCATCCTCGCACCCTACGACTCTCCACGAGACCTCGCCTCCCACCAGGCAGCGATACCGGGCGCACCTACAGTGCCAACCGTATCTCGCGTTCGGCACCGCTTCCACCATTCGTCTTTGCGCTGGATGAAAACATCGATGCATTGGCTGAGCGACTGGTGCAGGAGGCTGTGCTGCCGGCGTTCCGAAAACTTCACCCGGACAAGGCTGGCTGGGCTCTCAGCCTCATGAACATCGCCGTGACTAATTTCGTGGAAAGTGCCGGGGATCAGAAACAAAGTAGCGGACGCGATATTGGAAAGATGTTTAGGCAGCAGGAGAGTCGTGCCCTGCCCAGATCCAGTACTCCACCGGTTCTGGTGGATCCCGCCGGAAATGACATTCTAGACGCCTGGGACGAGACGGACGAGCCTTTGCCCGGGAGAATGTGTCCACGCTGTGAGGCCCGGATTCCCGATTTTGCATGGCAGGCCCATGAAATATACCATTCGAGTGTAGATTAGTTGGTGTAGATGGTTGCCACCAGGCACCGGACAAATATAGAAACAAGCACTCGGAGTGTGGCGGATACTAAGGAATCTTTGCTACCCTTGGCACCTTGGCTCGTCACATCTCACTCACTCTATCTCTCTCTCTTTCTCTCTTTCCCTTACTCTTGATTTCCGAATTTCCCTCGCTTGATTAATCTCTTTCTCTCTCTCTGCTTTTTGTTTTCTCTCCTTTCGCCCTTGTGTTAATCACGAGTGGCCCCCCAATCCCTAGGCTCCCCTTCCCGCCAATGGTCTCGGTCGCAGCCTAAACGTTGTCACCTGGAGATCCTTGGTTAATACCGACAACAAACCCCAAGGTCGACACTGACTGGCCGTCCTTTGGCCATGAGGCTTCTAGAGAGACTGCTGCCTCTCGCCAGCGCAGTCTCCCTTCTTTGGACGCAGGCTGACGGTAACGCGCCTTCCCCCAGCCCACTCCCTCTCCGCGCTTACGCTGACTGACACCCTCTTGCAGCGCACTCCAAGGCCTTCGAGGCCATTCGCCATGTCGCGCCCATCGAGAACCCAGTGATCGGCACCTCCTCCCATAACATCGACTACTCCTCCGATTTCGATCTCACCTTTGACCTGCACGATGGCTCACAGCGGATAAAGCTGGAACTCCAGCCGAATTACGAGATCATCGCAGAGGATGCCTATGTACAGTATCTCAATCCCGATGGCAGTATAGACTATGGGGAGCCGATGCACCGGCATGAATTCAAGGTGTTTTTGGGCCGCGCGCTGGAGGGGTCGGGCAAAGGGGGGTGGAAGCCCGTTGGATGGGCTAGAATCACGGTGCGAAGGGACGGCCCGGATCCGTTGTTTGACGGGGCCTTTAGCGTCGGACACAACAAACACCACATCGAGTTGAAGTCGACGTATTTACAGAAGAAGCGTCCGATCGATGCGGATATCGAGGATCGGGAGGGCGAGTACATGGTGGTCTTCCGGGACTCGGACATGATCAAGGCCACGCATCAGGAACTCAAACGGTCTTTGGCCCCCTCCGAGGAAAGCTGTAGGGCGCACGAGCTGGACTTCAATGCAGACCTCGAAAAGTCCATCTTCAGCGGTGGGCTTGACCAGGCGGGCAACGGCCGGTTTGGCGTCACCTCTTTGAATTCCCTATTCGGCCTGAGCAAGCGACAATCCGATATTGGCGGCGTATCGGGGAATACGGGCAACGTGAATCTGAAGTCGAGCATTGGCAACACGGCGGGATGTCCCAAGACGAAGAAGGTTGCTCTGATCGGTGTGGCCACCGACTGTCAATTTACCCAAACGTTCAGCGGCAACACGACGGCAACCGCGAAACAAGCAGCACGGGATTGGATCATCAGTACTGTGAACACGGCATCCAATGTCTACGAAGACTCCTTCAATGTCTCACTCGCCCTGAAGAATCTCACCATCAACTCCGCGATCTGCCCGGCGACAGCCGCCGAGGCCACCCCGTGGAACATGAACTGTAACAGCGGCAATATTACTTGGCGTCTGAACGAATTCTCCAAGTGGCGTTCGGAAAACCCGGATGGCAACGCCTACTGGACTCTCATGACCGACTGCAAGACCGGTGACGAAGTCGGCGTCTCATGGATGGGCCAGCTGTGCAATGATCAGCTCGTCAGCTCTGGCGGCCAGTCGGTCTCGGGCGCCAATGTGGTGGTGAAAACGGCCGGGTCTAGCTGGCAGATCTTCGCCCATGAGACCGGACACACATTTGGTGCGGTCCATGACTGCGAGAGCTCAACCTGTGCCGCCGGCTACGAATCCAAAAACGAGTGCTGTCCGCTGAGCACCACGACCTGCAGCGCCAGCGGCCAGTACATCATGAACCCAGCGGCGAACCCCAGCGTGTCGGCATTTTCCGAATGCACTATCGGCAACGTCTGCTCGGCAATTGGCACCAGCAGCGTGAAGTCCTCCTGTCTGACCAACAACCGTGGCATCGTCACCATTACGGGCAGCGTGTGCGGCAACGGCATAGTCGAGGCAGGCGAGGAATGCGACTGCGGTGGCGATCAGAACTGCGGCGACGACCCCTGCTGCGACCCCACGACATGCAAGTTCAAGGACGGCGCCGTCTGCGACGACTCCAACGACAGCTGCTGCACGAGTTGCCAGTTCACCCCCGCCAACACCGTCTGCCGCCCCAGCACCGGCCAGTGCGATATCGCCGAGTACTGCACGGGGACCACAGGCGCCTGCCCAAACGACGCATTCGAAAAAGACGGCACGGACTGCGGCTCCTCGGGCGCTGGACTCCAGTGCGCCAGTGGCCAATGCACCAGCCGGGATTACCAGTGCAGGTCCGTGCTAGGCAGCATGCTGAACAGCAACGACACGTGGGCCTGCGACAACACCAACGTTCCCAGCTGCCAGCTCGTCTGCGGCGCGCCCGAAATCGCCGCGAAGTACGGCTACAGCACATGCATGTCACTGAACCAGAACTACCTCGACGGCACACCGTGCGATTCCGGCGGGCGCTGCAGCAACGGTCAGTGCCAGGGCTCATCGGCGCTGGGGTGGATCAACGAGCACAAGGCCCTGGTTATTGGGATCTGCGCCGGCGTTGGCGGCCTGATCGTACTGGGTATCCTCTCGTGCCTCATCTCGCGCTGCAGAACCGCGCGCGCTCGCAAGAATATGCGTAATCGTGCTCCCCCGCCAACGGGTTCCTATTCTCCGTACGGTGGTCGCTACCCTGCTCGTCCCCCGAGAGCATCGGACCGTCCCCACCGGACGGATCCGCCGATGTCCCAGTGGGACAGCTTTCCTGATGCCGGATATCAGAACGTGCCCCCGCCATACCCCTATATGCCGCGCGGTCCACCACCCGTGCATTATTCGTGATTGTGATGATTTGTTTATTATAATGTTTGCCTCTGCACTCGGGACTCGGGGTTGGGATATTGCTCGGCGTGATACATCGTTTTCTTTACTGTTTTCGCTTTGGGTGTAGGCTTCTTGATTTATCTTCTGGTGTGTGTTATTTTTGTCCGGCTTCTTTACCGGAACGGAGAAGATGAGAGGTAAGACAGGCCAGGCCAGTTTCATATCAAATACATACCTTGCATCTGAAGTTAGAAGATTGGCTCTTGTACTTGTTTATTTCCATAGCTGAAGAAACGATAGAAAAAAGTAGAAGCAAAAACATAGGATAAGAGTAGGATATATCCATTGGCACAATCACTGTTTAGCATCTCGCCAGACCAAGATCAAAGCAAGAGACAAGACGAGACGAACTCCCGAAAACAACACAGACAGACTCACAGGAAACGAAAAGGACCCAACACCCAAGAAACCCATGCATCCAAGCAACAGAGTCAACCACCAACACTTCACTCGGACCTCGACACCCAGTCCGCCCCAACAGTAAGATATAAACCCATACTCTCCCTTCTCCAGCCCATCCATCCTAATAACAACAATGTGATACTATCTATCATTGCCAACAAATCCCCACAAAAGCCTCCCTCGTAACACCACCCACGCCCTCCAGATCAAACTCCTCAATCATAGCCCTCAGCTCCTCTTCCTCAAGGCCCGTCTCGCCCAACTCACGCGCAACACGCCTCAGATCCTCGAGATCAATAAACCCCTTCTGGCCATCGTCAAAGAGCTCGAACGCGCGCAGGATCTCGTCGCGCGGATCGCGCTCCAGGATCTTGAGCGCGGTTACCGCTTGGAACGAGGATAGGGGCATGAGGAGGTTGGAGGGGTGTTGGGGGTTTGAGCCTTTGGCTGATGAATTCTGGTTCTGGTTCGGGTTTTGTGCTTGTTGTTGATTTGGGTTTTGGGCCTGGTTCGGGTTTTGCGCTTGTTGCTGCACTTGTGGACGGGGCACCCCGTATGTTGTTAGGAGGGAGATCAGCTCTTGTTTCGAGAGGGTGAAGCCTAGTGCGCGGAAGGCGACGCGTAGCTCGTGGTAGTCCAGGTGGCGGTCGCGGTCGAGGTCGAAGAGTGTGAACTGTAGGAGCGGTGGTTGTATTAGCCTTCTCTTCTTCCTCTCTCTCTCTCTCCCTCTGCATTGTGCATTAAGGAGAGAGATGCATCACTCACAGCCTCATTAATCTCCTCCCTCTGCTCCTCCGTCAACCGATTCAACGGATTCGCATCCTGTTGCCCATGCGCACCAAGGCTCTGCGCCTGGAGCTGCGCAGCCGAGCCGGGTGTCCCAGCAGCAACAACATTGCCACCCTGCTGCGCGGGCTGCTTGGAGGGGTCAGTCCCGAAATCAGCGGGTGCCGTGGCGCCTAGGCCGCCGCGGTGTCGCGAGAACGAGGAGGCGCTGAAGGGCATGGCATTGGACTGGATAGAGCGGTCGGGGAGTTTTGAGCCGGTGTAGGAGCGCGAGGCGAAGGGTTGGCCGCCGGATGAGGAGGCCATGGTTAGTGGTGATGGGATTGAGGAGGTTGGTGTTGGCGGTGGAGCGAGAGATTCTTGACGCGACGCGGGTGGAATGGATGGATGCACTTTGCTTTGTACCGAACTACAATAACTAACTACCTACAGTTTTCGGATAAGACACGGATAATGAGATTAATAGAGACAGTAGGCCATACTTCTGGACGTAATAATGAGCTATTGGATATTCGTAATTGTACAGCCACAGCCACAGACACAGTCCAGCCAGTAATCCACAACGCCGCTAGAGTCCCTTCCTTTTGTCATCGTCTATTCAACCGTTATTGTACATGCCGGTAATCAGAAATCACAGCCCGGAAAGACAGTCAGTAAGTAAGGCAATGGTAAAAATAACAACCAACAATAAGCAATACTGTCCTCGAAATCTTCGGACCGGATTGGTGCCGGTCTTTGTACTCATCTAAACACCGTTTTGGTTGGAATCGTCGCGCTGCTCGTTTCCGGCTTCGGGGTGGTCGCACCAAAGAACTCGTCAATCAGGGTCATCGACTCCTCATGGCTGGGCCAAGTGTCTGGGTTCGTCGGGTCGAAATCTTCGCTGCGCACCGGGGAGATCATCCTCGGGGGTTTGTTCGCCGAAGCATCGTCGGGCATGTTTGTCTCCGCGGGCTTGGCTTTGCGTGGAGATGCCGGGTTATCGGGACTGGGCCGGAGGTGAACCGGGGGACGGGTGAACGCTTCGTCCAGAAAGGATTCCATGGCATGGGATGTCTCCGAGAAAGGATCTGCGTGTCGTCTGAAGACCACGGGCTCGAAAGGCTCGAGGCTGGATGGTCCTAGCCAGAGAGCGATGTCGAAGTATTCGCGAGACGGCAGGACGGGGATCTCATCATTGAGCACAGCAGTCAAGGAGTCCTTGCTGCAAGGTTCTTGGGAGGGTGAAATCCATTTCAGAATGCTCCACAGGCTACTGTGAACACCATCCAGGTGCGAAGCGAAGGAATTGAAGATCGGTGCGATGGACAGGCAGGTGTGAAGGTCCAGTAGCCCGCTGACAACCCGATAGTAGAGCGCGGTGGCGGCCCAGATCGGGCTCACAGCGTACGTCTCTTCCTCCTTTCCAGAGCCAGACTCATGATGCAGGTCCTTTCCACGCAATATCTCGCAGAGGATCCCAGCGAAGCGCTCGGACTTCTCTGCTAGGTCCCGCGAGCAGACAACCAGCACATAGAACAACGTCAGACGTGCAATGTCAATATCAAAGTGGCTGACATGAACGTTGGTTTGCCCGAGACAACGAAGGGTCATGAACATTCTCGCCATGGCGATGGCGGATTGCACGAGCGGGTGCAGATGGTAGGCCTTTTCGAGCTTGACCAGCTCAGCGCACCAGACATACTTGTGTGCTTCGGCAATAAACCCAGCAGCAGGATGCCCCCACGCACTGGAGACGGCCGTTTGGGCTTCGCGCAGGTCGATCGCCCACGTTTGAATCTGCCCATCACCGGTTTGGCGGAGGTTGATCACCACCCGCAGTCCTGGCTCTCTTTTGAGGATTTTGTTGCTCAGAAACCCCAACGTGGTGAGCGCTTCACGGGAAGGCGGGCTTAGCAAGAAAGCGGCGAGACCGTCGTCCGCAGAAAGCTCCACGGTAGGACCAAACAGGGACAGCTGCGAAGACTCTCGAATACACTTGCGCAGGTTTAACACGCAAGAGCGACAGGTATCGGCAGGCTGGCATCTCTTCTTGCTCCGATAACACCAAAGACAGGCACCGCCAAACATTTTGAGCAAACGAGTGTTCTCTTTCTGCTTCTCTACATCAATCTTGGATCGGATCCGCCTTTCACGATGGCCGCGCGGGTTCTCTCGCGGGTCCTCGAAGATGACATGCAAACTAGAGCCGGCGGGAGGGGAAGCCTCCTGCGCCCCTCCTGTGCTACTCCTAAACGCATGTTGGGCATAGTTGTAATCGGTGACGGTGCAGTTCCAAGTATCCTGGGAGCTCATGGGCCACGTATACGGTCGGTGTATGGGATCGGGCATAGATACTGCTAACCTGGGCGAACATAGTGTCGTCAGAGAGGCCGCCATGTCTTGAACTGTCGGTGCATTCAGGTTTGGGAAATTTGAAGTCTGGCTGTCGCGGGAAAATGTGTCATGCTGCGGTTCGAAGACTCCATACATTTGCAAGGGATAATCCTGCACCAGACCGTCCAGGCTAGGTTCAGAGTAATAAGGTAGTCCTTGGAAATGGGCAATTTCATTGTGTGTGGGTTCAATATGGATGGGAGACCCGGTTGGGTCTTCGGATACATGACCAAGTGACAGGCTTGATGAAGGGTCCTCCACAACTTGTTGTGTGTGGCCACTGGTTGACGTCTGGGTTGGTGATGGCACAGTAAGCTACAGAGCAAGTAAAGATCAGCCTTATTCTGAATATGAAGATCAAACGGAACGAACTTACCGAGTACGCCGAGCTGTCTGACAGGACCCGGGCCGGTTCGGGGGACAGGGCGAACAGGTCGTACCGAGGACCAGACAAGTCACCCGGGATCATAGATTCATGGGTCATGGTTTTTGAGATATGGATGCCCGAGCAGATATAGAATGTGGAGATGTTGTGGAGAGTCGAAGAGCTCGGAAACCCCTGATGTCGTTCAACGATCTGGTATGCCCAGCAAACGGCAACAATCAAGAAGCGAGCTCAGACCATATACGACAGTCGGGTAACCAGGTTGACTTAATTATAGTCCTGGACGATCACATTTGGGACCATGGGCTGACAGCCCTTCGGTGATAGAACAGGTTGCGGTGAGAGGATGGACAAAAAGATCGAGCGGATGAAGGAAACTAAAGGTCATCCTGTCAGGCACGACGACTATCGATGTCATCGCGACTTCCCATCCACGTTTCCTCGCTGTCACCCAAACCGGCATAGTGCTTTCCCTCTTAGGACTCGGCTGGCTCACAACATTGTAAGCAGATCAAACTGCGACTCCTTTATATGCCGTTCTGCGATTCATCACATTGACTATGTTTCGACCTGGTTCTTGTTGGGAGAAGCACCGGTCAAGAGTAAAGTTTTGCCCCGGTAAGCTCTGTCGAGTGCATTTGTTGTAGTGTATGTTGCTATGGTCGAGAGTCGCGCACCCGCGTTGGCATACCCCCCGCCAATCCCAAATTCTGCCGACTTCCCCGATCAGGTTTGGCTAGGTACTGTGTAGTTCAGAACCTGCCCAGATCAGGATCTCGCATCGTCCCCAGGTCGAGATCCTCCAAGAACGTCCGGTCCTGGAGCTGCTCGGGTAGATACTCCTGCACCACCTCGCCATTCTTATAGTTCGGGTTGTATTTATACTCCTTGCCGTACCCAAGCTCCTTCATGAGCTTCGTGGGTGCATTCCGCAGATGAATGGGAATCGGCAGTCCCGCAACACCTGGCTCGTTCAGTGCCGCGAACGCATTGTTCAAAGCCCGATATGACCGAGTGCTTTTCTTCGACATGGCCATCGCGACAGTGGCATGCGCCAAATTGATTCGTGCCTCGGGAAGCCCGATTTTCTCAACAGCAGAATGAGTGGAGATGGCCAGAGTGAGCATGGTGTTATCGGCCAGTCCAATATCCTCCGACGCAACAACGATCAGCCGCCGGGCGATGTACAATGGGTCCTCCCCAGATTGAATCATGCGAGCAAGGTAATATAACGCTGCATCCGGGTTACTCCCACGGATGGACTTGTGGAAGGCTGAAATGGTGTCATAATGTTGATCTCCGGCGCGGTCATAGACAAGAGTTTTGGTCAAAGACCGTTTCAACTCCTCTTTCGTCATCTCCTGGCGTTTGGACAGGTCCATGGCTAGCTCGAGGAGATTGAGGGAGGTTCGGGCGTCCCCGTCAGCAAATTTGGCTAGATACCGCACCAGTTCATCGTCCACCAGTGCCGAGGGCGAGTAGTTGGGGCCTTCCACCCTCAGTGCACGATTGAGAATAGCAGTAACATCTTCATCCGTGAGCTTGGCCAGGGTAAAGGTCCGGCAGCGCGAGAGAAGAGCATTCTGGACCTTGAACGATGGATTCTCGGTTGTGGCGCCAATGAGCGTAACCTGTCCACTCTCGACTGGTCCCAAAAAGACATCTTGTTGGGATTTTGAAAACCGATGAATCTCATCACAGAAGATAATCGTCTTCCTGCCGGTCAGACCGAGTTCACTCCGAGCCTCGGCGAAGATCTTCTTGCATTCCGCAACACCAGAGCTCGTGCTGTTGATTTCCACAAATCGGCTGCCAACCATCGATGCAATGACTCGTGCAATGGTCGTCTTTCCTGTACCCGCACTACCCCACAGTATCATGCTCGGAACTCTGTCCTGCTCTATAAGTCCGCGAAGCACTCCGTTCGAACCAACCAGCTCCTGACCACAAACGTCATCTAATGTCTTGGGTCGCATACGCTCTGCCAGAGGGGCCGCTTTCTGAAAGGCACTGACTTTGGGGCGTTTCGCCGGCTGCTCCGCGGGTGTGCCATTCTGTTGGCTTGATCCATCTCGGTCTTGCGGTGTATCCGGTTCCTGCACGAAGGATCTCTTGCCATTTAAGCGCGGAGTTGATGCATTGGGACGTGACGGTGATTCTTTGGTCACACTAGGCTGAGATGAGGCTTTGCGTGCGGACGGCGGCTGGAAAATGCTGGCCACTTGTTTTTGGGAAGCGGGCTGGTCTGTCGGGGACGATGCCGGGTCTTCGATAAACTTCTGGCAGTCCGAGTCAATGTGGTCGTTGATCTTTAGCTGTGGCACCGAATTCGAACAGATGGGACAGGAGACCATGACTGCGGACGGGAGTGCTCGCGGTTCATCAACTGATGGTCGATTGACGGACGCGTGCGACGCGCTGTAGATGCGATTAGATAATGTTTCTGCCTTGATGCCTGAATAAATGGCAGCGACAATTTGGGGAGTGTAAGTAGTGTGAAACAGCAAATGGAAGGACCTAGGGAGTGGAACAGTGATTATTTCAATTGCCTTAGTCGTACACAAGTTAGTTGGTGGTGTCCGTGAGTCTCTCCGAGCACGCCATTAATTGACGCAGTTCGTTCCGATTCTCTTCCGACTCCCACCTCACCTTCTCACCTCTCTTTCTCTCTATCTCTCTCTCGCGGTCCCTCTCACTCATGATTCTGGGTCGCAACACTCGACTCGTCTCCGTCTTTAAATCGACTACTGCCCACCGCGCAGCCTCAATCCCCATCTCCTGCAGCCCGGACTTACCCCGCCTCCCCGGATTCGGCGCAAGAGCAATGTCCGCAACAGCTGCGCGACCCGACCCTTTTAAGCCGGCGAAGAGAGTGGCCGGACAGCGACAGGATGTCTGGTGCGCATCACGGCTCAATTGACAAAAGAAAGTCGATGAACTCGTCTGACTAGAGCACTAGGTCCATCGTGAACGAAGCCGCGGCCGCCTCGCCCGTTCAGCCGATTGTGAATATGGGCCAAGGATTCTTGTGGGTGTGGCTAATACATGGAAATAAAGTAGTGGAAAACTGACTAGGAGGTCGGAACAGTGGTTATAATCCCCCCAAGTTCGCCCTTGACGCGGCCAAGGATGCGCTGGACCGGGTGGAATGCAACCAGTATTCCCCGACAAAGGTAGAGATCGCCCGAGGCTATTGAACATTGTTGGCATTATTCTCACCCCGAATAGGGCCGTCCCCGTCTCAAGAAGGCTATTGCGGATGCATATTCGCCTTTCTTCGGCAGGACCTTGAATCCCGAGACAGAGGTCTCCATCACCACGGGCGCGAATGAGGGTAAGACTGGACTCGCTTCGTACAAATGTGTATACTAACCATATCCCCCAATTGCCAGGTATGCTGAGCGCATTCATGGGTTTCATTGAACCCGGGGATGAGGTCATTATCTTCGAACCGTTCTTTGACCAGTGAGTAGCCAAAAGCCCAAGAAGGTACGCTGTCGTCTAACGTCAGAAAAGATACATCAGCAATATCGAGATGCCCGGTGGCACAATTCGTTATGTCCCGCTTCACCCACCCAAGGACGGTGCCACAAGGACCTCTCCTGCTTCGGAGTGGACTATTGATTTTGACGAGCTGGAGAAAACTATCAACTCCAAGACCAAGATGATTGTAAGTTAAACCATCTCAACGGATCCTGCGATCGAAGGCTAACAATAATAGGTCTTAAACTCTCCGTAAGCATCGGTGCTCTCATACTGTCGGACAGGCAACTAACATCTCTCTCAGCCACAATCCCGTGGGCAAGGTCTTCTCACGCGAGGAGCTCCAGCGAATTGGAGATCTCTGCGTCAAGCACAATCTGATTATTCTGTCTGATGAAGTGTACGATCGACTTTTCTACGTGCCGTTCACCAGAATCGGCACACTCTCACCGGAACTGTACGAGCGTACGCTCACTGTGGGGTCCGCCGGCAAGGCTTTCTACGCCACTGGCTGGCGAGTTGGGTACCTCATTGGTCCTGAGCATCTCATCAAATACGTTGCCGGTGCCCATACCCGCATCTGTTATAGCAGTGTGTCTCCCCTGCAAGAAGCAGCGGCCGTCGCATTCGAGCAGGCCGACAAGGAAGGATTCTGGGATGAAAGCCGGAATGATATGCAGCAGAAAATGAAGCGTTTCTGTGAAGTATTTGATGAACTTGGTATTCCGGTATGTCTTTTCCGGTTGATAACAACTATCATCCACTAATGTTTGTACAGTACTCCGATCCTGAAGGCGGCTACTTCGTTCTGGCCAACATGGCGGCGGTCAAGCTGCCGGCCGACTATCCGTTCCCGCCGCATGTGGCCAACCGGCCCCGAGACTTCAAGCTCTGTTGGTTCCTTATTCAGGAGGTTGGTGTGGCCGCCATCCCGCCTACAGAATTCTACACCGATGCCAACTCGCACATTGCCGAGGACTACCTGCGCTTTGCGGTCTGCAAGAACGACGATGTGCTCGAGACGGCCAAGGAGAGGCTGAGGGGCCTGAAGAAGTATATCCAGTGAAAATGGGGCGTCTCGTAATTATGTGTTGGCTTATATGAGACATTAGATTAGGGGGCTTGAAGAATATAGAAGAGTTTGATACGAACCATGTCAACTCACTCATGGATATAGCGCGGTAAGATGATCTACTTATTACTGGAATATACGAGATTGGAAGATTGCCCCCCTTGGCCCTGGATTCATTATCATCATCTCCCTGGGTCCCCCCAGGGAGGCAGAACAAAAAAAGAAAGCAGAAATCAACCTCCCCTCCCTTCCCCTAACCCCAGACTTATCATCGCAGATATGCCCCCCCTGGATGGGGCCCCCCCATTCGCCCTCCCCAGAAATCCTCCGGCCATTTTCTCGACCCACTAGGGCTCACCCTCGAGCTCCAGAGGTCCCGTCCCGGCACCATCCCAACCCTCGCCCCGTCGGAAGGTTCGTCGCTCCTCCCCACGGACCCCCGCGAAACCCTCCCCACGCGTCCGAGCATCCACACTCTGGACAAAAGGGTGGGTGGTCCGGCTCGCCCGCAGAATCCAAAACCGGGACTCCATCAGATCGCACAGGCGCCGGAACCCACTCCCCAAGTTGCCCAAGAGCGGGACGTCGTTCACGTAGGTCGGGTCTTGACGGGAACGAGTGTCGAGACCGACCCACTCCGCCTCGAAGGCATGGTGCTGTCCCTTGGTGGGCGGCTGGAGGTTGACGCCATGCTCGCGATGAATCTGGGATCGCAGCATATGGTCAACCTCCACAGACCAGAGGCCCCGGTGGCGGAGGTTGTCGCGCACAAGACGGAACATGAAGCCAACGAGGGTTTGCACCTCGAGGGCCGAGAAAAGGCAGATCGCCAGCACTCGGCGGAACCGATCCCTCGCCACGGGATCGTCCCACCGAACCGCAAGGAACGCCCGAGGCGAACAACGACGCCCGTACTCCCCAGAATCTCCTCCGGCGGCGATGGCGAGGGGCCACTCCGCAAAGAGGACGTAGTCACCGTCCTCCCTGCGTGCCGTGCTGAACAACATCGCTTGGCGATGTCGCTCAGGGCTGTCCCACCGGTGGCGGCATGGAAGTTGAGGTGGTCCGCTCAAAACTTCCGGTGGAACAGACCCCGGCACGCAGGGATGCTGAAACGAGTATTTGTCGCAGTCGTTCCAGTGCTGCGACACGTCGTCTCGGAGGTGATCCCTTCCGCAGTAGCGGATCAGGGAGTACGGCCCACACTTCGGGCAGATCACCGACCGACCATCCCACAGGACGGCAATCCATCTTGGCGCATGGGAAGCTGACTTGCGTCAGCTCCCAGACAAAGCCCGGCGGCATTTGGATTATCTGGTCTCCGCCTGCTGGGTTGGGTTTGTCTGGGCTAAGTCCCATGCCCGTGGATGGACTGCATGTCGGAGCGCCATCACTGTGGGTGGCCAGTACTGTGGTGGTTGACGATGGCGTGGCTTCTTCTGGTGCCGCCGTCAGTGTGGGTGTAGTTGTCGTCTCGGGGTCCTCACGGACCAGACCTTGTCCTTGTTGGACAATTTTGGTATCGGATGGCGAAGATGGTCCCTTGGTTGCAGTTGATGACTTTTGCAGAACCGGGATGAGAATGTTCGAAGTGCGCTGCCTGCCTTTGCTTTTCTTGGTGGCAGATGCTAGCTCAGGAGATGCTTCAGACGTTGAGTTTAGATGGGTGGTCTCGAACTGGACTTGGGAAGCCAGTGAAGAGTCCACCGCCTCGTCGTCTTCGCTGTCTTCGTCTGTCTCTGCATCAGACTGAGAAGCAGTGTCCTGCGAGGTGTTTGAAGAGCGATGTTTCTTGCCTCGGAATCTCCTCTTACGGCTCTTCTTCATTCTCTTTATCTTCGCCTTCTTCGAAAGGGACTTTGTTGTAGGCATCAGGCTGAGCTCTTCGCCGGCTTGTATCGCAGTAGTGATTGGAACTTCGCTGTCCGACTGGCTTTCCTCGTCGTTGGTGTTGCTCTGTTCGAGCTCGAGGTTGCTGTCTGCTGGTTGTATAGTCGGTTCAGGCCGCGATGCCTTGCGAGTGTCTGTGAACTGCTTGGACGGCTTAAGGTTTGTGCTCGTCTCTGTCTGCCCCGCTTGGATGTTGCTCCCTTCTTCGACAAGATCTGATTCTCGAGTTAGCGATCGCTCCGTAGTACACGTGTTGTATTGGGAGGTGTTGTACTTACCTGGTATGCTGGTCCGATCATGTTTTTGTTTTTCTCCGGGAGTACATGAGGCAGCCTGTTCTTCAAGGCGCTCACCTGGAGGTGGATTAGAGGTGTGTCTGTTGTGGATATTTTTGGAAGGATAGAGATCAGCCTGGTCTGCGAGGCCTTCGCCTGCAGGAGAATGGATATTGTGGCTCTTCTGGATATTCCCAGGAGCGCTGGATGTGGCTTCCATAATGGAGGTGTCGTGGTCGGTGTCTGGAATTTTTGTCAGCCAAGAGTACTTTAGCAGGTTGGACATACCCTGGGTCTTATTTACCTTGGGGGCACTTGCCCTGAGAAGGAGATTTGTGGGTGTGGACGCCGTGGTCGGTATCTAGGATCGTATTTAGCCAAACTTGTTTCAGCGGGTTGGATCTTTCGCGGGTCTTGTTTACCTTTTTGACTCTTGTCCTGGGAAAGAGAGGTGTGGGTGTTTTCAGATGAGGTAGGGTTCTCAAGGATGCTGCTTGGCTCATGTTCTTCAGAGATATCGATGGAAGGGGTCCGTGAATGGGCAATAGGAGTGTGGAAAGCAGAAGAGGTGGGAGTGGTTGTCGAGGGAGAAAGAAAGCTGTGGGCAGTCTGATAGGAAGTAGTGGAGGCAGCGCAGTTACCATGTCTCGGCGCTGACATCGTCAACTCCAATTCAGAGTCCTGATCTGTGGATCCAATGCTCTTCACCTCTCCATCCTCACCATCTTGTGAGGCCTCTTCCTGAATCGCAAGGGTTTGTTTCTGGAGACGGGCCAGTCCCTCATGATAGCGTTTCCTGAGCGTGCATCTTCGAAGGTAGATGCGAAGGGGAAGGATGAATGCGTCAATGAATTTGGGCTACCGTCTGTACGTTAGCTTTCATTCACACGGTGAACGTGCAGTTGGAAAGTTTGGGCTCACTAGATCGCCAGAGGTGACGGCTTTTAGCTGCTCGGAGCTCTCGTCAAGCACGATCATGTTAGTTCCCTCTTGCGCTCCTGGGAACACGACCCGGATGTGGAGTCTTTTGGAGCCCGGACGTTTGCGTTTCCAATCGACTTTGATGCCGTTCACAAGGACAGAATCTTCCCACGTTTCGGGGTGCTTTCGGGATCTAATAAATTTCTTGACTGCCGCTCGCCCTGGGATAATCTTTGTGACCCCAAGCGTAGGAGACCCGTCGCACAGGTCCCGAACAATGCGAAGCAGTCCTGTCCTGCCTCCAGGGTAGGTCTCGGGGAGACGGAAGAGGAAGAAGACCATTCCAGCTGTCCAGTCCATACCAACTTCGTACAGGTACTTGTCAGTAGCAGGCTTATGCTCTGCAATCTTCAGGTGCAGCACTGGAGCGCTACCCATGCCATGGATTTCAAGGCGCAAGACACGGTCGGCAGACTGGCTATCTCCGGCCTCGTCTCCATGAGTCTCCACGAGGTTCTTCTCAGCATCAAGTACCAGACTGTATCCTTCTGCATCAAGTACAAGATGCTTGTCATCGGGCGGTTTTTGGGAAGCGGTGCTCTCTTTGGCACCCATGCCTGCGAGCGGTGTTGACCTTGCTACGCGTTAGGAGGATAGGATCATTCTTGCCAGGTGACACTTACAGTGTCTTCTTCACCGTCGGCCAGGGCTAGGGTGATGCTTGCTGCGACCGGTGACGACCCTGCAACGCGTCAAGTGGATATCAGTCGTGATAAGTCTGCATGAACTGGAGCAGGACCGTTCTTGCTGGGAGATACTCATAAAGTCAATCCTCTTTCACCGTCGATCACGACTGGTTTGTTTCTCAAGGCATGTTCTGACGTGCGTGAATAGGGACACGAACACAAGTTTGTGTGGGAGGGAGAGACTTGACAGTAAAGGAGGCTAACTGATGCAAGATATCAAAGTGCGCGGCCGCCTGAACAAACAGCCCGTCAGTTGCCGAAATAGTCTCGCTCAGCGAATCACAGGCAGATAAGGTCTGCTGAGCTTTATCATGCACACCAACTATGGTGGCTGGCAATCACGCTACGCCGAAATGGAATCTCATCTAGGTACACTGGTGCCTCTGCGAGTTTTGCGTGGGGTCAAAACCCAGGCATGTCTGGAGAAGACCGCAGATACACAGAGCATGTTGTTTTTATATTATTAGCTAACAGGGACCACCCACTCTGAAACTAAGAGATCGGCAGAGGCCAGGGCATATTCAGTACGTGAAAGTGCACTTGAAAATCTAACAGAACTTCCTGTTCTCCTGCTGAAAGAAAAGTTTATATGCAAGACATTTGGCTTGCAGCAATCCTCAAGCAACTTATACTCGAGCAAAAGCCATATAAGGTAGGTGCACCATTAGAACTTCAAAAATGTATGTTTACCAAAGAAATTGGATTACCCAGGTTTGATCGATGGTCATTGATGGAATTACGTAGTATGTAACTTGTCTGGCGAGGCAGGGAATATATATTCGAAGTATATCCACTGTTCACCTCTAATCTGAATCCGTATCAGTAGAATGGAACAGAATAAACAAAAGGGGATAAAGTCTTATTATATAATAGTATGGACTAGAGACAAACATGCCCTCATTCAGTTTATTCGAGTTTGATGGTTACTACGATCGAGTGATGTTGTCAAGTTAGGGCGCAGATGCTCACGTGTTAAATCGGATCACGTGGGTTGTCTCAAAAGATCTTCAGCGACGATAAAGTGTACCTCAATCTTGTTTTTCCCTAGAAAAAAGATACAGGGAATAATACCGTTTAGAATACTCTGATGCTGTTGATGGATTTTTCCTGCATCGGTACATTATCAAGTGTGCTGCTACCTCCTGTAACCCTACCTCTGCCCGCGGTCTACCGTCTGACATCGGGAAATGGAACAAAGAGCGCCCAGAAACAGGATTACAGACAAAGATTTCCATGCTGCCCAGCGAGCTGGGACCAAAGAGTCATCATTTGTCTCAGCGCGTGCTGTCCGAGATTCGTTTGCCGACTCCCAACCATTGGCCAGCAACGATGCCCGCTAAGCGCCCGCAGGCACTCTTTTTGTCCGCCCAGCGCTTCATCACTACAACCAGAGCCACTTACGCGCCGTGATGCTAGATGAAACACTGCCTTGCACCAAACATCTTCTTTCTGAAGACTTTATTTTGGAAGCCGCTTTGTTTTGACATGGACCGCCTGATCCACCCTGAGGGTGGCCGTTTCATCAACACGGGGCTGCGAGCCGGCCAAACCAGCTTCTTTATAAGACGATCGGTACGATCTGGTCTACGACTGGCGCGCTGGTGCCTAATAAAAGAAACTACGAGACACCTGCCGCCATGCTTTTGCTTTCTTTTATTGTGCCTTTCATCGCTCGTCGAGCGCTCACATTTTCCTTGGTTCTATTGTTCCCACGGCACGCCCTCATTGAGTCCCTTTCATTCACTGCTACTAATATATACACTATGGATTCTCAATAGTCCACACTGATTTTCTGGGACATATAATTTCTCTCCCTGCTGCATTCCTCTCTTTGACGACTGTTTGCTCCACTAATCGTGGACTCGACTTCGGCTGCTGAGCGTTTGCCCAGTTCTGTTTTCGACTGCACCTATTCCAACACCTACCACGCTCGACGCCTGGTGCGCTCGGTAGAACAAACGTCAAAATGATATTCTCGAGATCCCGGCGATCGATCTTTCCCCTTCTACCACCATACGGAGCGCACGATCCCGACGGAGAGCGGATCACCACAGTGCACCCGGACGACCTTACACCTTACCTGGGCCTACGAGCTCGGTTGTCGCAAGTATGGATCAATCGCTGGACGATTCTTCTCTTGCTGGTGCTGGTCAGAGTCTTGATAGCCATCGGCAGTCTCCAAAACGACATGGCCACGGCTAAACGCGAAGCCCTATCCTCATGCACCTCTGTGGAATCCATGGGCAGCGCCATGGCTTCCATGCCACATTATCTCTCCCAGGGGGTCAACGATATGACAGCGACTGGATTTGATAAAGCCGTGAATGGCCTCAAGTCTATGCTCCTGCTTACCATCACTGGCGTCGAAGAAATAATTGTCTTTATCATCAAAATCATGTACCAGACTTACCTCTGCCTCGTCACGATGGCCGTGAGAGGCACCGTGTCTGCGGCAATCGCGCTGATTAAAGATGCGTTGGACTTTCTGAACTCCACTCTGTCCACCATTGGCCACGATATTGACGCCACAGTCAGCACCTTCGAAACCGGTCTGGAGGACTTCGCAAATCTGGTGAACACAGCTGCCAACGATCTCGGTGCTCACCTTCCTACACTGAATCTCAACACCTCGGTGGATGCGCTCGAGAACATCCATCTTCCCCAATCAATCGACGCGAAACTCAACACTCTGAACAGCTCCATCCCCACTTTCAACGAAGCGGACAGCTATGTCCAGGATCTTATCCGTGCGCCGTTCCAAGAAATCAACGGCCTGATCAATCAGTCCCTGGGAACATACAGCTTTGACCGCACCTTACTTCCAGTCCCGGAAAAGAAACAATTGACCTTCTGCGGCGACAACGATGGGATCAACAATTTCTTCCAGGGAGTCGACGAGGTCGCCGTCATGGCCCGTAAAATCTTCATTATCGTCATGCTTATCGCGGCCGTGCTGGCCTGCATCCCTGTGGCATGGAAAGAGATTCGGCGCTGGCGATCGATGAAGGAACGATCCCAACTCGTCCGTAAGGAGGCGCACGATCCCATGGATGTGGTGTACATTGTCTCTCGCCCATACACAGCAGCAGCAGGAATCAAAGCTGCAAGCCGATTCAGCAACAGTCGTCGCCAGACCCTCGTGCGCTGGGCCATCGCCTACGCTACTACAATGCCAGCCCTGTTTGTACTTGCGCTCGGTATCGCAGGCCTCCTCGGGTGTCTTTGCCAGTGGCTTCTCCTGCGGGCTGTGCAGAAGACAGTTCCCGAACTGAGCAGCGAGGTGACCGCTTTTGCGGACAAAGTAGTTTCCTCGCTGGAGAACGCATCCGTAGCGTGGGCAGATGGGGCCAACCAGGCGATCACACACATGAACAACGACATCAACGACAACGTCTTCGGCTGGGTCAACAAGAGTACCCACGCCGTGAACAACACGCTCAACTCCTTCGTCGACAAGACCATGGGTGTGCTGAACGAGACCTTCCAAGACACAATCCTGTACGATCCAATCACGGAGGTCTTTCAGTGTCTGATCGGTCTCAAAATCGAGGGTATCGAAAAGGGCCTAACTTGGGTCTCGGACCACGCGCACGTCGATTTCCCTCTTCTACCCTCGAACGTCTTCTCCTCGGGCGCCGCAGCTAGCATCTCGAACTCCTCCAATCCATCAGACAGCTTCCTCGCCGACGCAGGCTCCGACACATCCAACAAAATCAGCCAAGTCGTGGTCAGCGTGGTCAGCAAGCTGGAAGACGGCGTCCGCCAAGAAGCTATGATTGCCACCGCCGTGGTCGCCATCTGGGTACTAGTTGCCCTAATCGGCGCCACCCGCGCAATGATCCTCTTCTGGGGTCGCGACAGGAACCGCGGTGAGGGTGGCGGCCACGCTATTGATCCTGTTCCTAGAGCTCCCTACCCTGCCAGTGACTTCATGGAGGTGCCGCTGACGGCTGCCCCCAAGAATCAGCATGATTCGTTCGCTAGGATGGCTACGGCGCCTGCCGTGTCTGCTCGGGGCGGGCCGGTGTCGATTGATGATGAGAAGTATGGTTTTGCGGGGCACAGGACGTACAACGCTGCTTTGAACGTTGATTCCGCGCCAGCAGTGAGAGGGAGTACTTACGTGGAATATGATGTGAAGCGTGGAATATAACGCGAGGCGTTGGGTTTTCTGCGGTGATGTCTGTATTGTGTCTTAGCATTTACTGGAGCGGGTGGGTCATTTGTCTTTTGCTGGGTTTGCAATTAGTCTGGGTGAGTATAGTGTTGTTTTTCGATAATCTATGGTTTCAAACTAAGCTACCAAAACATTGCTTATTTTCTAAGCACCTTGGAGTAACTATTCTTTATCCAAGAAAGGTTGTTCATGCGGGGTCGCCGCATTCCGCTCCCATCCATCATTTCATCAATCCTTCTCCTCGTCCACTCCCCCTTCCTTTCTCAAAGTTGGCCAACCCTGGACAGCTAGTATATACTCCAATTTCTCTCTTCGCTAGACTTCAAGTCTTTCTCTTTACTTTATATTCCTCCTATCAATCTCAATCCAAACCCAAAAATGGCTCCGCTCGGCAAAACTCTCATCACCCTCGTCGCGCTAACAACCTCACTGGGCTGCTACATAGCTGACTGGAACGAAACCCACATCTACAACGCGCGATGGCCCCCTCACGCGAAATTCCACAACGGACAGACGATGTCAATGGGGCTAATCCTCGGCCTAACAACACTATACTATCTCTTCCGGCCGGCTTCTACGCCCGAGATCAGGAATCTGCATCTTAACACGGCAGCCTGGGTGGGCAGTCTTTATTGGATTACGCAGCTGAGCGCGTTTTTCTATCCTGGTTCTTTGGCGATGGATCCCGAGATCGGGGATGGCATGCCTCAGGCTTATATTTGTTGCGTCATGTTTTTGTTGCTTGGGGTTGGGGTTTGGGTTGAGAAGAAGGACGCCGCGGGGGGAGGGGAAAGGAGGGTCAAAGGTGAAGAGTCGTTAGTTAGGTAGGGTTATTCCTTTCATGTGTTCAGAAAAACATTCAAATAGACCGGATAATAATGTCCTGCAGGTATTGGCCTTCTCCTATCTTAGTACTTACCCCGTGCGCTTTTCGCTCCCTGGTAGTGGGGCAGGTTTAATTGACCACTAAACATCTTAACCCAACCAGCCTCGACGGCAGCGTAAATACGGCCTCTTTGGACTCTTCCGCTTACGATCCGCCGTGTATCCTCGCTACGACATTTGGCAACCATATCATCCATCTAGACTTGACCTTCTGTGTGCCTCTCTCGTCACCCTTCGCCTACGAGAGTGGTCTCGGACCCGGCCGGCGAAATAATGCTGACCGAATTGTCGATTGAAATTCTTTGCCACATTGCCGAGGAGCTCGATCGCCAACAGGATCGCTATCACCTAGCGGTCTCTTGCCGACGACTGTATGATGTGCTGCTGCCGAGTCTCTTCTCCCACGTCCGCCTTTGCGAGACCAGGAGAAAACATAGTATCAGACAAGTCAGTCAATTCCTCTACGCCGTTGTCCGAAACCCCAAACTTGCGAACTTCGTACGGGTCTTGGAGTTGGACTGCTGGGAAACCCGTGAAGACCACTACTCGCCACCGCCGCTCGTACTTGAATCGAGGGACGGCAGCGAGAAGGACTTCGAATATGACGTGACAGTCATCCAAACGCTACTTGACGAATCTACGTGCTCCGCGGAGGAGAGAACACAGTGGAAGCAAGACGTGCAATTTGGGATCACGGATGCCTGGCTAGCTTTGCTTATTCCCCGCTTGGGAGCCTTACGGAAAATCAACCTAACATGGCCGTTCAGCCAAGATAGGCTATATGTCTCCAAGATGTTGGATAGGGCTGTTTCTGGAGAGGATCCGGGATTTCCCCACCTAGATGAAGCTTTCGGTTCATGGTATGACACGGAAAACGGTGCCGACACCACCCTCATGCATCCGTTCTTCGGATTTCCGGCCATGAGCAAACTAGGCGGCTTCAGTCTCGAGGAAAATGCGCACGCCTCCAACCAAACACAGCCCTCCTCTTCGTTTTCCTCAACAATCACCGACATTGACCTCGCCAGGACAAACGCATCATATGGCATGCGGTACTGGATTGAATCTTGCAAAGTTCTGAGATCTTTCCGGATCAACCATGGCGGAGCGACAGTCGGGTACGATGATTTCAATCCCCGCGCCCTCTACGAATCTCTTCTCCTCCACAAAAAGACTCTGGAACGTATCTGGCTTGGTTCTGATGAAGAGCTGTTTCCAGACGACAATCCATGGATAGGATCCTTTGTTGACTTCCCAGTTTTAAAGACGTTGAAAGTCAGCATCAAAGGACTCGCACTTCTAGACGACGAGGATGAGCCCACGCGGGAGCTCACAAACGTGTTTCCGCCGTCGCTGGAGAACTTGTATCTATGGGAGTGTGACAAGGAGCTATTCGGGTGGGCGATCGAGCAATTGGAAAGCTTAATCGACGCTGAAATTCTGCCAAAACTGGCTACTTTAAATCTTGAATCGCCCAAGATGGAAGATCTGGACGATCAGCAAAAGCTGGACCAGTTAAGGCGTCGGTGTGAGGATGCTGGAATTGCTTTCAATGGCGATGACTGGGTATATTGGCCTTTCTTCCCGTCTTTTTTTCCTGGAAAGAGTTTTTTCTACCCTCTTCAATAGGTGGAATGGGGAGCGTATTAGTCCTGCCACAGTCTACTCGCAGTGGATGTAGTGCGCATACATGATTTGACGAGGATATAATGAGTGAGCCGCTTGCTGAGTACTCTGAGCTGGCACTGAGCAAGATAGCCGTCGAAGCCATATAAGTCTTGCTTGTAACTCCCTTTTCACCTGCGTCCAGCCATATACATCTGCAACAACCGAACTCGTTTCTCTATGTAGCGGAAACAGCGTGATAGCATGAAGATAGGCTATTCCGAGACTCTGGATGAGGGGATGGGCAGTGTCATACTACACGCTCTTCATCTAATCACGTAAGGTACTATTGGGGTCATTCTGTGAAACCACCTGCACTCACCTATTTTCCACTCCAATATCGCGGCTATGTAAACCCTCATTGACAACACAAATACACTTATCTCAGACACAATAGCCACAAAATCTACAGTCTTAACAATGTATTTCTCAACAACGTAAATTCAATCTGATCTTTATAAACTAAACAAATATACAAATCCACGGATGGTCATAAACAAGTCGTAACTATCATTCCACCCCCCAACAACCCATCTAAATGGCTACAAAGAAGCTCTTCTCCCCATCCTTAGGATGCACCCTCGCGCGCTCGACAATCGGATCTGCACAACTAACGCGAATGCGCTCAGGAGTAGCAGGACTCACAAGGAGAGAGAACGTCAGTAACGCCCCACTCCTTGCGGGCATGCTTGAGCGCATCGCGAATGGCGAAGAAAACCGCGCTACCCATGAACAAGGGCGGCTCGCCAATACCACGGGAGCGCTGGATGGTGCGCAGGTTCTCCCACTCGACATCCTTGAGAAGGCTAACGTTAAAGATCTGCGGGATATCGCGGAAACCCGGGATCTTGTAGTTGCCCGGCCCGCGGGTGAAGATCTGGCCCGAGGCGCGGTGCCAGAGACTTTCTTCGGTCGTGAAGAGGCCCTGACCCTGCACGTAGGCACCTTCGATCTGGCCGTAGTCAATGGATGGGTTGATAGTGCGGCCGACGTCCATTTTGATGTCAGTGCGCAGCGGAGTCCAGTCACCGGTCAGCGTGTCGATTTGTACTTCGGAGGCTGTCACTCCCTGCGTGAAGTAGAAGAACATCTGGCCCGAGTTCTCACCCCATACGTATCCAATGTCTGGGGTGCGGTAGTAACCATTCGCGGAGAGGTTGACGCGGTCGAAGTAGGCTGCGTGCGCGAGCTTGGACATAGGTGCGCCGGGAAATTTCTCGCGGTAGGGCTTGAGGCGCTCGTTGATTTGCTCGCAGGCGTTGAAGATGGCGTAGCCGTTCAAGTCAGAGCTGGCCGATGCAGCGGTTGATGATGTGTTGGCGACGGTGTTAGTGGCGGTCTCGGAGATGTAGACGTCCTCTAGGGGCACCTGGAGTGCTTCGGCGGCAATCATGGTCATTTTCGTGTGTAGACCCTGGCCCATCTCGACACCGCCGTGGGCGACGAGAACACTGCCGTCGTGATAGATGTGGACAAGAGCACCGGCCTGGTTTAGGAAGAGCGCAGTGAAGGAGATACCGAACTTGGTCGGTACAATGGCCATGCCTCGCTTCGACCATTTGTGCTGCTTGTTGTACTCCTCCACAGCCTTCCGACGTTCCATGTAGTTGCTCTCCTCCATAACCTGCTTGTACATCAAGGGCACATACCAGTCCTTGAGAATCTGGTTGAAGTGCGTCTTCTCGCCTGGCTGATACATGTTGATTGCGCGAATCTCCTCAACAGGAATGTTTAGATGGTCCGCAATCTCGGAAACATAGCATTCGGCAAAGAACAGACCTTGCGGACCACCAAAGCCACGGAAGGCAGTGTTGGAAACCGTGTTGGTCTTGCAGATCCGCCCGCGGACGTTGACATTGGGAATGTGGTAAACGCCATCAATGTGAGACAAGCTTCGTTCGACGACAGCCCCGGAAAGATCTTGCGTGTGACCACCATTGGCATACACATCAGCATCCAGGGCCAAAATCTTTCCTTCCTTGGTGACGCCGACCTTCCACTTGCCGAGGAATGGATGACGTTGACCAGAAGTCAAAATATCCTCGTCACGGTTGAGCATGCAGCGAACAGGCCGCCTCGTCTTGTGTGCAGCGACAGCACAGATACCGGCCAACTGAACGGACCGTGTTTCTTTGCCACCGAAGCCACCGCCGAGTCGCTTGACTCGAGACACAACCTTGTTCGAAGAAGCACCGGTGACTTGAGCCACATAGGCTTGCCTAAAGTTCGATATTAGTATTGATAAATAGCCGTGCTGGTTGGGGGAGCATACGTCTCAGTGGGATTTTGGGTGCCGCTCCAAATTTCCATCTCACCGTCCTCCGGCTTGGGGATCGCCACACAGGCCTGTGTCTCCAAGTAAAAGTGCTCTTGTCCGCCCATCCGCGAGACGCCCGTGATGATGTGATCGGCTTCCTTGAAAGCCGCCTCGGTATCGCCGTCCACGATAAAGCGATAGTGCTCGAAGAAAGACTCCGCTTCGATTGCTTCCTCCATGGTGAGGATCACCGGCAAATCTTCATATTCTACCTTGACGGCCCGCATGCCTTCTTCGGCTTGCTTTGCCGTAAGCCCCAAAATAACACCAATAGGCTGCCCGGCGGTGTTGACCTCGTCAACCGCGAAGAACTTCTCATCGCAAACAGGTGCACCCCACCAGTTGGCTGCGGCATTGGGCAGGTCATTGTGATCGATGTAGTCCACAACTCCGGGGACTTCCAGTGCGGCGGAGACATCGACGCTGAGGATCTTAGCGTGGGCTTTGGTTGAGAGAACCATGCATCCGAACAATTCGTTCTGCTGCACAGGGATGTCATCGGTGTACTGGGCCTGGCCAGTGGCCTGCTTCAACGCCGCCACATGCGGGGAAGCTTTTCCTAGAATTTTCTGCTGGTAGGCGATCGAAGCCTCGTTGTCCTGCTTGCCTGAAGAAATGGCTCTTTCTATCTCCGCAATTACATCGGGGTCTAGGTCGGATGACTTGACCTGCAGCCCAGAAAGCACATCATGGTAAAACCGATAGAAGAAGCCGAGTGCCAGAGATTTGCGGTATGTGGCCATGCCACCTGGCACACCGAAGGGAAGATTAAAATCCTTTTCCAATGCATTCATGACGCCCTCGAGCGTTGCAGGGCTGGGGAATTTCTGGCCGACCAAGAAGGCCTCTGCGTTTTTTGCAGACACGGTCAGGGCCGCCATGCCGCCAAAGACCAGGTTACAACTGAGGACGTCGTTTGTCTCCGAGAGAGAGACACGTAATGCGGCGTTGACAATGGCAATATCGTCATCCTTGCGCTTGGCCTGTTTGTAGGCGCGCATATATTCGCCTTTCTTCGCAATCGGGATCCGAAGGCTGGCAATGATGGAATCCGGAGGGAGGGCGGTCTTGCGGTAGCCCAGGAAGAACTCGGTCATGGGGATGTGCTTTTCCCCTCCGAGTGATCTGGCAATGAGAGTCGTGTTCGTAGATACCAGGATCGGGTTGAGATCGGAGATCGGAGAAGCAGTAGCCAAGTTACCTGCAGGGGAGGCAACATTGCGAATCTGTCTTCCAGCGAAGTAATGCAGCTGCTTTTTGATGGCTGCGAAGGGCTGACCTGCGGCAGCCCCATACCGTTCGATAGCTTGCGCACAGATGTTTTCAAAGTCTGTCAGAGACACATTGGCACCGATCTCCAAGTAGTCGTCGTGGAACTCGAACTGCCGCAGTTCTGGGATATCGCCCAGATAGACAGAGGAAGCATAGCGCATCGCCTTGAACTTGATCTCGATTTGCGTCTCCGAGCTACCGCCAATCAACTTAGCCTCGGGGTAAATGCTCTTGATCTGCAGCAGTTGCTCCATGTTCACGGGCCGGTACCACTTCTTCCGCTTGTTGCCGAAGATCAGTGGGCGGAATTCGTGCTTCCTCAGCGCTGCAGGGAAGATGAGCTGCGTGTCGGGATTGTAGGGCTTGAAATCCGGCTGCGGGAACTTGATTTCCACCTTCTCATCGCCATCTTTATTCCCCGCGGAGGATCCTTTGCAGCAACCGCCGCCGCCATTCTTCTCCATGCAGCAGCCAGACCCTCCATTCGACGAGGCCATGCCGCAGTTATTGGTCTTGTTGAAGCTCTGCGCGGCGTCGAGAATGGGTCTGTAGCCGGTACAGCGGCACAGGTTTCCGTCAAACGCTTCCTCCACATCATGCTCCGAGGGCTCGGGGTCATTTCGTAGTAAGGCATAAAGACTCTTTGAAGATACACAGTTAGTCGGATAATTCCAGTCTCGTTAACTGGAATAATGCAGGCATGGGCGTACCATGATAATCCCCGGCGTGCAGAAACCACACTGGCTCCCATTGCCAACGGCGATCCGCTGCTGGATGGGATGGGGATCTTTGACATTTCCAATCCCCTCAACGGTGATGACATGTTTCCCATCGACGCTCACCAACGGGGCCAGACAGGCGTTGACGGAAGCGTGGTAGATCTTCTTTGTAGTTGGGTTCATGTGCGACACGACCTACGTGAATGGTTGTCAGAGCAGAGTTCAATCAAATATAGATATATATTCCTTTCACGCAGTACATACCACCGTGCAGGCACCGCAGCCACCCTCGGCGCATCCTAGCTTGGTCCCCGTCAAGCCGATACCGCGCAGGTATTCCAGTAGTGTCACCTCCGGGTTGGCTGTGTCGACGGTGACCTTGGTTCCATTCACATAGAAGCGGAGAGTGTCGTCCCAGTCCTCGGTCAGCTGGGCCAGCGAAGTGACCTTCTCGACCGCGGCCGCGGAATCCTCGTGGATGCCGATTCCGGGCGCCATTTCGATAAGTTCTCACAGGCAAGTAAACCAGAAACGAGAGAATGAGATTATCACAAGGGCAGGGTGCGGCAGCCCATGATATGGAGAGAGTATTTATCTAATGTGTGGCAAGATACTAACCGCGACGACTTGCCTAGAGGTTCAACCTTCCCAAGTCGTACAGGCAAAGAGGGGATGTGCGAGATCAAGCGATAAGCCTGGATTGCGGGGAGTGGCGACCTCCGGTTCCACCGCGGGAACACCGCGGGCCCTTATCAGGCTCCGATCTAGCTAACTAATCAAGTATTCTACACAACGCCCCAGTCGGTACACACGATGACATACATATATGAAATAAAAAAACAGGTTAGAACAACGTCCACGCTCAGGTCGTCTTCGCAAACGGCTGTTCTTCCTCTTGCCACCTGCGTCGCTCAACCACCAAGCGTGCGCTGGAGACACATGCATGTATTAGCTCACATCATCCACAGATAATTAGTAGATCATAATCACTCACCGATAGGCTTTCACAAATCGCCACACCTCGCTGTCCGCCAGGTTCCACGCTTCGGCGACATCCTTGATGCTGATACGGCTGTGTTCCTCGCTCTTGATCACCTCCCGCGCCTTCTGGATCAGCTCGTACTCCCGCGGAATTCCCTGCTCGCTCGGGTTGGCAAACTGGAAGCTCTCCTTGTCGGCGTACTGTGGCTTATCCTGATTGCCCTTGCCACCCTCGATCTTGGGGTCAGCCTTGTCGCCGCGGGGGATCTGGAATCCAAGCTGCCATTCGAACTCATCCAGGAGGTCGGGTGGCAAGCCAGTGCCCGCCTCTCCGGGGAGAGACTCGACAGTCATCCACAGGGATGAGCCGATGGCTTGAGGGCCTGCAACGACTTGTTTGAACACGATCCCGCGGGACGAGCCACCTAGCTCGTCTCCGAGCTGGTCTCGCGTCACCTCGAACAGCCAGGGATCGCGGTCCGTGGCGCGGCGAATGTGTCGGGTCGTGATCTCTTCGGAGTTCTTCTGCAGGCTGATCAGGGTGTACGGATGGGGCAGCGTGCCGATCGTAAAGAGAAATGTGGTGTTCTTGTAGGTCGCGGGCTGGCTGATCCGCATGGTTTGTTTCCCAGAGCCGCAGGGGCGGCAATCGGGAAGGTTGGGCGGACATGAGTCCGCCATGGGGGTATCCGGACATTGCACAAGAGCCTTGGCCAGTCGCAGTGCCGGCTCCACCAGGGCAGTGGTGCAAGTGGGGAAGGGCTTTAGCACGGCAAGTCCGGCTGGGAAGCCATTTTGAAACGTGTTGTGGAGGTGCGCATTGATGAGCTTCACCAACTCCTTTCGGCCGGCCGCCGGGTCCTTGCTAATTTTCTCACCAAGGGCCGAGTATTTAGAGGTGATTGTTGATGATCGGTAGAACGCCAGCGAACTCGGTTGTTCAATCCGGAAAAACTCCGCAGGCATGAGGTCCGTCATGGACGTAGACTTATCATCCAGCTTCTCGGCGGCCTTCGCGATGGCTCGGTCGATCATGTGCTTCTCCGCTGCATAGAGACCACCGTTGAAGTTTTCGAAGCGCGTAATGTGCTCTGGCTCGCTGCCACGACGTAGAGAAGACAGAAGGGGATCGTCATACCGGGCCATAGGGAAGCAATGGAAATCCGCTAGCAAGCCCGATCCCATGTGGCCCCATGCCAACCATCGATACACCTCGTTCTGAGCCTCAGTACTAAGCTTGATTTTGTGGACGGTTTCATAATACGGGTTCCTTTGGGCATCCCCAGGGCCCAGAATCACGGGCTTGAAGCCCTGGGCATACCAGGCCCGACGCCAGGCCAGCAGCAGCTCGTAATCCGCTTTCTTTTCCTCTGCCCGATCCTGGCCGGAATGCTGCCTGGGATTGTAGTTCCGGTCGAAGTACGTGTAGACGGCTCGACGATCGGCTAGAGGCGGGAGGACAGAGCGACCCTCGTCCAAGGTGACGGATGAAGAGAACGGGTTCAGCCACCGAAAGTCGCTGAACCATTTCGAGTCACCCCTGGTGCTATTCTTTTGCTCCGGTGGCGGCTCGTGGGCTGGAGGACGGAACGATGGGAGGTGGAAGTCGCTTAGGCGCAATGCTTCCAGTTTTGGTCGCACATATTCGGCTGCCCCTGAGACTTTTTCGCTGACGGGTACAGGGATGGGGGAGGAGGAGAAGATGAATAGGAGGAGAGCGACAAAGACGATGACCGAAAGCAGCGCTGTACTTCGATGGGGGATCATCTTTGTCGCATTCGACCGCACGACCGGTCAGCCAGGGTGCTTTCGAGAGAGGTGCGGCGTTGGGGTTCAGTCGGGCTCGGGAGAATAACAGCCGTGAAGATCGTCCCTTACAAGAAAAGCCGCCTGGTCTCGAAGCGGTCCGAACGGGGTCAATCGAGCCCGGTCTGGCTGACTATGAGGGCCTGGAAGGGGAGGTGATTGGAGGAAGGGAGACAATCAAGTCCTATAGAAGAAACAATAATAATCGTGGATGGGCCCAGTGTCTCATGATGTCAGGTGATCCTCAGGCATCTCCTGCTGAGCTAACAGCGGTGAGGGCCTCTCGCCAATCACGGTCCAGGCGAGATCGGCCGCTTCTTTTTCTGCTGCCCCTCATACTCTCGAATTATTTGAGTCACACCCATCATCTTCCTTCCCTCCCACTGCAACCATGGCTGTGGGATCAGGTCCATTGCAGGACCGCCTAGAGCGATGGGCCCAAAGACTTAACAATCTGACCGTCTCTCCATTGACTCGAGACTACCCGGACTCCCAGAAGGCCGATTCGAGAGCCATCGAGGCATTCGAGTCGATTCAGCTGCCCAAGGAAACCCAATTGGCGCTCAAGAAGCTCTCCGGCTCATCCTCGTCGGACTTCACGGTCTTCCTGACAGCATTTGTGATTCTCGTGGCACGTCTAACGGGCGACGAGGATATCGCCGTGGGAACAAGCCTAGGTGATGATGGCCGCCCATTTGTGCTGCGGGTGCCCATTGACGCATCCGAGACCTTCCTCCAGCTCTATGCCAAAGTAGACAAGGTACATAATGAATAGATCAGCTGCTCCTATCATGCTAACTCGTCTCGTCTAGGCTTTCAATGAAGGCTCTTCCGATATCGTCCCATTGGGCAGTCTGCGGTCGTACATCCAAGACAAGTCCAAATCCGAGCGCGCTCCTATTCTCTTCCGTTTTGCTGCATACGATGCCCCCGCTGCTTCCCAGGAATACCCCGCCAACACCTTCGAGACCACGGATTTAGTTGTCAATGTTGCGCCGGGCTCGACTGCTGCCGGTGCATACTATAACCAGCGTCTCTTCTCGAGTGCCCGGATTGCCACTATCCTAAAGCAACTCGCTAGGATTGCCGGCAATGCTGCCACCAATCCCGAGGAAGCAGTTGGTCGGATTGATTTGATGACCGAGGACCAGCGTGCGATCTTGCCGGATCCTACATCGGACCTAAACTGGTCTAAATTCCGTGGCGCCATCCACGACATCTTCTCCGCTAATGCCGAGAGTCACCCCGACAAGCTCTGTGTTGTTGAGACTAAGTCGGCCACGTCTCCTCACCGCGAGTTCACCTACAAACAGATCAACGAGGCGTCCAATATCCTAGGACACCACCTAGTGCAATCTGGCATCGAAAGAGGGGAGGTTGTGATGGTCTATGCCTACCGTGGTGTAGACCTCGTCGTGGCTGTCATGGGTATCTTGAAGGCCGGTGCGACGTTCTCCGTTATCGACCCAGCGTACCCGCCAGAGCGGCAAAATATCTACTTGGATGTAGCACGACCTCGTGCCCTAGTGAATATTGCTAAGGCTACAAGAGATGCCGGAGAACTGTCCGACATTGTTCGGTCGTTTATCAATGGCAATCTTCAGCTCCGGACCGAGGTTCCCGCTCTGGCTCTGCTGGATGATGGCACTCTTAAGGGCGGACTGGTTAACGGCAAGGATGTCTTCGCCAACCAGGTTGATCTAAAGTCCAAATCTGTCGGTGTGGTCGTAGGCCCCGATTCAAACCCGACACTATCATTCACGTCTGGCTCGGAGGGCCGCCCGAAGGGCGTCCTTGGCCGCCACTATTCGCTCGCATATTACTTCCCCTGGATGTCGGAAACCTTCAATCTTACCCCCAACGACAAGTTCACGATGCTAAGCGGTATCGCTCACGATCCCATCCAAAGAGACATCTTTACCCCATTGTTCCTAGGCGCACAGCTCCTAGTGCCTGCCCGGGAAGATATCCAGAATGAAAAGCTGGCCGAATGGATGCAGAAATACGAAGCCAGTGTCACCCATCTGACCCCTGCTATGGGCCAGATCCTTGTGGGCGGTGCTTCTGCGCAATTCCCCGCTCTTCACCACGCGTTCTTCGTTGGGGATATTCTGATCAAGCGTGATTGTCGCTCCCTCCAGGGACTGGCCCCGAACGTCGCTATCGTTAACATGTATGGGACTACTGAAACCCAGCGGGCTGTTAGCTATTACGAAATCCCTAGTTACTCCAGCCAGGAAGGATTCCTCGATACTTGCAAAGACGTCATTCCCGCAGGCAGGTTCGTGCCCTAACCCTCCATTGAGCTTGTTATTGCAATGTATATGACGATTCCTTGCTAACACCCTTTCATGCAGGGGAATGTTGGACGTGCAAATGCTTGTTGTCAACCGCTTCGATCCTACGCGAATCTGTGCTATTGGCGAAGTAGGCGAGATCTACGTGCGTGCTGCTGGTCTCGCAGAGGGCTACTTGGGGTCCCCCGAGTTGAACCAGAAGAAGTTCTTGACGAACTGGTTCGTTAAGCCTGATGTTTGGATTAATAAGGACAAGGCGTCAGCAAATAATGAGCCCTGGCGAGAGTTCTATGTTGGTCCCCGTGATCGCCTATACCGCAGCGGTGATTTGGGCCGATACACCCCAACCGGAGACGTCGAGTGCTCTGGTCGCGCTGATGACCAGGTGAAGATTCGTGGTTTCCGAATCGAGCTTGGAGAAATTGACACGCACCTTTCGCGGCACCCTCTTGTCCGTGAGAATGTCACTCTAGTGCGTCGAGACAAATTCGAGGAGCCTACGCTAGTGAGCTACTTCGTGCCTGATATGAACAAGTGGGCCGATTGGCTCCAGAGCAAGGGTCTTAAGGATGATGATTCCGCCGATGGCATGGTTGGCTTGCTTCGACGTTTCCGACCTCTTAGGGATGATGCTCGTGAGCACCTTCGCAGCAAGCTTCCGACATATGCGGTGCCTACGGTGATTATCCCCCTAAAGAGAATGCCGCTGAACCCCAATGGCAAGATCGACAAGCCAGCTCTCCCCTTCCCCGATACGGAGGAACTTAGTGCAGCGGCGCCGCGGCGTCGTTCGTCCGTCATGCAGGCCCTGTCCGAGACCGAGGACGCCCTTGCTCAGATCTGGGCTAAGCTGATTCCTAATGTCACCGCTCGCATGATTGGTCCCGACGATTCATTCTTTGACCTCGGCGGCCACAGTATCCTGGCCCAGCAGATGTTCTTTGACCTACGACGCAAGTGGCGCGGCATCGATATTTCCATGAACGTTATCTTCCGCAGCCCGACTCTCAAGGGCTTTGCTAGTGAAATTGACCGACTGCTGGATTTCGAGGCGTTCGCGACTAGCGACGATCCTAAGGCCGCTCAGGTCTCTCAAGCCGCCAACGAGCCCGACGATGAATACTCAAAGGATGCCCGCCAGCTCGTGAATGAGCTACCGCAAACCTTCCCTGAACGCACTGATGCGATGCTCGCTAGCGAGCCGACCATCTTCCTCACCGGTGCCACCGGTTTCCTCGGCGCGCACATTCTCCGTGACCTGCTCACTCGCAAGGCCCCGTCCACTAGAGTTGTGGCTTTGATTCGCGCTAGGAGCGACGAGCAAGCTCTGGATCGTCTTCGCGCTACCTGCCGTGCCTACGGCTTCTGGGATGAAGCTTGGACCACTAGACTACAGTGCGTCTGCGGTAACCTTGGAGACGCCCGCTTTGGTCTCTCACAGGCCGCTTGGGATGACCTGGCTAGCCGTGTTGATGCGGTTATTCATAATGGAGCCCTCGTCCACTGGGTCTATCCATATTCAACTCTCAAGCCGGCCAACGTCATGGGAACGATCGACGCGCTAAAGCTTTGCGCCACCGGCAAAGCTAAGCAGTTTGCCTTTGTCAGCTCGACTAGTGCCCTCGACAAGGACCACTACGTCGAAGAATCCGAGCGGATCATCGCTGCTGGCGGTAATGGTGTCAGCGAAGAAGATGATCTCGAAGGCAGCAGTGTCGGCCTTGGAACCGGGTATGGCCAGAGCAAGTGGGCGGGAGAATATCTTGTCCGCGAAGCTGGCCGCCGGGGTTTGAAGGGAACCATCATCCGCTCTGGATATGTGCTGGGTGATTCTACCACAGGAACTACAAATACGGACGACTTCCTCATCCGTATGCTTAAGGGTTGCGTCCAGCTCGCGTCCCGGCCCAACATCCACAATACCGTGAACATGGTTCCCGTCGACCATGTGGCCCGTATCATCATCGCTTGTGCTTTCCACCCGCCCCGGACTCCGATCAGTGTGGCTCATGTCACTGGACACCCGCGACTGCGCTTCAATCAGTTCCTGGGTGCTCTGCAGCTGTACGGCTACGATGTTCCGCAGGTGGATTACGTGCCTTGGTCGATGGCCCTCGAGCAGTATGTCAATGATGGTCAGCACAATGACAAGGATTCGCAGCATGCTCTGTAAGTCTCTTTCTTTCTCTTCTCATTCACCAGAAGCTAACCCCCAAACAGCATGCCCCTCTACCACTTCGTCACGGCCGACCTCCCGTCCAACACCAAGGCTCCAGAGTTGGATGACACCAACGCCGCCGCTGCTCTCAAGGCCGATGCCGTCTGGTCTGGCGTCGATGCCTCAGCCGGTGCAGGTGTCACGGAAGAGTTGGTTGGTCTATACGCCTCTTACCTGGTGGAGACTGGGTTCCTGCCTCCGCCCACCATTCCCGGAGGGAGGCCCTTACCAGCAGCGCGTATCAGCGAGGAGCAGAAGAAGACCCTGCTGAGTGTAGGTGGCCGGGGAGGTGCTGCTTCATAGTTTGTCTCGTTGCATTTGTTAGGCTCAGATGATTTAAAAGTGTGTATTTAACGTTGTAGTTATGTATGAGGCCATGACTATATATAGAGCCAATCAAAAGTTTCTCTCCGATCTCGCCCAATCTGCCCCTCCATTCATCCTGCCCTCAACTCCCATCCCTTTTTCCCTTTTGCATTAATCTTCTTTCTGTCTCTTCCCTCGCCTATATCTAAACTCTTTAATTCCCCTTCGACTCCGATTTCCCTAATGGCTGAAGGTACGTGTGCAAGCGGACTCGCGCTCTTTTCCAGCTCTCCTTGGCATTCTTGTTCCTTTTCCCACTTCCCCATCCTTTTTCCCCCCCCCAACACACCACTGCCAACCACCCGAGAAGACATTTCCTTTGCCGGATAGAGCCTGCTGGAGACAATCGGACCTCGCCGGTTGCATCCTTCCTTCATCTTCCGTTCGATCCGCTGGTCTCCGCAGCTCCTCCCATCATCGGGTCTTTTCGCCGCCACACCCGTCCCGATCCCTCTCTCTCCCCTCATGAGCAGCATGTCCAAACTGCTCCCGCGGCGCGAATTCATCGCGCGCACAGCAAGTGCCATTCGCAGTGCTGCATACCCCCTGGCCTCTTCCGCGCGACCCATTCCACCCCCCTCAACATCTCAAGCTGCATCCAACCGCATCTCCCACTTTTCAACCAGCACACCTCTCTCCTGCTCGAGCCACAACAAGCTTAATAATAACACTCCCGCCTCCACAGACAAATATGCCGCAGGCCTGCGCCTGAACAAAGAATGGGCCGCGCAAACCGCGCGCGACCACCCAGACCTCTTCCCCACGCTCGCGAAGGGCCAGTCGCCCCAGATCCTGTGGATCGGATGCTCCGACTCGCGCTGCCCGGAGACAACCCTGCTGGGCCTGCAGCCCGGCGACGTGTTCGTGCACCGCAACATCGCCAACGTCCTGCACCCGGGCGATCTCAGCTCCTCCGCCGTGATCGAGTACGCCGTGCACCACCTGCGCGTTCAGCACGTCGTTCTCTGCGGCCACACGGCCTGCGGCGGCGTCGCGGCTGCGCTGGGAAATAAGCAGCTCGGTGTGCTAGATCCGTGGCTTCTGCCGCTGCGCCAGGTGCGCGAGCGGAACTTGGATCTCTTGCAGTCTCTTCCTGCTGATGAGGCTGCGCTGAAGCTCGTCGAACTTAATGTTCGCGAGGGGTTGAATGTCGTCAAGCAGAAGAGTGTCATTTTGACCGCCATCCAGGAGCGCGGACTGCAGGTGCATGGCCTGATCTATGATGTTGGCTCCGGCATCTTAAGGGAATTGGACTCCCAGGACTCGGATGAGACTATCAAGGCTCGTCTGACGGCTTTCATGACGGAGAATTAGAGATATATTGTAGCAAATGACGTGGCGGATCTATATTCGAAGTATTCTAAAAAGCAAAATGATGATGTGATGACGAAAGACCTTGTCTGGGTGGAGACGTAGAAGCGACCTAAAGGTAGTTTAATGCTTGCAGCTAGTTTTCCGGCGTCATGAACTTGGTGGTTTCAATTGGACTTTTAGAATCCTACACACAGATATACAACTCCAGAGGGCAAGCACTTTTCTTCCATGCCAACTATAGCTCCATTAATATACTGTGTTTCCGTATGTGTCTGTACTCATTTATGCGGAATATGTTACCCTTTCTCCCCCGCCTGCCCATCTAGTCAGCACTATCCCTGTTGGTACGCCCTCCCGAGGCGTCTCATCTAACTTGACATTTAACTTCCAGTTCTGAGCCCCGTTGGACCCGCGTCTAGCCATCTGTTACTTAAGATCAACTGAACAATAGGAGGTAAGGGATTCGCATTTCCATGTCTCGGGAATAAATACCCAGTTGCACCCACGGTGTGACGCTGCTTTCTATCTCCAATTTCACGCCAGAACCCCAGAATTTGAGAAAAGTGAGCTGCCAATTGCAAAAGACGCAATTTACTATTTGCAATTGGACTATTTCAACGTCTTTTTGCTTGTTCAATGATGGTAGCTATTGGTTTCAGGGAGAAACCATTACCTAATTCATAGTTCGGGAATAACCCTCGGGAATAAAAATCCCGGTTTATTCCCGAGACCCAGAAATGTAGATATTTAGGGTCTGGAACACACGCTTGACTCATTTTTTCAGTCCCCTTAGCTATTGATTATTATTACCCTTTTTTTTATTCTTGACATTCCTAATCACAATGCCCTCAACAAGCCTCTGCCAAGAGGAAACATGTCCTCCATACAGCCTGATGGACGACTACAGTGAAGGGGCACACCCCCAGATCCTCGAGGCACTGCTTCGGACAAATTCCACGCAACAAGTCGCCTATGGGGGTGACGAGTACAGCGATGCTGCGCAGCAACTAATCCGCGACAAGATCGGGTGCACCGACGACGAAGCAGACATTTTCTTCGTGCCCAGCGGGACATCAGCAAATCTGATCTCGATCGCCAGCTGTCTCCGGCCCTACGAAGCCGTTATCACCGTGGACTCGGGCCACATTGCATGCAAAGAGGCCGGTGCCATTGAAGCCACGGGCCACAAGCTTATTCTTGTCCCGGCAGTCGATGGGAAGATGACCCCCAAGCTTCTGCAGAAGGCATTTCATAGCAATCAATTCTATCCGCACATGGCGAAGCCAAGGCTACTTTACTTGTCTAATGCCTCTGAGACGGGAACGGTGTACACGAAACGAGAGCTGAGCGAGCTCTCTGCGCTGTGCAAGCAGCTCAATCTGCTCGTTCTAATGGATGGTGCACGGTTGGGAACGGCACTGTGCTCCAAGAAGAATGATATGACCCTGCGAGATATCCATGAATTGACAGATATCTTCTGGATCGGAGGTACCAAGGCTGGTGCGTTGCTTGGCGAAGCAATCGTTGTCAAGAAAGCGCTCGCAGAAGGATTCGTTTTCCACCTGAAGCAGCACGGCGCTCTGCTAGCAAAGGGCCGGATCATGGGCGTGCAATTTTTGGAGCTTTTCCGATCCGATCTGTTCTTCGAGCTGGCGACACATGCGAATCAGATGGCGCAGAAGATCTCCGCTGGATTCGAGACTCTGGGTTATAAGCTGTTGGCGGAGACGGAGACAAATCAGGTGTTTGTCATTCTGCCCCAGCGGCTCGTCCGGAGACTGCAGGACAGATTCCGGTTCTATATTTGGGAGGAATTGGATGATGGCCAGGCAGTGGTTCGGATTGTGACGTCGTGGGCGACAGATGAGATGCAGGTGGACAAGTTTAATGCGTGGGTGCAGCAGTGGACGGTGGCATGCAAGGAGATGGAGATTTAATTTTTTTTGGTTCATTTTGCATATATGCATGGGTTGGAGTTAGCCTTTAGATATCTATATCTGCCGTATTCTGCGGTGACGTTTAATTACTTGAAGCGATTTAGCTATGCTGTAGACGGTGGAGTAAGTGGATGTTAGCCAAAATGCGACGTAGATGCCAGAGAGAGTCTAAGAAGGAATGTTATTCTATATATTGTAGTGTGGCAGGAGGGAATCGTGCTCTAGGCGGTAATGAGACCTATCGGAGGGGAGGCTTCTAGGGGAGTTGCAAAGGAAGAAATGCCTGGTTTGTGCCACACGCACTAGTTCTCACCTGATAGCAGTAAGACGAGGTTACTGTAGAGTGATGATTATATTGATGCCTGGCTGCTAAGGTGTCAAATTCAATCACCTGATTGGCTTGGTATTTCAAGGGAGACTGTCTTCTCTCTGCTCTTTCATCTTCCCAGCACAACCTGGTTATTTTTTGCTTTCTCCGTGAAACAATAATATTTTCGAGTCCAATGGATTGATGAACTGGAGCCGAGCTTCCCGCCGAGTATTCCCACGTTCAAGCTCAATGCGACTCTCAATATCATGCGAAGGCTGTCGGTAGGTTATCCTCGAAAGTTGTATCTGCGGGATTGACACCGTCAACAGTCAAGCAAAGGTCAGATGTGTGCATGAAGGGATTCCGCCATGTCAGCGGTGTGAAAGGACCAAAAAGCCAGACTGCGTTTTGACAGACCCGCGAGCATCGAGGCCCAATTCGGGAAAAAAGAGCATCCCATCAAGAACCCCGAGGAAGCGAAAGGCCATTGCCAGAGCATCTCCAGAAATTGATAGCGCTCAGACTCCACATCGGAAAACTTCCCAGGTTGTTCCAGGGAGCCAAGATGCATCCGATAATCCCATTTCGGCTCTCTCCCCGGCCACAGTAATCAGCGCCGTCGAGACTTACAGGAAAAAATTCCCTGTTGCGAACTTCCTGCACTATCCCTCTCTTATCTCAGACATATCCGCCAACCCTCTATCGGTGGACCCAGTCTTTGTTGCGTCCTTACTTTCTCTCTGTGTGCGGTTCATGCCCAGCCATGGACTGGGCGACGAGGAGACGTATGCAGGCTATGCCAGGAAGCAGCTGGCGCATCGTGTGCTCGAGGCACCCTCACTTTTTCTTGCCCAGTCGTTGGTCATGTTCTCATTTTACGAATGGGGGTCTGGGCGACCATATCAAGCTTGGATGTACAGTGGTAGGCATGGCAGGAAATGAGACACTGGATAAGTGCTAATCATACTAGGCATGGCCACCTACATGATCCAATCGCTCTTGAAAATGTCAGACGACAGCATGGAACATAACCCCCAAGAGTTCCATGCCTCACAGACACAGTATGAACAGCTTGTTCGTACATATTGGTGCTGTTTTGCACAGGATTGCGAGCTTAGTTCTGGAGCCCGACAGCACTTTGCACTATCTTTCTCCCAGATTTCAGTACCGCTTCCTATCAGTGATCGGGACTTTACATTCAACCATTCCCCAACAAGGAGGTTGATGCCTGTGGACATGAATCAGAAGTGTCTTCTTGCAACGAATTTGACCATTGAGCATGGCCTTACGATTGTCACTCGCGGGTTTGACATTTTCGTTCGCATTTTGCGATTTGCCAATGAACATAGACGAGATTTGGCATCCATGTCGTCAGACGAATCCGTTGGATCACCCCTACATCTGACCTGGCAGCAACTAAAGGGAGAGCTGGATGAGTGGAGATCTCTGCAAGATGCGACGGTCAGATATCCTGCCACCAGCGCCCAGGCACATGTTGCTCTTGGTTATGGCGAGCTATTCGCGTATATCAATCTGGTCTATTTCATGAGGCACGCCATATCTCCGAACAGAATGGAGATACCAGACTGACTGGCGACAGCATACTTTTCCTCCACCGAGACCGATTCCTATCTACCCTGAAACCCCACTCGGATGTCTTTCATGACACCAGCGATGGCATACCGGGCGAACCGGGCACCATCAAACAGCTTTTCGAAGCAGCCCAGCAAATCGGGGGAGTCTTGTCCGCTCTCGAAGCCTCAGAAGCCCCCGTCATAACGCCATATTCAGGTTTCAGCGTCTTCGTCGCCGCGCACATAAACATGTACGGGACCATCGCACCACATCGGTACCCCGGCGGATTCGAAAGAGCCGAGGAAGAGAAGACCAAGAACCTCCAGTACCTTGAGCGACTGAGTAGCTTCTGGCCTGTCGGTCGGAGCTGGGTACGTTTTCCTTCCCTTTCCCTTCGTTTTCTTGCTAGATATTTTCTTCCTTCGATCGCTATGATAACTAACAGACAACGAAAAGTGGCGCACCGTCCAAGACGCAAATCGCTTTTACGAAACAGTAAAAAGTAACCAAACACACCCTGAACCTGGCATGCATAGTCCGCGCCGTTTAGCTCTGGCAGGGACATTAGACGAGTATGGTGATATCCGCTCTCGTCCACACGGCGAACAGCAACAGCAACCCTCTCGGGGAAACGCCGGTGTATCCCATGGTTCGAGGCATCCGCATTACACTCATGGAAGAACACCTTCGCCGCCTGAGCTCGGAAGCGATGATCAATTCTTGTCGAGAGAGAATGCTTCTCTTGGTGGTCATCACGATTTCGAAACTGATATGTTTCAGTGGCCGTTTATCGATGCCTCGTGGTCAACGGGGTTTGACAGTGGCTTGGATGGGCTGTGGCATAATTCGGGGCTGTTTGATATGAATCCGTCGATGAGGTAGCGTCCTACGACTTTACAAGGAGTATTTCTCTGTTTTTATACCTGTTTTTATACCCTCTGGTTAGCATTGGTGAATATACTAGCGTTATCCAGAACAAGCTGTCCCTGGCATTGTTTGCTTTTGCTATGAATCTCTTTTTATCCACCCTGCGTCCTCTACAGCGCTAGGTGCGCGACCAAATTCATCCAGTGAAGTATCTTCATGCCAACCTCCTCCTACACAAACGAAGTCGTCCAGCATATTTCCGAACGGCGCTATCTCATCGTTGACCGTAAATAAGGACAGATCCAAAGCCGTGTCCTGCCCATAATCGAAACTGCCAAGATGACTCTGCGGAGCTATCCCTGGCACCTGGTCAGAAAGTCCTATTGAGAGACCAACATTAGACCAAAAACTAGGATAGTGCAGGTTTCCTTACCACCTGAAGGCATCCAAGCGGGCATGCTCGATTTGTCCATGTCTTGTTTCAGCACTTTCGTGATGGCTTTGGCTGCTTTTTGTGCCTCAACCGATCGGTCCGCATTTTTCTCCCATAGGCCCTTGGCACTAGTCAAGGCTTCCACGATGTCAAGTCTCCTATGCAGAGCGCCGGTATTTGACATCCCAGCATCTCCGTCATTGACCCTGCTCAGAGCAAAACACAGCATCATCGTAGCTTGCAGAAACTCGTGGCTAAGCGATGAAGCTACCTTCCAACGAATGCTGAACATAAGACCTCCGGGTTGAGTCTCTTCGCTCATTCTTCTCTGATGCTCCAGGATTGCCAGTGCAGATTGGATGCATATCTCATTGGATTTTGTGCTTTCTTCTCCCGTTGATCCTTTGATGAAGCTGTGTCGATGGAGGAGATAAATGGCCTTTTGAAAGAGGACGTCCAGGAACATCCGGTTTAATATGGTGACAGGATTGTCTGCAATTGCTGTTTCCAGAGACTTGTATTTGAGCCACTCAGGAAGGGCATCGATGGCCTTTTGGAGCTTAGCGCTTAGTGCAGCAATAGTAACAGATGTTGGCGGCTCTACTTCAACAGCATCATAGATCTCTGCTGATACTTTGATGATAGGATGTCTCTGAATTATGTGTAAGAGCGGGCTATTATCTGTCAGTGGCCGCTCAGGTGGAATCTCGTCGTGTTCGAAGCCAATATCGTCGTCAAACAAGTGCGCGGGCGGGCGTGTATCGCATTGAGAGTCCTTTATTATCCGTGGGAGTCCAATCTCCGTACTCGTGAAGTAGTCCATCTGGTACAGGGCAATCCAGATTCGCCGTCGAAGTTCTGCATGCAGTGGTCGGATGTTTGGCCAGTGGGACGGATCGCGGTGCAATCCCATGCGCAAAGCGATCCGAATCACGACGCCAAGCAAAACCCAGTTTCTGATGTTGGTATCCACATTCACGTTCTGGTCCACAGCAAAATGTAACGTCAGTGTTTCGATGGTATACCTGCTGGGTCGGAGGTAATCTCCAGCGACGAGGCAGTGGATGGTGAGAGTTCGGTATGTTTCAAGCGTGGTTTGGGAGTCCACATTGGATAGTCCGAGAGCCTCAACTTCTTGCTGCTGAAGGAATACAGATGTACTCATCATGCTAAATAAGAGTCCCACCCACATAATGGGAGCGGCGGAAGGATCTTTCCAAAAATTGGCGTACTATACAGAGAATCAATAAGCGAATTAAAACTTGCCTCACCGAATTCTGACCTCTGCAAGGAACTTGTTCCGGTGTAAGATTACTGCTATCATGTCAGTCCGGAATCCAAGAATCCATCTTGAGACTTACCAGGGGCGAGGTCGAAAGCATTGAAGAACTGAGAGATATGTCTGTCAACCACTTTCCGTGTGGGGATCATGGCCATGATCTGTTCTCTCGGAAGGCAGCTGACACCAGCGAGAAGAGAGATCTTAGTGCCCAATGATCCATTGAATGGCGTTGACTGTCGAATTACGACGCTGTCCGAGTCATCCTCGGACAGCTCGTCTTTGAGTTGTTCAATCTGAAAAGCATTAGAATACTTTCTACAGAGCCTTAGGGAAGTCTCACGTCTTCCAAAATCGTGGCCCAATGAGAGCTGCCCATATAGACTGCATGGCCATCTGTGAGACTTAATTTGCCCATGTTTTCTGTCGCTTGGGCATCGGAAGGAGGAAGTGATGGTACGGGGTCAATAAAGCCCTTGTCTGAACCTTCTAATTGTCGACCAGAGTTCTGCATCATGTCTCTCATCTCAGTGACGAGCTTTTCTAGACGGGTAATTCTTTGGCGAGCTCCTTGACTTCTGACGTGAGGTCTGTAATCAATGGCATCTTTTCGCTGCTGCTCGGAAGAGGGATAGCTGCACTCTTCAGGCTTTCCGCGCTGTAGACAAGCGTTGCAGGGAGACTGTCTGTCGCAACGAATTCTGCCAAAGATCTACTTTAACACGCGCAATCATACCAGCCACGTAAGGTGGACGGACTCACTTGCGCCCTCGGCAAAAAGTGCAGCTCAGGACCGTCTTGTCGCGCCTCCTCTTATCGGATATTGATTGAGACATCATCGCAGGATTGAATTTATTCAATCAAACAAGTCAGGCAAGTAATGATTGAGAGAGAAGGCCCGGGGTGATGTCAAAGACAGCCTCAGGCCACCGACTCGCCAAGGCTGCGGACGGTCGGACAGTCGCGGACAATGTATGTGCTGATTGGTCCGTGGGATACTATGGATTCACCGTCCGTAAAAATCCTGGGGCTTTAAAATGGGTACCATCTGCCTTGATAAATTATTAAATCAGTAAAACGCAGTGCTTAACAAATTAAGGATAAAATGGGAACCCCCGAGAAAGTCGACTTTGCCTATCCTTCGGGATTCAAGCTGGCGTTGCTGATGATATCCATATTCGTTGGCATGTTCCTAGTGGCCTTGGTATGTTAGATGACCCGAGGTGATCTTGTGTCACGTCAATACATACCTGCTCACTGATAAACTTCTTTTGCAGGATAAACTTATCATCTCCACGGCCACCCCCGCAATCACCGACGAGTTTCACGCCGCCGACAATGTCGGGTGGTATGGCACCTCTTATTTACTCACCAACTGCACCTTTCTTCTGGTATTCGGGAAACTATATACCTTCCTGAATGTCAAAGTCACCTTCGTCTCAGCCGTTGTCCTGTTTGAGGTGGGCTCCGCGATCTGCGGGGCGGCACCGAATTCAATGGCTTTCATCATCGGCAGGGCGATTGCTGGTTTAGGGGCAGGAGGTATTCAGTCTGGTGTCGTACGTATTTCTCCTTTCCTTCTAGAGGCCGTTTCTCAAACTATAGTTTTTAGCTTGCAATTATTGTTTACGCCGTTCCGCTGCAGAAAAGACCCCAATACCAGGGCCTATTTGGTGCCGTGTACGGGATTGCATCGGTGATCGGCCCATTTGTTGGTGGAGCTTTTACCACAGACGTCACTTGGAGATGGTGCTTTTATATCAATCTTCCCTTGGGAGGCATGGTCTTGGTGTTTGTCCTTTTCTTACTCCGTGTTCCAAGCAATTCCTCCACAATCGACACTTGGAAAGAAAAGTTGCGGCATCTCAACATAGAGGGCCTGGTTGCTCTCTTTCCTGGTGTAATATGCCTGTGTTTGGCCCTGCAATGGGGTGGCTTCACGTATAGTGTAAGTTGCTATCACTGTTACCCAAAGCAAAGCAAGCTAACCCTATTTAGTGGAGTGACGGACGCATTATCGCGCTACTTGTGGTCGCTGTTGTACTTTTGATCGCCTTTATCTTGATCCAGATTTGGAAGTCGGATCAAGCCACGGTGCCTCCACACATCTTCATGCAGCGCAGTATTGCTGGCGGGTTCTGGGTGAGCTGCTGCGTTGGCGCGCATCAAACGCTATTAAGTGAGTCTGCTCAACACTACATAAAAGAATAGGCTAATGTGGAGGTACCAGTTTATTTTCTTCCAATTTGGTTCCAAACCATTAAAAGTGACCGGGCCGTCGAGAGCGGCATCGACCTCCTCCCCATGGTTCTTTCGTTGGTCGTTTCGTCTATTCTCAGCGGAGTGCTTACTACTCGGATTGGCTATTATATGCCCTTCTTGCTCTCCGGCATTTGTCTCTCGGCGGTCGGCGCCGGCGTGCTTACTACTCTCCGAGTCAACTCATCCATGGGTCAATGGATCGGGTATCAGATTCTATATGGGTTTGGTTTAGGCGCTTGCTTCCAGGCACCCAACATGGCTGCGCAGACAATACTACAGCGCAACGAAGTATCGATCGGTGCGTCTCTCATGCTTTTCTCTCAAACACTTTTTGGCTCTATCTTCGTCTCAGTCGGCCAGAACGTCCTCGATGGACAACTCACCAAGCGCCTTGCTGGGATTGCAAGCATCACACGACAGCAAATCCAAGCTGCTGGCGTCACGGGTCTCTTTAAGGTTATCCCACCGCAGTACCATAACAGAGTTTTGGAAGCTTATAATGACTCCCTCGGTGTGTGCTTTCAAGTTGCTCTCATCATGGTTTGCCTCTCTATACCTGGTGGTCTCTGTATGGAGTGGCGCAATGTCAAGAAGCAAGAGGACAATGAGGGCAAGAATAGTGTTGAGGAAGGCAAGAATCGGGGTAACCAAAGCCCTGATAATGATGGGGAAGGGCAGACTCAGTCTATATAGATGCCATCCGAGCGCTCAGGGGCTAGAACGACTAGAGAACTACATTTGTCCCACTGATCTGCAGGGCAAACTGCTATATGTGTCATCTTTCTGGCCCCAATCATTAGCGCAGATGTTGAGGTGCCCGATTGCCCGACTGCCAAGAACCACAACTTTGAAGTAAACATGCGAAGTCAAGTTATGGAAGCTGGTCCCCAGGAATATGGTGCATCACCGATCCTCATCCGAAAGTATAATCATGTCTTGGAATCGCATCCCTTCAGAGATCTTCGACGATATCAACCAGCACCTCGATCTCAAAACCATCAAAAACTTCCGGCTCGTGAGCAAACACGCCGCAGAGCGGTGTCTCGGTCCCCGCCTTTTATCTTTCGTACCAGCGCACGTGGAAACAAATCTCACAGAGCCCAGTCTCCAAGATCTGGCCGCACGAGCATTACATCCGGTCTTCGGAAAGACTGTTCAGCGCCTGACAATCAAAGCTGTCTTCTACGCCCACCATGGAGACTATATTACAAGTAAACGTTGGCGACCATTACTCGCAAGATGGAATGTGAGCGACCGGCTACTCGAAAGGATTTGGGGAAACAGAGAGCCTTGGGAGCCGCAGAATGTTAAGTGGCTCAAAGCCAGCAGAAGGCTCGCGACGCTTTATCGGACGAATTCATTATCAAAACCATTGCGGCTGCACTAGACCAGTTGTTGGCGCGGGACAATCAAGTTGTTGCCTTGGATTGCCGTCATACCCGGAAAGGAAAAGAAGATTGACTTTTGGTATCATGTTGGATTCCAGTGGGCATCGTATGTCTCCATTCTTACACTGGCTGCTGTGGCTAGAAGCGCTCCTGCTTTGCGACAATTGGATATATATGGCGGACTCGAACATGACGGGGGCGGAGCTCCGCCTGATTGTTGAACCATTACCGCGGGAAATATGGCAGCTACAGAGGTGATACTGGGTAGCCCAAATGTGGGAGCAGGACTGGAAAGGATTAGTTCTAATGGTACGATAAAGATTGGTTCCGTCTGTTCCTGTCCGGCCCGAATGGAGGCTCAGAAATAGGAGGGAAAGAGAGGCGATCTTGCCAGACCCCCAGAACTCCCACTCTGTGGACTGTTTGCAATGAAGATTCTACACGATGCCACGGAGCGATACGGTATTACGACAATGACTCATCGATCACTTTCAGGCAATACAATACCATTCAGCAGGGATTGCTGAGGGAGAAACTGAGATTAGACTCGTGGGTTTCTGATTAGGGTTCGGGAACTGACCTGTGAGAGTATGATGGTGTATCTGATTTCGAAAAGTGCTGTAACATACGATGCCTCAATATCCAATAACTCATAAATGCTCGCCCCGCAAGGCGTCCGACTTGGCACCGGGTTCGCGGACGGTTGATGGAGAGCACGTCAGGCCCGCCGCTCCGAGACAACGATACGGTCCACCGAGAACCAGACGCGTGGTCGATCGCTTTTCACCCGTTAACGTGAGTGGAGGAACCATAGAGGAATGGAGGGAATGATGGAGGGAGCGATGGAAGGAGCGATGGAGAGAAGCCTCAGAGAACGATGAAGAAAGAATTCATCGTACGGCGCACGGTGGCTTTCTTGTCACTTTACAGAAGCCAATTGTATACTTTGAATACTGGGATACAAAGTTGACCACAGTCCCTCATGACCCCTGCGAGGCGGTGCTTGATTATTATTGTGTTGGCCGTGCCAGAACGGGACGAAGCGAGATTTTGCCTTTTTTTGCCTTTTTCTGCCTTTTTCTTTGATGAATGAAGTGTGTACGCGGTGGGGGCCGGGCGTGATAAGCTTCCATTCGATTTACCTAGTATTATGATACCGTTCTTTTTTTTTTCTCTGTATTTTTCGTCCCCTTTCTTTGTGCAGTGTTTGGTTCCAAAGGATAAACGACCCAACGAAATAATGGAAATGAGTGATTTATGTGTAAGTGTGTGTTCAAAATTGACTTTAATCCGAGCGCAATGCGTCGTCAGCCAGAAACTGGGAACCGTGGGCCCCATCTGAACTGATCGACCAGGGTCTGCGCTACATAATCCTAGAGTATCAAACTTATGCTGTTGCCTGTTTAAAGGGCCGGTTCCCAAGTCCTGGGTATTATCGTCCACTCCAAGGATACTATGGGGGCACGCCCGTATGCATGACCATGGTGATAAGACGACCTCATCGCAAATCACGGCATGGCTGTGTGGAATGCAAGCGGCGGCGAGTCAAGGTATTTATTGAATTATTCCACTGCTGTCTTTTTTTTTTCCAGTTTGTGTTAATAATTGGATGGTAGTGTGATGAAGCCCGGCCGACGTGCTCCAATTGTGCCAAGCGCCATACTGAGTGTGGGTATGGGTCGTCCAGCTCGTTACTATGGGCAAAGGAGGACCCTGTTTCTCGCCATGTGTCTCGTGGCTCTAGGTCAGACACCGGCCAGCCCGGCGAGTCCATCATGAGCAGTGTCGGGACGCCGGACTCGTTAGGGATTTTGGGCCAGATGCGCGACGAGGACCAAGGAGCAGCCTCACTAACTCCGATTCTCAACATTGCCGACCTAGAGCTAATGATTCAATGGTGTAACTCGACCTACGAGAACCTGTCGCGCAACGAGCTCACTGATCCAGTATGGCAGTACGCCGTGCCTATAGAGGCGCTCTCGCATCCGTTTCTGATGCATGGCATTTTGGCCCTATCATCCTTACACCTCGCCCGGACAGGCCTAGAACTAGCTCGGCGGGCGTCATATCTCTGCCGCGCCGTGGCACACCAGAACCAAGCGCTATCGCTCTTTCGCGGGGTATTAGGGGACATTAATAAGACTAATTCTAAGGCGATATTTGCCTTTGTGGGAATTGTGGTCGTATATACATTTGGATTCCCCCATTCCCCAGACGTGCAAGACCCCTGGAACTACGTGGATGATCTCTACCAAGTTCTCGTGCTTTCTCGTGGTATGCAACAAGTCATACGATCTATTACCGATATGATCCTTAGTAGCGCCTTTGCGCCGCTTTTACATCAGGTTGAATGCTATACGCCATTGACCGACGACGATAAGGCCGTCGTCACCCGCCTACAAGAAGCGAACCGTATTCGCGGGCTACGCAACGCCGACTACGAAATGGACGTGTTCGTAGCGACGATTGGGAATTTCGCAGAAATGCTAGGCCTAGTACGCGGTGGCGTGACGACTAGCACGATTGCTGGTAGGTGGGCGACCATATTGCCCCAGAGATTCCTAGAGCTACTACGGGAACGAGAACCCTTCGCACTAGTGATGTTAGCCCATTATGGCGTGCTCTTGCAGTATCTTAAGCCCCGGTGGTGTTTTGACGAGTGGTGTGTGCGGGTGGCTAAAGCTGTGTGGGCGGTGTTAGATGATCAGTGTAGACCCTTAGTGCACTGGGCGATGTACGAGATCCTTGGCCAGAATTACATCGATCAAGTCTAATCAGCCGTAACTAGGAAAATATAACTATTCAGAGATTATTATTACATTAGTATACTCACAGGTAAACATTAACCTGAAGCCTGACTATTTGGACTCCGCTCGGATGGATGACCACAAACATAACCGAGTGCAACAGGGGTCCCGCTAAAATCAACAAATTAAACGCAAAAAGAAACTAATATTTACTTACCATGACGGCATTATTATGAACATAGCCAAGAGGGTTCTGGTTTGTATACTTCGCACATTTAGCCGGATCGGGTCAAGTTTCAATGAAGGATGACGCTTGTGGCCTCGGCCAAGCCAGACTTTGACGGAGTGGAAATTCGTGCTGAGATGAGCGCCAAACAGTCGTCGAAGATTCAGTCTCTGTACCAAGGAAGACCCGTGAGTCTTCAGGAAATCGAGTGCAGTGTTCCCATGACATTCATGGACCGTTATGAAGAACTGGAGCACTGGAAACCCTTTGCTTACCCGGAGACCCATAGTCACCCTGGTTCTCCGCATGCAGCGTCTCCACCATGGGACTTTGCAAACTGAGTCTCATAGCTTGCCGAGGATTTTAAGGCGTTACATGCAAATCTAGATGAATGGCAGAACGAGCTCCCTACCCATCTGACATATGACCCAGCCGACACGTCAACTCCCATTCCGCCTCCACATGTTCTCTCCTTACCGTAGGTCGATCCGCACTCGCGCTTCCGCTTCGAGTCTCGAGAATTTTCTGCTGACAAAATGTAACACCTCCGTGTTGGAAAAAGTGCAATGCACAATGTTCTTCTGATTCTCCTCCATCGACCATTTGTGTCCGACGGACACCTTCACTCCAGTCCGTCGAATGCGATTAATTCGTTTATGGTGTGCGCGACCGCGGCCAAAACGATTGGTAGGATCCTGAGGGCCTACATGCTGCATTCTCTATTCAACGGGCACCTTATCTCATTTCCTACGCCACATATGTGAGTGCGACAATCTATGTTCGGATTGCGGCGCAGTGAGAGTCAGGCTCGCAGGCACATGCTTGCCTCTCAACGTGCCTAGACGTTTTCAAGAAGAACCAGGAGACGAACTGAGCTGTAAGAAGAGCCAATATCATCATCCGAAATTTGATGAAGCGGATGCGCGTCAGCATCAAGGACGACGACTTTGCTGGGGTCGGTGATCACCATGATCTAATGGTCGATCCCAGCGATGGAAACGCTAGCAAGAGCATTCCGCGACCAGGGACGGCCAACCCCCCTGAGGTTGTCGGTGGTGGTGGAAACCAAACTTACAATTACACTGGAAATATGTCGGTTGACAGCCAGAGCTCGGAGTTCATGATGAACGTCGCCGATACCGCGGCGCCAGATAACGTGGCATCCGAATCTCGATATCGACGGGATCATTCAGAGCTTCATGCGCGAGCACAGAGTGAACGACCATCAGGACAAGGATTGCGGAATGTTTCCCTGGTGTATCCCGTGAGCGGATCGACTCATCAGTGATATCCGTCCGCACCATATATATCGGATGATGTTGAGATTTCCAATGCACAGGCTCAGCTGGTGTCAGCCTGGGGAGACCCCTACGGAATCAGTTTCCCACAGGAGGACAGTTTGACTATGGAGTTCTCGGGTACTGATATGCTCTTTGGATTCAACAGCTCGGCGATAGACGGTTTTGGTTGGGAGTTTGATGACCGACTGCTATCACACGTGTATCCCTATTTTTGGTTAGCAATGAAGGCTCGGCGGAGTTCCGGGCCACGTCGTTTGTGGAAGTTTATTTGCCAATGCTGTACTGTTGGAAACATTTGCGCAATCGTTCTACATGGCCACGGAAATATATATGTGAGATACAAATGAGCCGAAGATTGAGGATTTGACTCTGAAAGGCTTAGTAATACAGATGTCCGGTTGCATGCTTGACAACAAGGTCGGGCAAGGGAATCGAGTTTTCTCGATTTCTTTTTGAAAACACGCAAATAAACACATACACAAATGGAAGGATGTAAAAAGTAGAATTAAGCACTAAATGGCATCCAGTGGAAATACTGGTGAAAAACCTAGCTGGCTCCAACCCCTGGCTTCACTGTTTCTTTCTCGAGTATGCTTGGCTTTGGGGAAGATGAGACCGCCGAATCCCCCCTGGACGACTCCCCAGTGGACGTTGCAGTGTCGTTACTGATCACTGCGAAAGAATGTCGGGGCAAGTCTCGGGCCACCTTCACAACATCAAAGAAGCCCGTCGACTTCCGGAAGATGATGTCCATCTCCTCCAAGGAGCGACCGGTGGTCTCGGGGAAGAAGAAGTAGACGATAAGTACAAAGCAGGCGTTCAGCACCGCGTAGATGATCCAGTAATGACTCCCCAAATTGCTCGTGCCTATGGGGGTGACCTGCGCAACCACGAATTGGAACAACCATTGCGTGGCGTTGGCGATAGCCGTGATAGGCACACGGAGCCGCAGCGGTGCGATTTCCGTCGCATATAGAAACGTCTGGCCGAGAAAACCAAGGGGGAAAAACAAATCGAATAGGAAAACAAAGACAATGGCGGCGGTGCTAGTAGAGCTGTGATTGCCAGTCCCGGCAATCACCGCTGTCGAGACAGCCAGACCACCGCCAGTGATCATAAACAGGTTTCGACGACCAAACCGGTCCACGAGGAAAATCGGGATTATTGCGGCAAGCATCTGAAAGGTCGTGAGACATGCCCCCAGAACGCGCGACCTCACTCCCTTAATGCCTAGATCCACAAACACCGTGTTGGTATAGAATACGAGAGCGGAGATCCCACACATCTGCTGAAACATCTGCCCGCAGGCGGCTAGAAGCACGCGATGGAAGCACCGCTCCTCTCCGTTGGTCGCTAACTCCTTCAAGCCTCCTGGGATCAGGGACAGAGACTTTTCAATGTCGGCCAGCTCTTCTCGGACGTGCGGCGAGTTTTCGTCTTCGTTCTCCAAAGCGGCCAGCACCTGGCGTGCTTCCTCGATCCGGCCCTTTTTCATCAACCAGCGGGGTGACTCGGGCATGACGAAGATGAACGGAATAACAAAGATCGAGAAGATGACCGGAAAGACCAGTGGCACTCTCCATTGTGCAGCGCCATTTGAGGCAAACGACAGGCCAAATGACACCCACTCTGAGAGAGTAATGCCACTGCTGATGCACAGGCCATCCAGGATCACGAAAGCTCCGCGATGGGCGGTGCCAGAACATTCGGACTGCCACACGGGGATGGCGCTGCTGATCGTACCAATTGCGCCCCCGACTAACAGTCGCCCAACAATGAATTGAGCGAGACCGAAGGCCGATGACTCAATCGCCAGTCCGACGATGGATAGCACGAGACCGACGAGCGTAGTCCTCAGGCGCCCGATGCGATCGCTGTAACCAATGCACAGCAGAGAACCCACGACCGCACCGAGATCATAACATCCGGTGACCACCCCTTTGATTCGGGAGTTGTGGGCCATTTGGGCTCCCGTGGTGTTGACCGTATCCATCAATGGGAATTGCTGGCGACGAATGTCAGGTTCGCGATGTTAAATGAGTCTCCCTGAATTCCTATTGTTGTAACTCACATGGACGAAGGACTGCAGATTTCCAATGCCACCAGTCGACCCGTTATTGTATCCAAATAAAATGAAGCTGGGGGCGACGACTAGCAGCGCGACGGCTGCCTTCAGTTTGGTCCCTCTCAGCCTCAGGAAGGTTTTCCGCACCGCCATGTCTGATCCTCTCTTGTTCACAGTGCTACGAGACAAATGCAGCTCTAGACAGACTATGCATGAAGCTGGAAAAAAGAAAAGGATGACTGAATTATATACCTTGTTCTACGCTTATGCAGCGCAGGTCGGACGTAGACGATGGGATTTCCCCACGGGGGCGGGCAGTGCAACGAATCCTGGCAGAGCTCATTTAGTCTGACGCACTCAATGAAAAGCTTATTGCGGGCATTCTCCAATCACAAAGCGAGCCAATGCAGGAACGTTTGCCCGACACGGCAACTTTCCTCCCACGGCAAGTATCTTGCCGTCCACCAATCATAGCGCACCGATATCGTCCCTTCCTGCTATGACTGACTACCTGAATCCCTTCTGGCAAAGGCGAATCATCGTCCAATCTAATGAGATGCTGTGGGTTGCGTCGTAAATTGACTGAGCTTCGTTATGGCCTAGTAAGTATGCCCCGGAGTACCGGCAAGTCTTATGCCGTGTTTAAAAGGGCCCTGGCGACGGAACCAGATAGAAAGCCATGTGTCTCTGGACTCCTCAACGCTCCTCCATTACACTCTCGAATGCGGCTTTGCTCTTCATCGAAATTATCTTCCATTTTGGCGGTCCGAATAGCTGCCATGTTGACTCAGTGTGATCTGGTAGTCAATGCCTAGCCGCCACCGCCTCTAGCGAAAGCTCTGGGGGAGATACTGGCACCTACAATGCGTCGACAGAGACTATATCGACTGCCATCGGCGCTGATGCGGGTGGGTACGTCGCGAGGACTGTTCTTGCATTGTCACTATCTCACGACCTCGCAGTCGGACTGCGCCTCCATCTTTATCGCGGCGATAGGTTCCCGCAATAACGACCCCCGACAGTTGGAAGGGGTCGGTGGTGCCACGTCTACGACATCGAAGGCGGTAGTGGTTTCGAAATCGGATAAGCCCGGAATTGGAGTGGAATATGCCTTTGCACAGATCGCAGTCGGACAGGAAACGATTGATATGTCGGGAAATTGTGGGAACATGGCCTCCGGCATTGCGTCGTTCACATTGGAAGAAGGGCTCATTTCTGCAAGACCCTATCAATCGGAGGTAAGTGCAGCCATCTAGAGGGCCTGTCGAGTAGTGCCCAAAGAAAATGTCCACGCCAACGATGAGACATCGGGTTATCTCTCCGCTCCGGCTCCAGGCCATAATCTGCTTAGCAAGTAATCGATTAGTAACTAACCAACCAACTAACTAACTAACGAACATAATTCCTGGGCGAGCGGGTCAGCCGAGCGAGCAGGTCAACCCCAAAACACCATAGTAAATGCATTATTTTTACCACCCGATATTTCAACAACATTAGCCTGATTTAGACCATTAAATGCCTCCCTAACCTCATAATTATCAAATCCCTGGGATTTACGTTAATCTTTATAGAACACATTGCCTTCAAACAATCGACGTGCTGTTCGGAAGACTCCAACCTTCTTCACGCTCACCTCCCCACTTCTTGCCATACCAAGCACCGTTTCAGTATCAATAATACCAGCTGGATGCCGAATAGCTACCGGCCTGGCAGGTGCAAGCTTCTGGTCTTCGATCTCCATTCCATATTTCGGCAGCTGATTATCCTTCCCATCCCTATCCAGGTCCCAGGCAACAGTGCCGTGGATTGCCATCGCTGCCCCTATACAGACTGCTCCAGTCAGCTGTAGACTGGCGTGGGGCTTGCCCATGGTGAATGCAAGCACCTCTATATCGGCGTTAGTCCCGTCTGCCGGCGGGGACAAAAACGCGATCTTGGGCGTTCCTTGAACGAGTCCTGCTGATTGGATGTCTTGTGCGAGCCCAAACTGCACGGCGCCTTCCCTTCGGATATCTTCTGCAACCGAGATAAAGTCCGGGTCACCTGGGTCCGGCCAGCTCCGAGGCAAGGAGCGGGAATCAACAAGGACAAAGGGATTCGCTGCGTCGACCAGGCTGACTCGAACCTTGAATGATCCGACTATGCGGGACTGGATGGTCAGAGTGTTTCGGGTTTCACCGGTTGGAAACATCCTGCCTGTCATACTGCCCCCTGGATTCAGGAATGCCACCTTGATGGGGCTTGCGGTGCCCTCCACACCGGCGATGTAACAATTTCCATCCTCTCGGAAGCTTCCGTCTGGGGAGACTTGGATCGTCTCCACGATATTTTGCCCGGTATTGGTGTTGAGGATACGGACATCCATCTATCTTTTCGTTTAGCCGCGATGGAGGACTGCACTTGAGCGGCCGTACTTACTTCAGTTTGTCCCAGATTCGCGTGCACGATCCCCTCATCTAATGCAAATGGCCCTATCCCAGATGCAATATTGCCGCAGTTGCCCGTCATGTCAACCTTTGCCCGATCTGGGGCCACCTGGATGAAAGTGTATTCGACGTCGATGTCCGGGCGGTGGGATTTAGCAACAACGGCCACTTTGGATGTTGTCGACGTAGCACCACCGACTCCATCGATCTGTCGCGCGTTGCCTTGCGAGGAGCCCATCGCTGACAAGAGGATGGGTTCCCACTGTTCAATCGAGGCGGGTAGGTCTTTTCGATGGATGAAAAGGCCTTTCGAAGTGCCCGATCGCATCCATACTGCTGGGATAGATTTTCTCGTTGGATAAGGAACGGGCTTCTTAGATTGTAGGGTGCTGGGGATCAAACGAGCGTCCGTAACGGACTGGGTTGTTGCTGTTGTCATGATGCTTCTCAAATGCAAAGTGGCTCGCATCAGCATTGTGCTTTTATCTCGTCCGGGATCTTACTTACTGGTGCTGCTATATGGGCTACTCTATATCTATTGGATCATTCTTCATAATCATGTAAATGGACTTCTCCGTTATACTCTCGATATCAGCTGTTCCGCGGGAAGTCATACTCCGTGGAGACAACAATGCCACGGCATCGAAAAACTCGCCACAATCTGGGGAAAAAATGCGGGGCATATTTGACATATTGACAGTAAAAAGCATTATGGCAGGATGGGATTGAAGACCAAAGAAGTTGAAGCGGATAGTTCAGAAATTTCAATTCCTTCTCACACCATCCAATATGCCGCCCATCATAGCGACGACATCTCAAGGTGCCAGAGATCAGCCTTATGATCGTAACTCGCGAGTCTACATTCTTGCTCTGGTCACTTCGATGGGAGCATTTCTGTTCGGATATGATCTGGCATTCATTGGAACTTCCATTGAATTGGCTCCATTCCAGAAGTAAGAGTTACACTGATTCATTACTGCCAGCCTCTAACACGTTACAGGGACTTCGGATTGGACGGCGCATCAGATCCAGAGAAGAATGCCTTCTCAGCCAACATTGTCTCGCTACTGCAAGCTGGTTGCTTCTTCGGTTCTCTTGCAGCAGCACCCGTGGGAGACAAGCTGGGCCGCCGACCAGCTTTAGGGCTCGGCGCCATTGCGTTCATTGTCGGGTCGGTCATGCAGACAGCATCCGCTGGTAACAAGCCTGTTATGTTCGTGGGGAGGGCGATTGGTGGTATTGTATGCGTATACTGCTTTACCGATCTGTCTCCAACGTGCTAATGGTACTGTAGGGGGTGGGCTTTGCTAGCATGTTGGTACCTCTATACACAGCGGAATGCGCTCCGCCCAAGATCAGAGGCCGACTCGTTGGGATTTACGAAATTGGAGTCCAAGTTGGGACCTGCATGGGATTCTGGATCAATTTCGGGGTCGACCGCAATATGCCTCCGACTTCTGCGCAGTGGATGACACCCTTTGCGTTGCAGCTTATCCCAGCCGGGCTCCTTTTAATCGGTCTGCTATTCATGACGGATTCACCGCGCTGGATTGCCAAGGCTTATGGAAGGACTCGCGCCGTCAAGACTCTCTCCCGTCTCCGAGACCTTCCTATCCATCACCCGGCCGTCCAAGAGGAGGTCACCGATATCCTGCTACAGCTCGAGATTGAACGTTCCGACGGGTTTGGCAACACTCGCGCGGCTTGGAAAGAGCTTATGCGGCCGGGGCTCCGCAATCGGGTGCTCCTGGGAGTTCTGATCATGATCTTCTTCCAAATGTGCGGGTCTAACGCGATCAACTACTACTCGCCCCGGATTTTCGAATCGATTGGTTTGGTGGGGACGGAAACGAGTTTGATCTCGACGGGAATATACGGTATCATTCGACTGGTCGCGGTCTTCGTGGCCATGTACTTCGTGGTCGACCGGTTTGGAAGGAAGCCAATGTTGATCGGCGGAAGCTTTGTGATCGTGAGCCGCCTAGAAACTTCCCACCGTTGACACTGATCGAATGAACTGACCATATCAGGCAATCTCAATGTGGCTCATTGGTGTATTCGTCAAACTCCAGGGCACCAACACCGACGCTAGCAAACTCCTGGGTGCAAGTCCATACGTAGCGGCAGTCTTCATATTCGTGTTCGCTGTGGCATTTTGCTTCAGCTGGGCTGGTGTGCCGTGGGTGGTTTGCTCCGAGATCTATCCCCTGAGAGTGCGAGGTCTCTGTGTTAGCATTTGTGTCGCCACACACTGGCTGTTCAATTTTGTTATTGCGCGGAGCGTGCCGTATATGCTCTCGAACATCGGCTATGGCACATACTTTGTATTTGCTGCCTGCACGACACTTGCTATTCCCTTCGTTTGGTTCATGGTTCCCGAGACGAAAGGGATGAAGCTGGAGGAGGTCGACGCACTTTTCGACGGGCGAGGTCTCATTCCTCGACGCAGGCAAAGTCTGGCCAGGGCAAATGAGGCAGGCGAGCAGAAAGCAGTGGTTGAGCAGATCGAACGTGTATAGTTTTTGTCTTCTGGTTTTTGTGTTGACTTTTATGTACGAGTCTCAAGGCAGACTCAAATATGCGAAACATATAGTCAGGATCGATATGACAGTGGAGCTGCGAATCAAACACATCTTAGTTATACAAAATGCTATCTTGCACAGAACCATTGAACCCGAATAACATATCTTCATCAAACGGTACATCGATATATGGATTGGCGCATCCTGGCAGCATAACTGGCGAAAAAGTATTGGATGGCCCCAGCGGGACATCCGCAGACCCAGAAAGACCATTGTAGGTCTGCTCATAGGGCAAATGTCCCTCGTTTGGTCTTGCCTGTTGTCTAATGAAGCTCTGAATGATCATGTCCATGTCCAGTTCGGACGTCTCTGCTTCTGGTGGCGTCATCTGACTAGGCAGGGCAGGGTATACGGCTGCCTCTTCTTGAGAATAGACTTGACCCTCCGAGCGACCTGTACGGTGGCTCCTATTATCGGTATGCTCTGTTCCCACCTGAGCAGTTTCCTGATGTCGGCTACTCAGATCAACACCCATGCGATCCATCAAATGCACAATCACATTCCTTGCGCGGCGGACCGCCCAATTGGTCTCTTGGTTCTTTTGAAAGATGTCAAGACATGTCCAGAGGTTGGTATGAGCACGACTTCCACCTTCCCTCTGGGCAGCGACCCGAACCCAAATAGTGGCAGCGACATACGTTGCATATGAGATGAGATACGGGGCCCTTTGAATTGAAAATGTACGGTCGTAGGTTTGGAGAACCTGAATGATCCGAGCTGCAGCTGCTGTGCAGGTGGTGAAGGAGCTGATAGCAACCGAGGGGTCTGTGGTATGAAGATGTCCCTCAGCCACAAAGGGTCGGTGCAGAAGTATGAGCAAGACGTTGTAGAGTGCTAAGAGGGAGAGGACATGAGGTGGCGGTGTAATTTCTGCGTCATTGCTAAACCGCAGATGGTTAGGCAACGCTTCATGCCATTCCTTGAGCTGCGTGTCTAAAGTGTTCAAAGTTGCGATCAGTTCCTGTGGTGACCGGGTTGAGCTTCGTTCCGAGTAGACCTTGTTCAAGATACCATTCAAGATCAATGATAGCCTACAGAGCTCTATGAAGGTTGAGACACTATATGCTGGTGAACCAGCGTACGCCTTAGCATCGGAGTACGCAAATGGCTGCCAGTGTTCAAGCTCTTCATAATGATCCAGGAAGGCCAGGGAGACCTTTGTATCGAAGTCTTGTAAGCTTGCGGGGCGACCCTGGTACAAGGACTGAATCTTGTCCACAACAAAGGCACCCCAGAAAACCCGGCGACGAATTTCTATATCTTCATCAGAGAGATGTCGTATGTTGCTCAACATGGTCGGGTCGACATGCATGCCGAGGTCAATGATCATTCGAAATGCAGTACCAGCGTAGAGCCACGCAGCACTTCGCTCGTCGCCAAGCGCAAACAACGAACTAGTCATTACTAGCAATGCCTGTATGGTCGTGATCTCACTCCGGTCTAGAGCGCTGCCTAGAAGCTCTTTGACTCTCATCCGAAACGACCATCCTGCAGTTCGGACATCGTCCGGATCTCGACGGACTTCCGGGCGGCTGCTGAACTTTGACGCGCCAAAGTAAATCGCATTCAGGAGCAACTTGGAGAAATATGGCCCCTCATTGGCCATATCCCGCATGAAAGCCGGACGATATGTGATTAGGAATGAGTGGTGCTGTCGGTTCCAATGTAAGGACAGGAGATGCATTCCGAGCTCGGGGTCCACTCCGTCGAAGTCCAGTTTTCCTTGTCGCAAATTCACAGCTTCCAACTGCCCTGGTCAAGCGTCAGATAATGCCAATGCCGTCCAAGGGAATGTGGTTGTTATACTTTGATAGGCCGCGTCCCCCATCAACTGTTTCCGAATGTGCTCTACCGGCAACTGGGGGTCCCGGGGATGGCCGTGTCTATCTGTCGGCGCATCATCGAACAAAGTGCTAGTAAGCCCATGGTAACTAGAGACCCCATTTGGGGAGATGAAGATCCTTGAAACAGCGGATCGAGATTGATCTGTGCCTGTCCCTGCTACTGTTTTCTCAACACCAAGCGGCCCTTGCCGCTGCTGAGTAGGACTGATCTCCGCGGGCTCGGTTGAGGTCTCCAAAATCGCGTCGACGCGGCCAAGATTCCGTCGGAGTTGTTCATTTTCTGCTTCCAGGCGCGATATCCGAGCCTTTGTTGGCCTTTGGATGATCAGCAGGTGTCGCCTTGTATGGGTTGCCTCATGCTCCATATAACCGGTGACACACCTTGGTCTCTCAGGTCGCGTTGTATAGACGCAGTCCTGTGCGTATGTCTTGCAATTGGAACACGGCCTCTCGTTATTACATCGAAACTACATCCGCTGTCAGTCCATGGAATTCATCACCAATGCATATGCCCCACCTTCCTCCGCCGACAGAATGCACAAGCCTTCGCGGCCCTACGAGGCCTGGACGGAGAATTGGTATCCATAATTGAAAGACGTGGAGGACATGGAGTCATCCTCCCGCCGGGATGTGAACGGCGATCCACGTGAGAGGCGACTTTTTCTCCGCGGCAAGAGACTTGCCGTTCGCCACCCACGTTCTCCGCGGCAAGAGACGTTCCGTTCGCTACCCACGTTCTCCGGCCAAACTATCAAACTATAAGTCAGAGCAATTTCATCCCTCATTCGCCGACACGCTATTGCATGCCTTTGCATCAAAAAGATCATGGCTGCACGCCTTTCCACGCAATCGGAGCAACCCGAGACACAAAAACAACAAAGGGTAAGCCGTCCAGACCCGAGACGATGACTCCAGGCGATGCCTTCGCTAACCAGATGTAGCTTCACACGCCTCAGTGGGTCTCGCTTGTAGCCGGAGGAATTGCCGGCAGTGTGGAAGCGACAGTCACCGTGAGTAGTTCTTGGCTGATACATTCTTGTGCTCAGTAGTTGACTAGTTGACCTTGACAGTATCCATTCGAGTATTCCAAAACTCGCGTTCAGCTATTGAAACATGGCGCAGTCCAAACATCGAATCCATTGCGCCTGATCTATCAAGTCGCTCGGCAGGAAGGTATTGGTGCTTTATACACCGGATGCTCTACTCTCGTCATTGTTAGTCTACGCATCTAGACTGTCCAATCTCCGTCCGCTAATGCCGGTTGGATGATATAGGGCACCACAGCCAAGGCTGCAGTCCGGTTTGTATCATACGACACTATCCGCAATCTCCTTTCAGATGAACGCGGTGTCCTCTCGGCTGGCCGGGGTATGCTGGCAGGACTGACTGCAGGCGCTGTAGAAAGTGTGCTGGCGGTCACACCGACCGAGAGAATCAAAACAGCATTGTAAGCTTCCTACACGATAATTTTCAGAGTCTAGAATACTGCTGACTAAAGGAATCCACAGAATCGACGATGCAAAAGGCGCTCGACAATTCAAATCCAGCCTCCATGCCACGTCCGTGTTAGTCCAAAGGCACGGCATCGCTGAGATCTATCGTGGTCTTTTATCTACGACGCTCAAGCAATCAGCAACCTCTGCAGTCCGCATGGGGACATATAATATACTGAAAGAGGCTACCAAATCCCGAGGCATTACGCTAAACGTGTTCACGACGTTTGGCGTTGGCGCCATCGCTGGAGTTGTCACGGTATACGCGACGCAGCCCTTCGATACGATCAAAACACGGGCCCAAAGCGTCCATGGGGCTGGTATGGGCGAAGCCATTCGAAGCGTTATTCGTGACTATGGAGTCCGGGGTTTCTGGAAGGGAAGTTCCATGCGATTGGGCCGACTGCTATTGAGCGGTGGTATTGTTTTCTCCGTCTATGAAGAAATATCCGCCATTCTTTCTCCCGGAACACATAGATAGATATAGAGGTAGCATGGACATTATATATATTTGTAGTTACTGCCTTGTTCACTTCGCCGAAAGATATGAGAAACAAGTCATAACAGGACAGTCTGATCAACAAACTCTCAAGAGGAGTCCCAAAATCGAATTTGTACCAATGGTCTGATTACCGCGCTCCCTTAATAGAATATTGGCCATCTCCCTAACAATTGTTGGGGCAGATCAGCGTATATCCATAGAGAGAATCCATTGTAGGAGCGATTGCCCTTCTTCGGGAGTCAATTTATATATGCTTTGTCATCTTTGCGGCCGAAAATCCTCAGTCCATAGGATCATGTTATTAGAAAGCGAGACAGAAGAATATGTAGGCCCGGTCGGGGAACCCCGGTCAACACGGTCCTGGATCATTACACCCCGGATTTCGAGTCCCCCGTCTTCGGGTTGACTCCGGGCCCGACTTAGGGATTCAAAGTTTGCATGTGGAGTATAAGTCATTAATAGTTTAACATTATAATAAATGAGTTCAATCCTTCCCATTGAGAATCCAGGTATTGGCAGTCATCATCCCTTAGTCTGCAGAGACAAGTTTGAGAGAATGATTCAATCTCAACATCCCTCTTAGTTAAATGTAGATTGTGCCATATTTCCTTTGTTATACTGTGTAGGTGAAACGTCACAACCGCGCAGCGTTGGGGGTTCGACTTTAGGGGGCGATTACCCCGTTGTAATGAAAGCCTGATTCAATATGGCCAAACCAAAACAATCAGAGTTCAAGTCCCAGTCCTTTGATGCTACAGCTTACATGTCGGAAACCATCCCACTGCGAGCCAGTCTGTGGATTCAACGTATGTGTCTCATCAAAAGAATGTTTGTCAAGGCGCACAATTTCGTTCTTGAAGGACTTCCTCCGAAAACAGGGATGCGAGGATTGATCAAACGGTACACTATTGAGGGCACTGGTATCATCAAGTTGATAATATTTTGAATGAGGATTTCTCGAAATTTGGCGGACAGATACAAGGGAGGTGACTTGACGCGAATGCAAGAGAGGAGAATGACAGAAGATGAGGCATTCAGCGGCTGTGTCATACCTGAGTGGGATAACTTGGCCTTTGGGCGCGGTAGCCATGACAGCGAGAATCTTTTCTGGCGTTTGTAGGTTAAGTCTCCCTAACTGTGAAAACTTCTAATGACCCGTTCCATTTCGCACCATGGGGAAGGCGTGGATAAGTAGATGTGTCTGACCTCATCTGACTTGCCCCAGATCCAGGCTGCTCCCTCGGGCTCACCGTCCGTAGAACAGAGGTCCTTTCTCCGCGGAAGGTCCATTTCTCGTTCTTTTCTTTTTTCCCCTTTTTCAGTTTAAACGTACCCTACGTCCATTTTCGTGTGCAAAGTCGGGCCTCGAGGCAACAGATCTCGTTGAAGTGCAATTTGGATACAGGATGTCATTGATTCTTCAAATACCCCTCAGCTATCATTCTGCGTTATTGGGCGCTGTTATGCCTCCACATGCTCGATTTTGCAAATTGATCGCCCTGTTCAAGGAATGACCAATTTTCCAGATAACCAGTAGTGAGAAAATAGTCCACGTCTTCGAAGTCAATAAAACTCTCCCCAGCATTGAAGCTTCGTGCATCAACATCAACAGTGTGCGCATTTCCCTCGTCTTGGTTGTATATGCCGTTCGAGGGCTCTTCGCCAACAGCAAGATCCTGGGAAGATTGCCTTACAACATCCCGTAGCTGATCAGCAATATTGTCAATATAAGAATAATTGTCCAGCATTCGAAGCACGGGATTCAGATCTTGCATCAAAGTCGATCTGTCGATCAACTGAGGCCACTTGCGTGATACATGTAAGGCAAACATAGCTGCGAGTATTAGTATCGATCGCATTATTGGCTGGCCACATACTTACCGAGAAATGTGAGCATAGTTGCAGAATAGGCTGGTGCCCAATTGAAATGCCATCGATATGAATCACTTGTCCTAATGAAACGAAGGAGTTGCATGGTGATATTCGCAGTGCGCCGCATCAGTTCAGTCATGTTCGAGCGTATTGACTGACCATTCTCCCTTAGTAACTTTTTCAAAACAACGCAATAGAGGTTGATATAGGCGAAAGATTTCTGAATCCAGAGACTGGCTCTATGGAAGGAATATCCATCTATTCCCTGGCCTAATGAGCTATTAGTTTATCGTAAAGATTATTCCATTTAGGGTAAGGAGGTGGTCGCAGCTTACAACGGAAATGTCACATACCTTCAAGATGACTATCCCAGTGCCGATACCAATAGTCGATGCGACGCAGAAAGCAATCAGTCCAGCTCAGTGGAGACGTTGAGGCAAAACTCTGACTGTCGATGCAAGACAAAATTTCTCCTAATCAAACGAGTCAGATGATAATGTATTTCCTCTGCGAACTGCTCAATAGATACCGCGTAATTGGACAACCTCAACTATCGAAATATACCTCAGATCTGACGAGCTCGTAATCGGATGATGTAGGAATTTTTTGAGCAAATTTATGTCAATAGGCTTCATTCGCGGTTGGCGAGCAGTGCCGAAAGCGAGCTCACGCTCGAGATGATGAAGGACGAGCCACGTCCGAGCCTCAGAAAGATGTCGATATGATTCTAGTGCGCTTGTTTGTGCTGGGTCATGTAATCGGTCCAAAGCTCTATCGAGACCCAAATCTGAAGCCATTTGCAACGCATGTCCGATTGCAAACCAAACTTTCCTTGAATATGCCGCAAGCAATATCATTCCTTGCACAGTTTCAAGAGTGGCTGGATTCTCGAAAAGGCTTTCCGTGGCAAGACGTCTCGCTTCTTTGAGGGCGAGATCCCTCAATGAAACCTGTATGCCTTCAACCTGACGAGTAATTGTGCCCTGTTGATGATTAAGAGCGACATATAGTACAGTAATGAGACAAAAGGGGGACCGTAGACGTAAAGAGTCAAACGTATCTGCCATCGGATCCAGAATAGGGATGAAGGGATTTGCACCAGCAAAGTATCTTAAGTAGCACGAGTTAGTAACTCGCAACTACCAATAAAGGGCACTACTTACAGAGCTAGTAAATTTCGGGCTTGGATTTCATCTTCAAATATGCCAGAAACACAGTCTTGCTTCTTCCGAGGAAGAGCAGGAGGACCCGATATGACAGCAGGCGGTGCATTGGAAGAGGCAGCAGAATATTCATCCATCAAATGGGCCGATAGGGCACCTGGGCGGCTAGGACCAGCAGACATGGGCGGAGACAGAGCGTGAACTGCGGAGATGGGCGCATGCAGCGGTAGACGATCCATGTATTCTGACCCCAACGTCATATTCCTTGCAGGACCATTTCCAAGTTGGCTGGACCCCGCGAAATTATCATTAATACCCTCGACGTCGTCAGGAGTACATGAGTGGACTCTATCCTTGAATAATGAGCCGTGATACTGCGACACCTGTGGATCGGCCCGAATGCTGGGCGCGGTATGTAGGCTAGTCATCGGCCCTACATTTTGGTTTGTCCTGGGAGCACTATTTAGTCGGACCGGGACGGATTGCCATGATGGGCCATTTTCCTGTTGAGAGGTCTGAATATTGGCTATGTTAAGAAGTCCCTGCATCTGATCCTTCATTTCCCGCAAGTCCTGCTCCATTGCCTCCAACCTGCCGAAGCCGAATTAGTTCTTCAGTCAGTACACCAAGAGAGGTGTGTATAGCCATCGTACTTTCTCTTTTGTCCACCACTCGAGACACTATTCGGCTGCTCCCTTCTTTCTGCCAGATCAAATATGCACTGAACACCCGCATTGACACACCTTGGACATGGAGCGTCCGGAGTCCCATCGCATCTCATCTTCTGTCGCCTGCATGTTCGACATGCTTTCAGCCGCCGTGGCTGAAGTTCATTTACCTGGTCTGGTGCGTCTGGCATCGTGGTTATCGTTAGTCGTGTAGTACAGAAACGATATTTCCGGGTCTCCGGGGTTGCGGTTGACCAGGGTGCCGGAGCCGGCTGGTAAATAGAAAACGAGGGCGGTCTGCGGGGAATTACTGTCCCTTCGGCCACACCGGCAGATACTAGAGACGCAAACCATTCATTGATTTGTCGTGCACTGAGAATTGAGCTTTCCGCTTAGGTACTTCGATGCCAACTTCAACGGGATTATTTTCATACCATATTTGACTTATAGTTCTGCGGAAATGGTCCGATGGCTTCAATTGGTCAAAGGTATCCCAAGAAGCGCAATGTCCTATTCTCTGGTGTATTTCTGCCACCACGGAATGTGTTGATGGAAAAGTAAGAATCAAGTAGTGGCGTCGTGGCTTCATCATGAGCCCTGGGTTACTTGAACCGAATTGATGACTTCGAACCCAATTCTGTCGCCCGAAGGAGCATGAGTTTGTGCTGTCGTGGCGTCCCAGATTGTAGAACGAGCAGAAAGAAATCCTAATAGTTCTGCCATTGCTTTTTACAGGGCTCGTTGTTGAAAAATTACCGTGATATAGCTGCCCATAGTTTCAAAATCTAGTCTGAATAAACACACTGTCCTTTTCTTTTGAATGGTTATCGCGCCTCTAAATTCTGACCGTAGGTGGTGAACCAGCGGTAGAAAAGACAGAGTTTGGAACTGAAGTGCTACTTAACTGTACCGTTTCCCTTCGTCACACCCCCCAATGGGCCGGCCAGGGGCCGACAACCGGTCTTCAACCGGTCTCCCGGGCGCCGCTAACGAAACATACTTCAAGCCACATACAGTCATTTTTGTTTCTTTTCAGAGTTTAATGGCGTATCGGAAGCTCTTTTTGCGAATACCTTAGCTGTATTCAGTTGAGTTGCGCGGGTCAGCACATTCACCACGAGCGGTGGCTTCAACATGACAGTACAATACGGTATCAATCAGGAGCTCACCATGGGGTATCTTTTTTGGCTCACCCAATGCAAATCCAAGGTCTTGGGAACACTCCACTCACAACCAATGATACTAAAGTCCTGTAACCATCTGTATCCACAAAATCCCTCATAGCCCTGACTGTTACCTCCTCAGGGGAATAAACGTCCTCTTTTGCTCGCCCTGTCTCCCCCTGAAAAGCCTTTCAATAGTGCAGCAGGTCGCACCTGTTGTCCCGACAATGTCAAATACAGACAAGCTTCGTTGATTACTCCCGCTGTGCTATATGCATTAGGAGCCATTTAATGATCCATGGCCCCTACCATAGGAGAGCATCGAAATGTCGACCCGTCAGGATTCGAGCGCCGAAATAGGAATACATTTGGAGATTGGCGAGACTCCAAAAGTGCGGACACGTTTGCTATCGAGGGATGGGCAGAAGGCTTCATAATCGGTGCTTTGATGCTCATGTCCTTAATAACCGTCGCGAATATGAGACGGGGCGTCGTACTCCGCAAGCTGATCCTTCTTGAAGTACATTTTTCCTACTCATTTTGAACGTTCTCTGCTAACGTCTAGTAGCTCGTACTTGCTAAGGGCCAGGGAACGGTCTGCTTTATGTCTTTCAAAGGCTATGGGTGGTACTTATCTTCTACGGCCGCTCTCCTATATAGCTCTTACTTTACGCACAATGTCGTCGCTTGGCAGAAAATACGACCTTTTTTCACTGACCTCTAGCCCTCCTTCGAAGCTACCACTTGCAAATGGGTCAAATGTATGTACCTAACCACACTTGCCATGACAATCCCGGCTTTAATATCTCAGATCTTCAACAACTTCCGCTTTTTCAACGATCAATCGAGGTTGTACAAACGCGTACGACCATATGAACCGTTGATGAGAGATCCTTGGTGGATTTTTAGTTGCTTGGTATTGTTTCACATAATTCGAACAAGCTATTTTTTTAATGTCTTCAAGCTCGTGGCCAAATCACCACGGTTTGGAATTCTTCTTGCGGCAATTTTCTTAGCAGCTGTGTTTACAATCATGGATGTCCTTGCAAGTGTTATACGAGATTTGAGTAGTACAGACGGGTAGGTGAAACTCCATTGTCTTCAATGTCCACGGCTGACGGTCAAAAGATAAATCCATATTGGAAACTTGCCCTTGTCTTCAAATCCTTATCGGACAATATCGTTCTAGATAATTTTCAGCTCGTCCTGCAACAACTCAATGAGCTGCAGGTGCGAAGTATAACTTCGCAACAAAACTCGTCGCGCAAACCGCAGGTTAGTTCAATAGATCTTGGCTCCATTGTGACTTCTAAAATGTGAAAAAAAGAGTCTAACAATAATAATGTATTATACGGCACAAACCCTACACACCGAGAGTACCCTGAGTCTATGCCGACAATAGGCTAGCGTTCTTTGACTACGGCTAGGGGAACGATGAAATGGAGATGATAACACCGATTTCAGGAAGCCGGTTACCAAAACCGATGCGGCCGGCCGCTTACCCACCGGGCCCGAACTACCGGGACTATGCGATAGGTCGAAGTCACGTGTGTGACCGGGCAGCCAGATCGGAAGAGAAAACGATGAAGGTATTCAATTTGAGTGCTATGGACGACGGGACTTCCGAGTTAGAGAAGGGAAAGAAGAAGAAAAGAAACAAAGAGAGTCCCTGCTATCTACAGAACCCATAATCACGTGTCAGGCACGGTCGCCTCAGGCACCGCTCCTCAGGCTGGTCAAAACGTGAAGAAAGAAACGTGTACCTGACTATCTTCAGATGTGATCAAGAGAGGTTTCGACCATGCTCGAGGCCCCGAACTCCTGAATTTCCGGAACCGACCGATGCAAAAGTTATACCGGGGGAGAGGCAGTTATCCAACCCGAAGAGGAATTTATGAACTAGAATATTAAGAATCCGAAATTTCCTCGAGGATTATCCACAAGGGCTTAGGAAGAAAAGCGATCAAAAAAAATTGGAATACAGTAATAATTGCGGCCAAGAGGAGCATTTTGTATATCAACGTGTTTTCAAGGTGCAAACTGATCACCGTGGAACATTAACCGACATTAAATACTTGTACAAGAACGAGAAAAGCATCCAGTCTCATTACAATACAAGGATTCCCCATTTCCTGTCCGGAGCCACAGAATTCATTTTCTATCTCTGAGTTCCCGGCCCGTTCTCTCACTCTCATCACGGATGCGCCAAGTGAACTCATACGTCTTCCACGCATCGTTGTAAGAAGAGAGAATTCGATTCGGAGCTTCCAATGTCTCTCCGGTGCCATTTTCTGTTGGTGAAGCCGATTGCCCTGCACTAGTGACCTGTTTTAAACCAAGGCTTTCAAAGAGAGCGGCGAACTCCGAATAGAACGGATCATCATTCCGATAAGTAAACAATTCTTCTTTCTCGGAGACGGGCGACCTATTTTGAAACGGAATCAACATCCATTTCGTTTATTAAACGGCGAGTGTCCTTACCGGACATAGAGTGTTGGGGTTGTGTACAGGTCGACAAGCCGTAGTTGATATCCATCTGCAACGACGACGATTTCATTGGAGTATCGGATACCGTGGAGACCAATTATATGCGTAAGCGATCCCAAAGCTCCTGTGGTGTATTTCCTGTGACAAAAATTCAATTAGACTAAGTTGCGCTTTGTAATGGGCAAAAGCAAAACGAACCAGGATGATATGGTCGCACGGGGAATTCTTTCCTCCTCTAGAATTTGAGACTCATCGACCGCTTGGTGCATGAGCTTACCAGCGGGCTCATCATGTTCGAGTGCGTATGAATGCACCGTTCTCAAGTTAATTTCTCCGCCAAGATAACGGCAAAGGTCAGCAAAATGCGTGGCCTGTTCCACAATTGGCCCACATTGCTTAGACTTGTCCCACCAATCAATTTTTCGAATCTTAGAGTATGCACAAGTATAGCGAGCCCCCACGGACATGATCCGAAGCTTGTTGTCTCGAATGATGGACGTAGCTTTTTGTACCACCTTCAGGTAGCGCAACATGTAGCCAACAGCGATGGTGTTTCCAGATCGCTCAAAAAGTTCCAAAACTTGCTGTGAAAGATCAGGACGCGCTGTAGAAACTGGCTTTTCACAGAAAATGGCTGGTTTTGAGCCAAATGCAGCTATAATCCTGGTTTCTAAGTCCCTCCAGGGTAGCTGAGTGCCACGAAAGTGAGGTGGTGCACCCAGAATGATGATATCAGGAATGTGCCCTTCTTTCCTTATCTTGGAATTTGCATCCTCCAGTGATAGGAAATGGCGACAGTCGATGTAGGAAGGTGCTGCAGCCGATGTGGCTTTCGCAGATAGAACTTCATTCACACGCTCCAGGGAAGGATCGACTATACCTATCACCCGGAGACGAGATCCAAGAAATTTTTCCACACGGAGCGAGTGATTCCATAACACATTGTCATTTCCGAAGGTAATGTTACCCTGAGAGATATTAGCGTTCGGGTTCAAGATTCTGGCTGTCGTTCGCAAATCATCTAGAATACGCACTGCCCCAATGAATAGAACGTAAACATGGTTCTGGGAGGTGATATTGTTGGCCATGGTTAGTTGAATGTCTTCGCAATACTTTGCTTAGTCTTTGGGGAGAAGTCGCTGTTTAATGGCGTGATTTAAATCCCATAAGTTCGCGGCTGGAGACTTTGCAACTCGCTGAGCGCCGGTGCCGGCACCGGCGCCGGGGATCCGGCACCGATCTATCCCGGAGGCCCGTAACTTCTCTTAGTACCCCAAGAGGACGGGAATCGCTGCCGAACCAGCCCCCCAGCAAGCAGGTGCCATGGAAGAACCACCCATTGAGACTGTCCATGAGGAATTTACTACTGTCGCGGGCTTACCACTCGTCCAGCACATAAACGCCCTTGAACCTCAGAGGAAGAGTACAACAGAACAATTCAGCCAATTATGTCAATTCAATTAAGGTCGACTTGGCCAGGGCTCGCTCCCATTCAGTATTCAGCGCTTCATAGTAGCCTATCTGGACATGCTATACGGCATCCAGTCGGTTCAAGCCCATCGCCCGCTTCTCACAGCTTACGAAGTCTGACTAGACTTTTTTTTTCGATGCGCCTGTACGATTATAGCCAAATATTTTATGTCCAGCACTTTTTGTCGCTCACTGTCTGTTTCCCTAACAACTCCCGCCCTCTCAAAGAGCTAGCGAATACTCATGGAGGTAGTAACCCTGTGGATGTTTGTTAGGAAAGAAAAGAAATTAGGGGATGAAACGGAAGAGTCATGTTGCAGTGGATTCCTTCTCGAGAACTCTGCACGCCTGGAAACCTTTCCCCAAATCTTGACCAAGACACGTTCCTGTCCAATTCCGTTTCCTTCATATACCTTGATGATTTCGCGAGCCATCTTAATCGTCTTCTGAGAATTAAAACGAATGGATAGGATCCACTTTTGTGGAAACCCGCCAGTAACGTGCTTCAAGATCTCCGTGCCGAAGCCAACTATCACACGTAAAAACGCATGTTACAATTCCGACTATATGGTTTGCTCCTGAGACAAAACGTGCTGAACTGCACGCGAAATAATGTTCGCCTACTGAGATTGCTCAGCAGCGTTGAGGATAGGCGAAGCATTTGTTGCAGCATCTCGGGGGGTAAAGTTGTCCAGCACATTGATTGTCAGCGCCAATTGTCGTATAGTTGAAAAGCGCGTCGAGGGTAGACATTTTTGGTTAGGAACAACTTGATTCAATCGGTCCAGATTACCCACTGCTGTAACTGATGTCGCTGGAAGCTGCCCTCGACTGAGCTCCGTCGGAGAACATAGAATCCCGGTAATGCCACGCCTGCTGATCCTTCAGCGCACCGCTCTCCAGTGCACCGGTCTCCAGGGCAAGCGGCGTCGATTTCCAGAATAGGTCTGTTTCCGCTCTGTCAACACGCACTGAATCTGGCCGATGGGACTGGCGGGGTTCTTGCCGGGGAGACTGGAGATTATTCGAATTTACCCTACACGTGATCTCTGACAGCCTGCAGCTCCTGTTGCATTGCATCTAGCCTGCCGGAGCTCTGTTACATGCCGAAGCGAATGGATCAAAACTCTCTCTTTCGGCTACCACTCGAGCCATTGTCTGGCTTCTCTCTTCTTTCTGCCAGGTCGAATATGCATTGAACTCTCGTATTGACACCCCTTCGACAAGCGGTTTCCGGGGACAACTTGCATCTCATCTTTCGTCTTCGACATGTTCGGCATGCTTTGAGTCGGCGTGGCTGGATCGCACTTGAATGTCTTTGTGTATCTGACATTCTGAGCGAAATGTGGTGGGCACCGGGTCAACGAGGGGCCCGGCAAATGCCGAAAGAGAAAACGCACGCCGACGTAAGTACTAAATCCCCTTCAGAAGACGAGAAATATTTGTCTTGGCGATCATCATTCTCCACCAGTATTGTAGTAGCGGTACAGCAATCACTGGTTCCTAAGTGACTAACATGCTCCGATGTCAAAAACATGTACGTTCACGCAATTTACTGGCGTTGTTCCCCAGAGTCCCCTGTGACCCCCGGCTTGCATACAGGATGGAATTCGGTTACGTCATGGGGGTCGCTGTCAAAATCTCACTTTTGCGAGTAATCTATCAATACTACTGTACAACTATATGGCATGTTCCCTGCTCCGTATATTCGATACGAAGTCTCTTTTGATCTGCTTTGAAAGTATAGCCAGTTTGTACAACCCCCTCATCCTGGCATTTTTAAACAAGTGAACCCGCGTTAGGAAACTCGGTGACACCAAAATTAAGAGACTTGACCGTCACATATTCATCAATGCCATACTTGCTCCCCTCGCGTCCGAAACCACTCTGTTTGACCCCGCCAAACGGCGTAGCGGGATTACTAACGATGCCTATGGAGAGGTTAGATAGGCACACACAGTAATGTAGATGCGATTGTGGATGTGGCTGACCAGTGTTGATTCCCACCATCCCGACATCGAGTCTTTCCGCAACTCGCCAGCAGCGCTTGGCCCCTCTCTCTCCATCTTTAAAAGCAAACATTGACTGTGACCGGCGCTAGCACCGGAGCCGGAGACGGACCGGCTGATGCCGGATGCGCCGGGCACCGTCAACGAACTCAGAAACATAAGTACTTGACGTCGACGTCGATCCGAAAATACTGCAAGTCGATCATTCTACGGTTTATCTACTCAACTTCAGAGCACTCTTCTGACTAGTTGATTTCCACTATGTCAACCCTCGATCAGCTGCGCCAGTGTACGACAATTGTCGGTGACACCGGTGACTTCAATCTACTCAAGAACTTTACTCCGCAGGATGGGACTACAAACCCCTCGCACATTCTCAGTGCGGCCAAGCAACCTCAGTACGCAGAAATCATCGCGCAGGCTATTCAGCATGCAACAACCAAAGGACAAGGTTTCGAGCTGCAACTTCGGCATGCATTTCTCCGCGTGTTGGTTGGCTTTGGCGCAGAAATCTTGAAACACGTTCCTGGTAGAGTTTCTAGCGAGGTTGATCCTATCTATTCCTTCGATGCTGAAAGTACAATCGAATCCGGCCGGGAGATTATTGGGCTCTATAAAGAGCTCGGTGTTTCTCCCGACCGTGTTCTGATCAAGGTTGCATCTACCTGGGAAGGCTTCCAAGCATGCAAGGTCCTTGAAAAGGAGGGAATACACTGTAACATGACTATTCTGTTCTCTATGGTTCAAGCTAAGCTGGCCGCGGAAGTAGGCGCCACTCTCATTTCTCCCTTCGTTGGGCGTTCAATGGATTGGTACCACAAAAACCATCCTGGTGGAGACTACAGTGGAGCGAAAGATCCAGGTGTGAAACTGGTCCGGGAAATTTCGAGATTTTACAAATCTCATAACATCAAGACGGAGATCATGGCAGCCTCTCTGCGCAGTATCGATGAATGCTTGCACCTTGCGGGTGTGGATTTGATGACGATCAACGTCAAATTGCTGCAGGAGTTGAAAGACACTAACTATCCGGTCAGACGATATCTTCCGTCGGAAAACAGTAAGTACTCCTATTGACTCCTGTTACTTTTCACGTGGATCATGGATGGGACGGTCCAAAATGCGATGGACGACCAAATGCTAATTCTTGTGTTTTCCTGAAAAGGCCCGAACGGTAGAGGGGTATCCGTCGAATATGCATCAGATAAGACAAAGTTTGACTTTGACTTTTTCAATGATCATATGGCATTTGACAAAGTTGTTGAAAGCTTGCGGATTTTCCTGAAGGATGGAGAAGAGCTGAAAGCTTTACTACGAACAGCACTCAATGCCAAGGCATCTTAAGGCATGAGCGGCTCTACATGCATCGACGACTTATGGACGGAAAGTCCTAATTAATGATCCTATAACATGTGTCCTACTAGTAGCATATAAATCAGAATTCTACAGACGCGAAGACGCATCCTTTTTCACCCTAGCCGAAAGTTGCCATGCAAATTTCTGTCTAAGAGGGTATGCTGTGATTGAAGAATGTAGGGCTTCTTACTCATGGGTCTAGACTCTTAAAGGTTTTCTTCCACTGCCTTAGTTCCGACCGACACGTTGGCAAGAATTCGGTCCATCGTTTTATGGGACGCCTCCCTAAAACCTTCAAATTTCAAACCCAAAAAACTATGGAAGCAAAGAGGGTAGACGTAGAGAGATTGCCAGCAATAATTGAGTAGTTTCACAGATTGGAGGGTGGGGATAAAAGCGCTTAAAATCGGACTAAGCAATATCTACAACGTCGACGAAAATAGCTTCCAACTCGGCCAAGGAAAAACCTCAGAAAGTTGTGACTAAGTTTCCTGATAGGACAAAGCATGTGCCAACTAGTGGTATAGGGAATTTGGTGATAGTAGTCGAATATATCGCAGCAGACCGTTAGGTAATGCCTCCGATGATATTATTTGCTAGCATAGTTCACCTTGAGAATTGGTATCGAGACTAGCCAGATTTACTAGCTGACTATGTCATTGCGATATCGCCAACAGGATAGAATAATGAGGTAAGCGCCTATTCATTCAATTGGTTGATTGATTAGTTGATCAGTTGATTATTTGATTATTTAGGTCCGCGCATATCAATGGTTACAATACTTCGACGAGCATACAAAAGACCGCGTTCAAGGGCGCAATGGACTTGGAGGCGGGTATATGCCGGAGTTGGTGGTTTGTTTTAGAAGGGACAACTGCTTGAATTGACAATAACTGTGGTTAGTTCAACGCACAGAGATAACTTAGTATGATGCAGAAAAGGAAGAAAATAACATCAAGATAACCAGACAAAGCAACCATTGAGATAAAATAGGAAGAACTTTAATCACCCGTTCATGTAACACGTCGGTTGAACGACACTACAGAGTTAGAAAATATTGACATGGCCATGTTGAATGTTGAATCAGACAGCAGCCACGAAAACTGACTATTTCTCTGCGAATGCAGGGAATTTACTGTGCAGGCACTGCAGCATCCTCAGAGAGCTCCTGCTCTTCGCAGAACCCCCTTGTATGCTGCATGAAAGACAGAAGCCGCTGACGTCGGTAGTAGATGTTGGTCAAGTCGACCCGGGCGCTTGCCTCTGCGTCATTCTGACCAGTGATGAGAATGAGCATGAAAAATGTCTCGATGATGCTGGGAGGTACGTTCGAAATCAACTGTCCGGTGAGGCTCCACTTCATGGCGCTTGAAGCGACAAGGCAGCCAATAGTGAGGAGAAAGCCAGTGATAACCAAGAAGAGATGGGAGCTGACAGCGTCCATCTTGCGAGAAACGCGCTGGCTCAGAGACGGGTGATTGTCGTTTCCAGCTGAAGGGATGGGCATGGACAGACCAGCGAAGAGCTCCACGTCTCCCTTCTCCACGATACGAATCTGACCATTGATGTACTGGTGTACCTTGCCTTGAATATTGCGGAGGACGAAACTGTCGAACAGACCAACCAGCCCTGCATATGTGCCGATGAGCAGCCACCAGTTATTGTTGAAATGAAAAACGGGTCCAACAGCTGCCCAGGTGATGATCACCAACACGAGGAACATGATGCCGACAAGGGTGCCGATTATGTCGGCGTAGTAAAAGATCACTATCTGCAGGAAATTCTCCTTAGGGGGCAAGATTACCTCAGTCTGGTTGGGAAGACCATCTTGGCTGAGGCGACGAAGCTCCTTCTCGAGAGTCGAATCGAGTCTGAAGATGGCATCCAGGCAGGTGTTGGTGTAATCAGCATAGCACTCCCGCAGGCAGGCTAGGAACGCAAACACCAGCACCATCAGCGCTGACGTCGCGTCGTTGATGTAGAGTTGCCACCGGTTCGACCAGCCGCAGTGCGGGCCGAAGCCCAACCAGATAAAGATGCAGACCCAATAGAGACTGGCGCTTATAATATGTCCGAACGTCTTGGCTGAGACAATGATGCACCGCGCAAAGAGACCCTGGGTGCGCAATCCATGGTCTAGCGGTTCGAGAGCCTCATCGTTGCACTTTTCAGCGACACGACGAATCCCTTCTGGTCCCAGATTTTCCTTAATGCTGGCGATCATGCGTTGATGACTATTACACCGGGACTGCATTTCGACCATTGCTTTGCACTGCTCGGAGTACTCGCGGAGCAGCTGGCGCATGAGGAAAGAATCAAACACATAGCACAGAATAGCCTGGACATCGGAGATGGCAGCAATCCAGACATCCGAGTTGCCGAAACGAATACCCATCAAGGCCCACGTCAACAGGCCAGCGATGATAAACAGAAAGACCGGAGGGGACCCGGCCACCTGGACCGTTACATCGAGCCAGCGATCCACCAATCTCGGACTAGCCTTGGCCCTATAGCCAGAAACATATTTGGTAGTTGCCACGATAGCGGTACCATCCTTTGCGTCCTTCAAATTTGCTACGAGCTGCGTCTCCGCAGCCCCCTCAATCTGGCACCGAAGGATAGGCCTGAAGTACTTCATGCGGTCGACCAAGAAATCACCGTTAGATGTTGGATCCGATAACGTGCAATGGCTCAGACAGACAAGCTCAATCTCATTGACCAACGGGGCGAGTTAAGGTGGACGAGTTGCGTCTGCAGACTTGCGAGAGGATTTCACCCCAGCCAACGGGGCAAGGATCGAGGAGGCAATAGGGACAAGAGAGTTCATAGGGCGAGGATCAGCCATTCAGAGTAAGGAACCAGACACTGTGTGTCGTGGAAGATTGCAGTTAGTAAGTAAGTGAAATGGATTGAAAGACAAAAAGAAAGAGGAAAATGGGAGCCGAAGAAAAGGAAGGCAGAGAGAAGGAAACAATTATATTTGATAGGAAGGTGCCATTAAATGCCGCACCTACGCTTAAGACTGTAAGTGATAAAGCACTACGGCCAAATAACGGGCCGCGCCATTTTCCCTGGCACTACCATTGCATTGGTTTCAGTACGCTTCCTAGTGGCCCTCTTGTGTTGAAGGTGTGTCAATATTTAGAGGGGAAAATTTTTCCTCGCTGCATAAAAAAGCTCTGACGCCCTCGTGGACGCCCGGCAGGGTCGACAAAATTCACCCTTGGCGGGCGTAGGCAGCAGCCGCTAGATTAAGGTTTTCTTAGCCAGGCCCTAGTGATAATGTTTAACCGCGTTAAACAAGTGGTAATTGGACCGAGCTGTCTCGATCGGCTTTCACCGTTGTTTCCACTAAGTGTGCGAGGGCCATTACCATTCGCATGCCCGATCTCTCAGGCATTATTCGCTTGACCGCTACCACACAGCTGCGCAGGGATCGCTGTACTACCACGTTGGTGAGCGAGGTAAATGGGCCTGTACATAAATGCCTCGCTGGCACCTGGGTTCCAGGGGCCAGCGATCAGTCTTGGAAATATACTGAGTCGCACCCAATGCCCACCTGCCAGTCTTGTCGCCCGAATCCGTAAAACAGTGGTCAACCATGGGTAAAGTTGGCGTACCTCAGAATAAGCTTAGAGAGAATTCTGGACTTCTCAGTACCCTTGTGGTTAGGCTTGTAAGACATTATGGCCCCTAGAAGACCGTTCGGAAGGGCTATAGGCTTGCGGCACTTATCTAGGCTATCCTCGAATAGTTGCGTCTCCAGATACTTTTATGACTTTCTTCCTCTCATACATCTACGAGGACTTTTGTTTGGAAGAAGGACTTACGGTTGATTCCGACATTACTCACGCCTTGTTATACTTCGACGGTTACTCTTTATGGGAACCTCAACAACTAAACAACCTCAAGGAAGTTCTAGAAAAGTTCGCTAAATATATCGTTGAAAATCTCCTACTCTCCCGTGTGTTAATTCCTTACTTACATCACTATAACTGTTGTATAATGAACATATGTTAATTCGCAATTGTAGTCAGAGCCTTATCTATCAAGACACCACAGCCAACGCTTGCATCAAGCATGACTATAGTGATGTTACGGGGTCGTCCACCTTATTAGGCGGTGATTTGACGCTGCCAAACATCCACATATTGGAAGATTCTCAAGATGGTACTCCTATTACAGCCAGCAGCCTGTACCATCTACTATATAGATAATTCCCCACTATGGATTGTGTCATAGATAAGCTCATGCTTTGAAGGAGCTATGCTTGGGGCCATTTGGTTTGACCACTCGTGATTGATTGTTAAGATACCCCTCCCTCGGGAGGCTGTTTTGTAGGTCGGGTATGGAGGTGTCGGTTATTGAATTTACACCGGAATACATACTTGAAAGTACTATTGGCTGCTTCTTCTGTCCTGCCGTTTGCTATAATTGAGAAATCTGTTGAACTCATCACAGTAATCCTTTTTGGAGAAAAATGAGATGTTGGTTGGGATGGATAGAGAGATGGGAATAGGTTCAGAGATGGGAATGGATTCAGAGACGGGGATGGGTTCAGATGTTGGGACGGATCCAAAAGACGATGGCTGAAAACTTGGATTATATATAGTATCCAGCCTCTAGATTAATTGCAAATCAATCCTAGTTCCGTAGACGTGAGAATTGACTGCGGTGAAAACGATTTCGAGTGGAACATAAAAGCCAGGAGGGGAGTGGCGCATTACGTACGAAATTCTCTGGAATGCGTCATACTGCAAAAGCCAAAAACCCCCTCCTCGAAATTACTATGTATCTCTAGTCTAGAACAACACGGACGTCTTCAATCCTATACATTGCTGTTGTTGGGTCGACTCGGAGTCCCATTGGTGTACTTATCAGGTTCACGTTGGCCTGACTGGCGCAGTTGCAGCACAACATTGACGAACCACGAAGGCCCCAGACCGTTAGGGCTTTCTACAAGGCTGAGCCGTAATATAACCAATTGCGATCGTGTAAAACGATGCTCTCCTCCGTACATTAATCGTGTCAAGAAAACCAAGTTTCACGGCGTTATGTGCCACTACCTATTTCCATATCCGAGCTACTTATCTCTCCCAGATGAAAGGAAACGGCCTGAAAGGCAATTCCTTGCCGATGGAACGTCTTTCAGTACACCTATCAGGCCGGGGTTGGAATTCTCCCAGTGGAAAGCAAGGCTGTATGCAGAGAATTTGCAAGAGATCACTACTAACCTGCCTCGGCGACAGTCGTCCAAACCCAGGGCTGCTGCTACAATCGATGACCAACATTCTGGATCTATACCTCTACTTCGATTATGACTATGATTGCAGCCCGTGCTCAGTTCCTGGGAGTTATTACCAAATATTCGCCAGTATCACTTACAATGTCCATCTACGCCGGCTGAAGCACTGCCATCTGAGCCATTTCCCAGTCACGGTCGCCGTCCTTCGCAAGTTCCTCAAGAGACACCAACACCTTGTCTCATTTCCGTGAAGGGCCTCTGCCTCCCTGGTCGCGAAACATGGGATCCCATCCTCGAATGTATCGGCACAAACTTCCTGGATCTAGAGAGTCTCAAACTCCAGTTTCTCTATCAAGCCGGGCGTCGGGTCGAGCTGAATCCAAATCCCACCAACGAATTGGACTGGCATGAGGGCCATCAGATATTTGTTCACTCCTGCCAGTTGGAGAGCAGTACTTGTGCCAAGTACCATCGAGCGCACAAATATTTTGGCCATTTGGGGCGCGGCAAATATACCGGGTCGTATTTTTATTTATCTTTTTATTTAATCGAGTGGAAGCTTCCTCCGGAGACTTCGGCACACGCGGTTCCCTGGTGCCAAAAAGGTATTTTCTCTTACTACAAGTCTTACTAGCAAGGTAATTAAGCTAATTGACATCTTCCCCAGTGCCCTTTTCTGCGCGTGATACGAGCACAGATTGAAGAGGCGGTGTTACCAAAATCGATTGAGCTGTGTATATAGCGGATTTCTTATGATCCAATGTGGTAGCCATAAAGGAAATTGTACAACGCGGGGATTTTCGATGTTGCTAGGAATCCGGAAATAACCCCTCGCATGCTTAAATCCGGTATTTGTGGGCACATCCAGAGCTTGTCGGGTACTGGTCGGCATCGGAAACGCAATCGGCAGATTGTATTCTCTCTGGTGGGGGGTATTGTTATATTAATAATGGTCTTGATCGACCTGAACATCATTCATCCTCTTATTTCTTTCTACTCCGTTTCCAACGAATCGTCAAATAATTGCACACAAAGCCTGTCAGTGCGCTACTGATCTATTGAACTTGGTTGAGTGAGTGGTGCTCTATCCACTGTCCTCCGCTGGCAATTTTGACGTCATAACCTCTCCCTCGTCAAATATATCATGAACGAGAAAGTGGCAGAAAGAGCTTAAATTGACGATTTTCTTTTCTCCAAGATACCGCAAACCTAGCGCTCCTCAACTTGCATCATGTCCGAGAAGGAAATGGAATACACCCGGTAAACATCCCCGCACCCCGCCATGGCCACATCCGTATACTGACAAGCGTGTGTGACAAACAAAACAGCCTGGGCAACTCTGGCCTAAAGATCTCCAAGGTCATTTTGGGGACTATGTCTTACGGAAGCAGCCAGTGGCAAGACTGGGTGCTTGACGAGGACAAGGCGCTGCCGCTAATCGAGCACGCCTATAAGCGGGGCATCAATACCTGGGACACGGTAGGGTTCAAAGAAAATGTACGACGCAGAGACGCCCGTTAACTTTTTTCAGGCGGACGTCTACTCCCACGGCCGGTCCGAGGAAATCGTTGGCAAGGCCCTGAAGCAGTTCAACATCCCGCGTAACCGCGTGGTCATCCTGACCAAGTGCTTTTTCGGTGTCGATGACGAGGGCAACTTTCCGCCCATCTCAGCATCTGCGACGAACGACGGTCACTTCGTCAATCGCACGGGCCTCTCGCGAAAGCATATCTTCGATGCAGTTGATGCGAGCGTGCAGCGACTCGGCACGTATATCGATGTACTGCAGATTCATCGACTAGATCGGGACACGCCGCGCGAGGAAATCATGAAGGCGCTGAATGATGTTGTTGAAAGCGGAAAGGTGCGGTACATTGGTGCCAGCTCGGTATGGACTCCCCAGAAAAGAAGCTACGTACTATGTAGTACATATGATCTTTTGGATTGACAGTGCTCACTCCTTTTTAGATGGCCGCGTGGGAATTCCAAACCCTCCAAAACATCGCTGACCGACACGGCTGGCACAAGTTTATCTCGATGCAGAACTATCACAACCTAATCGCCCGCGAAGAGGAGCGTGAGATGATCCCCTACTGCCTAGACAGCGGCGTCGGACTGATTCCCTGGTCGCCGATGGCTCGGGGCGTTCTCGCCCGGCCCTGGGGCGAGCGCTCAAGCGTCCGGGAGAACACGGACGGGGCTATCAAATGGCTTATTCGCAGCCGCGAGTCTGAGGCCGACAAGGTCATCGTCGACCGCGTTGAGGAGGTCGCGTCGAAGAAAGGACTTAGCATGGCACAGGTTGCTATAGCGTGGTCGTTGAGCCACCGCAGCATGTGCCCTATTGTTGGGCTGAGTAGCACGGCTCGTATTGATGAGGCCGTGAAGAGTGTTAAGGTCAAGTTGACGGATGAGGAGATTCGGTACTTGGAGGAGGCGTACGTGCCCAAGACCGTTGCTGGTTGGTAGTTGCAGGGCACTAGAGTCTAGCAATGCGAATAATGAATAAAGACTGCCTTTAATCCGGCTCGAACCATCCGGTTTCTCCGCCTGAACAGCGCAATCGCCGTTAGAAACGGACTTGGGAGTCCGCTCCTCTCCTGCCGCTAGTGTAAGATGTGAACAAAAAATTATTTAATGCCCGCATGGCTCCATAGATCATAGACATCCCTCTATTTGGAATACTTTTGGCTTCATCTGTTCCCCCCATTTGTCGTCGCAGTCATTCTCAAAACTTGAGCAATGGTTTCCATCTCAGAAGTTAGGGCATCAAACGCCCGAATCGCAGCAAATACGGCTCCCCGGACGGCCGTGTTTACCGGAGCGACCGATGGAATAGGAAAAGCGACCCTCACCCGCCTTATTTCTACAAAATTGCCCGTTAGGATTTATGTCATCGGCCGTAATGGCGAGAAGCATAAGGCCTTTCTGGATAGGCTTCGGGAATCTAACAAGCAGGCACATATCATCTGGCTCGAAGGTCAAATCTCTCTTCTCGCGGAAACCAAGAGGCTTTGTGACGAAATCAAGGCACGCGAGACGTACATTGACTCCTTGTACATGAGCGCGGGATTCATTACATCCGGAGACCGGGTCGGTACGTACTAGCCACAGGTCTTGGGTTGACAGTGCCTCATTGCTATTAGAAACGCCCGAGGGCAACGGACTCTCCCAGTCCTTGACCTATTATAGTCGAATGTTGATGATGGTCCATCTCCTGCCATTGCTCAACGCGTCGTCGAATAGCCCGCGCGTTGTCAGTATTCTCGCCGCGGGAAACGAGACATCCTCTATCTACCTCGACGATCTCGACCTTAAGAAGCCTGGCCATTTTGGTCCCGCTTCTCTCTCCAGGTCATCATCGACATACACTACGTTGTCCATGTCGAGACTAGCCAAAGAAAACCCTCGCGTCGTTTTCATTCACCACTATCCGGGTGGTGTCGACACTGGCCTCTTTAAAAAGGCCTGGGGCGACAAGTGGTTCTGGCTGCTATTGAGCCCATTGCTCTCTACGTTCGGGACTTCGCCAGAGGACGCTGCAGAGAAGGTTCTGTATATGATCACCAGCGCCAAGTATGGTGGGAAGGGCGTTCCATTGGCTGCGGGCCAGAGCCCAGGGCTGACCATGGCAAAAACAAAGCAGCCAGGCTCGCTGTTTCTTATCAACGACAAGCTCAAGGAGTTTGACCAAGAGAAGGTCATGACGCAACTCAAGGCGAAAGATGCAGGCGACATTGTTTGGCGCAAATTGGTAGAGACGATCGGGCCGTATTCTTAGTGACTGCTCTCGGGAGAGTTTCACAACCTATTACAGTAACTAAATCTACTGGATTCATATTGTTCATTAAGGGTGCAAAGGAGACTGTGGCGGCCTGGTTCGATTTTTGCATAGAAATACCACTGCTTCCATTCTGCGACACTAGATGCACCATGAAATAGTAAATCATTGTATATCAATTTCCTTGGCTGGCGACCGCTTGAAACTGGATTTTGCAGGCATACATCTCCTCTGATCTCCCCCGTATAGGCGTAGGCCGGGAGAGAAGTACGTGAATAAGAATGATTCTAGATCTGGACGTTGGCCACAACGTTAGCGGAGGGGGCGAGGGAACGGACGCCCAGGGACGGACTTCGGCCTCCCAACTCCGTTACCAGAATCAAGTCCGGTCCTGGCGACGGACATAAGACCGTTCGCCGTTTGTCTTCGTTTTCACCACCATCATACCCTCTATCGTACAATAGATTATGCAAAGCTCTAGGTAGAAATGGAGAAAAGAGGCCCAACCCCGGGCTCTGGCTCGTACGGCAAGGCTTGCATGCAATGTTTCAAAGCAAAGTGCCGATGCGTGGCTCGACCCGACGGTGCCGGTTGCGAAAGGTGAGTCGCCTTTCGGCCGTCTGCCAAGCTGCGAGCCCCGGATTGATCGGATCCCAGGTGTTTGCGTCTCAAGAAACAGTGCCAGCCGTCAGACTCGATTCGCAGGCGGACCCGTCGGAACCTCGATTCTAGCGCGCACATTGCGAAGCTCGAGGGCAGGATCGATACCCTCACAACGATGCTTCAATCCATCGCTAATGCCACCGGAGTACAGCCTAACCCAAAGGAGTCCCTAATCAGTACCAGTGCCAGCACTAGCGGGGAAATCAGCATGTCTGATAACGAATTGATGCTGCCCTCCTTGACAGACGCGCCGTCGCCGTCAAGTCCGTCCCGGACCAGTGGCTCAACCAGCACATCTCCACCGCTGTACGAACTGGCACTGGACGAGGCTTCGTGGTATCTAGACCGCTTCATGAATCATATGCTGCCTTGTTTCCCTTTCATCTGCATCTCTCCAGGCACCACTGCCCAACAGTTGCGCCGGGACCGGCCTTTTCTCACCGAGGCGATCATCGCGGTAGCTACGCCATCGACACAAGAGAAAATGGCTCGCGCTGACAGACTGAAATGCCATTTGACTAGATCCGTTGTGCTTGAAAACCAGTCAAGCATTGATATGCTGCTGGGCATGCTAACTTATATTGCATGGAGTACCGATCCATTCCTCCAACGGGGAAGCAACTTGTCTCGCATGATAATGCTGGCCATGTCCCTGGTCTATGATCTACAGCTGGGCAAGCCACCACCACCACCGGACTCGCGTGTAATAGCGACGATGACCCCAGGGCTTGGGAATCCTGAGCAGAGCTCCGGCGACAGTTCGACTCAGGGTATTCTAGAGCAGCAACGAGCGGTTTTGGCATGTTTTGTCCTCAGCTCCATGTAGGTAACGATTGCTCCGCCCTTGGCTCGACTCTTACCACCGCCCCATCATGTCCTATTGAAAGCCGGCCTTCAGACTGACATGTATGTGCCTCAAGTATCTCGTCTTTCTTTGGACGCATAGTTCCTCTACGGTGGAATTCGCAGATGGAAGAAGCAATTAGTGTTATTGAGATGAACAAGGGATGCCCATCCGATGAAAGTTTCGCGATTCAAGTACGCTTGCAGGTGATCGCACAGAAGGCGCTATACATTCGGGAACAGCAAGAAGCAGATCACGCCAACGCAATAGGTACAGCGCCGACTACGCCTTTCGCGACTTCTATGTATCTCAAGGTGCTACAAGGGCAGCTTAAAGAGCTCAGAGACTCGTTCTCACCGCATCTCCAGCGACGAGGTAAGTAGCCATGCCTTGATCTGTGATTGTTAAAATGCAAACGAGGGGCCACAGATATGCTCACTGCATACGCTCACTACGTCGAACTCTGTATAAATGAGGTGACCCGCCTAGCCAGTTCGGAGGACCCCCTTCTCCCCACGCCAGGGTCTGGTGACGGGTCAAGTACCTCTATGACTGGATTCGAACACCTCGAGTGCCTATGGCGTTCCCTATATGCCGTCAAGTCGTGGCTGGATGCCTTCTACACGATCCCGCCCTCCGCGTACGTGGGGTTTCCTTTTTTCTTCTGGTTCCAGCTTGTACGATGCATCGTGATCTTGAAACACCTATCGACGTTCGATGATCCGGCGTGGGACCGTCAGGCCGTGCGAAACACGGTTGACATGCTCACATTACTGGAATGGATGGCTGAGAAAGCCGAGCTGGCGAGTCGGGAGGCGGGTGAACAATCAGACGACGATTCATTCCGACGTGTAAGTAAGATGCTGCGTCTGTCTCGGAGGTGGGTGCTTGCGAAACAGAAGGCGGCCGCAGAAGGTTCTACCTCTCTCTATAGTGACAGACCCGCCTTAGCCCCTGCTGAAGATGACATGAAGGATTTGACGGAGATGGCATGGATGGACGCTCTGGAGTCTGGGGACGGCACGTGGCTTGAGGATGTTTTAGGCTGGTCTCCGACAGCACTTTAGGCATGTAGAGTTGGTATCGGAGAACCGACCCTTAAATCTCGGGACCGATATTCCCTGAGTACATTTTCGAGCGTGGCCAACTTCCCTCCTCGTCTACAATATATGAAACCCCTTCTTTCATTTCTTTAAATCGTACTACACACGTCCATTCCAATCAAGTTTATTGACTATGAGTCTGTAATGTGCTGGGATAGATTGGTTGCCCATGTACATGAACATTCCATATGTATGCTCCCATGCGTGCCAGTGATCTCATACAGATATGCAAGATAAAGGAGTAAAAGAAGAAATGGTTGGATGGGGAGTGAATGGGATGATAGGAATGCTGATAAACAGAGAAAGAGAGTGGCGAGAGAGAATCGAAGAAAAGACCGCGTGTTTAAAAAACTACCTGCTATGCCCCCATACCAAGCCAAACCAAAACCAAACGCTCTTACAAATGCGAATGAAGTCTCCAAGAAATGCTGATCAAAAGAAAGAAAGAAATACAGGCGGTCTAGCCGCGATGCGAGATACCGTGGGTATAATGCGCGACGGCAGATTAAAGATGAATCAGAGGATTGATAGTGTTTAACGGTCCGATTTTCGGTTGAAGACGGTGAAGAAAGAGCTGAGACGGTTGCGCCGTTTGGACTGGGCGGTGTCTCCATTGACGTCCGGGTTGGCTGATTCGGCAGATCGCTCATTATGGCGCCTCGGATGTGGTTTTGGTGGCTCTGCATCTGGTGTTCTCACGGGCTTGGGCGCTGTGCTGTTTATTTTTGCTCCTGTTTCCGGTCGAGTAGTACGAGGAGCCGGATCAACGGAGCTGATTGAATCCTGCCGTAGAGAGCTGGACCGGGAGATAACGGCATTGTGGCCGTGCTCCGTTGAGTCTGGAATCATGCTTTGCCGATTCAGCCGGGTGGTCAACCCCGAGGCTGCACGTCGCTTCGCTCGTTCCATAAATGCGGCGCCAGTTGAGTTGGATCGTCGGGATAAACCGCCATTCTGCTTGCTCTGCTCAGCAGGAGATGTGCTGGAGCGACGTATGTTTGATACGGACATACAACGTTTGCTGACATGAATCGACTCTCTGTCTGAACTGATCATCTCCTTGTCCGGGAGAACATCGTGCTCGGTCTTCACCGTTTTTGCCGTTGTTGGAGGGCAGTGTTTTGAGTTTGTTGGGGACGCAAGTGACTTCGGGCTAGAAATCGGGTCATTGTAGCTGAAGCTATGCGACCAGCCTTCCCGAAAAGCTACCCAGATCCCGGTGACGATAATGAGGGTCCGCAGGCCATTGTCAAGCGTGATCACCTCCTGATCAAGCGGTGTGTCCATGTCAGACGCGTCACTGACTACCGACATGCCCGAGCTGGGCGTTGTTAGGCCCGGGCTGGAGCGAACGGTCTTGGGATATTCATCAAACACCTCTAGCTGGTTTTTGGTCATGGAGGCAATGACGGGATGGCGGCGCGTAGCCGGGTCGATGACGCTGAATGTGAACCGCTTGGCATCCTCTCGGGACTGTGATCCTACGGGCGTCGACACTCGACGGTTCTTGTTACCGCGCAAGGCCCAGCGCATGACCTGCAACCCGGCCTCGGTCTGGGCAACGAACTCGTATGACCCACTGGGCAACGGTGTCGCCTCCCAAACCGGCCCAAATGTCAGGCACATCTCCGCCTTGCCTTTGGATCGCGCGTCGCCCTGGAGTAACTGGCAGATCGTGGCCACCACATCCCGGTGGTCTTCACCTTCATCATCCGAACTCACGTGTTTCTCGGGGATGCCTGACATTGTCTGCTCATATAGTTCGCTCCTGACGATAATCAAGTCATTCGGGCCCAGACCATTCTTGCCACGGAACATGGCCGGGAACTTGCGAGCCAGAAGTGGTCGATAGAGGGTTGAGGGCAATATGTCCAAGATGGGCAAGGGTCGGGGAGTCTGCGACACCTGCTGGAGTTGCAGCAACAGCTTCGGGCGAATCCTCAACCGTTTGTGACGTGCATGAGCGGCGGGGTGGGCGAGTTGGTAGGATGTTTTGGGCCGCGTGGACGATTTGCGCGGAGCGGAGGAGTGACTGGTCCGAGGCCGAGCGAGCGGCGGTGGTGGTGCTGACTGTTCTTGCTCACCCTCGCTCGGCACCGATTCAATGGGACTCATTGCCATATTGGATGCCGGGGATATCCGATCATCGGAGGGTTTCCCGCGAGCCGAGAGGATGCCTCGTCCGAGGAAGGGCAGGGCGGAGAGCGAGAAGGTGGATGGATCTGGCGGACTGCTGATCAGCTCGTCCAGATGCGCAGCTGCGGCATCCGCGGTGAGTCCAAGATTCAAGAGCATTTCTTGGACTCGCGCAGAGCCAGCTGAACAGCCGCCCCAGAGGAAAGCAGACGGATCAGGCCGGGTACGGGCATCCAGAGCTGTCGTCAGTTGTGGCGAGGAGGGGGGTGACTCGTGAAGGGGAGTTGTAGTTGACCAAGTGTTGGCTAGACGGACGATTGTGATGAGGCTCTCGGCAAGTCAGCGCCATGCAAGGGGTGCAGAGAAAAACAGGAGCGCAGTGGGCGGTCGCCAAGGTTTTAGGAAGGAGAGAGAGGTACAAACACCAAGAGTATACAGGTCGGCCATCGGTCATTCCGGCTTCCGGTCGATCAATCAATCCGGCTTCCGTTCCCGTGAGAGGATCAACGTCATATTATGATCCTAGGCTGGTCTCCTCATCCAGAATGTGTATCGTCCCGGTGAAAAAAAGAGTGGGGAATGTCACGTTCCGCTGCAGGGATTTTTCTTGCTCTCGGGCTGATTATCTGAGTCAACAGAAAATATACTGATGGAGACATGGTTGCGAGGGGTGGAATCGGGCGGATAGAGGCACCGAGGCCCCACTGCAAACTCTAAGAGACTGATTCCGCTAGCTATAAACCGGACAGAGGTCGTGTGGATAGGGCTGACCGGGGCTGGTCTAGTAGCAGCCACTGAACTAATCCTGGATCGACGGTGGTTCCTCCTGCCAAAACAATCTGCATAACCCAATGAAGCTAGGTTGGTTAGTTACACAACATCCGCTGACTAATTATGCATCACCCAGCTGATCCACGCGCACCACCACCAGCTCCACGGCATACATCATTCGTTGGCGGACATTTTTATTCCCTCATTCCTTAATGGCCTCCGTCCAGCGCCCGGTGGCCATCTCGGCCAGGCTGCTGCGCCTAGACAACCCCATCCACAGCTTGACGGCCGCCTTCTGGCTCTGGAAGGCCGTGTTGATTGTCGTCATTGCGGCCTGCCCGGGTTTGGGCTATGATACCTCCACCTCTCTCATCTCCGACGAGCCGGGTGCTCCCACCGACATTGTCAGCTCACTGTCTGTGCCGTTGAAGTTTGCACGATGGGACTCCATCTATTTCCTGCATACAGCCGAGACGGGCTACGTCTTTGAACAGGAATGGGCCTTTGGCTACGGCTACTCCAAGATTCTCGCCCTTTTTATCTCAGGTACGGACTAGGATTGTTGACCTCGGCATAGCATATCATGCAGAATCTCACGAAACTTGTTGACAGGGGTGGAACGATCAGGCGGCGTCGGCGGACCAGCCAACATCGCCTTGGCAGGGGTGGCCCTCTCCCATGTCGCCCACTATCTTTCCGTGCTCGCCGTCTACGGTCTGACCGCCAATGTATTCGGGTGCACGACCATCTCCCAGAAGCTGATCTGCTTCTTGTCTGCGGCTCTGCACATCATCTGCCCAGGCGGGGCATTTCTCTCCGCCCCAAATCCAGAGTCGATCTTCTCCTTTCTCAACATCACTGGCTTCTACCTCTACTCATGTTCCCTCATCGCGGGGTATAACGGAAAGACCCTGTCGCGCGATTCGCTGTTGCTGACTTCCGCCGCCCTCTTCGCGGTGGCAACTACGGTTCGCAGTAACGGGATTCTTAGTGGTTTCCTCTTTGCGTACGATGCTGCTGTGCTGGTCTGGCGCACTTTCAGCCAGGGTCTGTCGCTGCACAACACGATTCGCCTCGGAATGGTCGTCCTCGGCGGCTGCATCGTAGCTTTGGGGACGATTGTCCCGCAATTTTTGGCCTGGCGAGTGTACTGTGCGTCGGCCACTGATCCTCGACCTTGGTGCGAGTGGACCGTGCCGAGCATCTCTGCCTGGGTCCAGGGTCATTACTGGTAAGTGGCTTCTGTCTGGTCTCCCGTGGGCATGACTGATCTCTGGGCTAGGAATGTCGGGTTTTTGAGATATTGGACGGTTTCGAACCTCCCACTGTTCCTGCTAGCAGCGCCTCTAATCGCACTCCTTTGCCGTTCTTCATTATGGGCAATGAGTGCATCCGAACACGCCCACTCTCCGGACCACCCCGGATCAATGCTCGTTCGGCTGAGCATCCCCCAGGGTCTACTGGCGGTGCTGGCACTGACGAGCTATCATGTGCAGATCATCAATCGGATCTCGTCCGGGTATCCCTTGTGGTATTGGTATCTGGTGTCGGGTGCCGTGAGCAGCCTTTCGAGACCGAAGGCAAACCACCGCGTACTCACCACCGCGGTTCAGGGCATGGTTGGGTATGGGTTGATTCAAGGTGTGCTATTTGGGTCCTTTCTTCCTCCAGCATGACCGCGTGTACAATACTGCGATTAGGCAGGCCGGCTTGCGTAAGGTTGTGTCTGCCTGTCTGCGCCGTGGCTGAGAACGATCACCGGGCCGTCTATGTAACTGTGCCACCTGCCGCTATAAAAGGAGCCGACTATGCTCTATCTATTATGATTCTTTTGACCCCTAGACAACCTCGTATCTGGTGGACGTGCTTCCGTATAACTATTTGGGGTGGTTGTTACGTGGAATTATGTCATCCACTCTAGCTGCGCCCGGTCGAATCTGAGCTTCTTTCCTGCCCAACCGAAACAAGCAGCCAAATCCTCACTTTGTGTCCGCGCTGATTCGCACCCTGTCTGATTCAGTGCAGCTTGAATTTGCTGTCGTTCCTCCTGATCTGACGACTGCGCCAGCGCCCCGTGCGAGAGGCTGCACACCCTCCGACCTCAACCTCCGCCCGCTTCAGCTAGTTCACGCCCTTCTGAATTTCGTGACTGACGGTACGCCTTCCCTGGGATTCGGTGACTGCCGTCATCTCGCCTCCAGACGCATTGCGCGTGGGTATATTCTATCTCTGTGGCTGACACCTCGATCCCCAGAGCTCGTCTGACGTCTGCGGCTACTCCTCCTCCGCCCCCATCTTACCTCGTGTCGCTCGACGACCTCTCTCCCTTCCCACCTCCCACGCTCGATGATGGACGCCTCAGCCCCCAAGGCTATTCTCACTTCCGATAATTTTCATCATGGGCAGGAGATTTCGCGGGCCACGTCGCCAGGGGGTGAGCCCGTGGGGATCAACGGCGAGGGCGAGCCCAAGGCCCGCGTGCGACCGCGTACCTACCCATACTTCCAATACCTCCCATATCAGCTCGAAGACGAGCCAGCACGCCAACGGAATCTCCGAGAGATCCTGAACCAGCTCTACATTGCCGTTGAGGCTGGGGATTTCAGCCCCGGGGCCGTGCACTGGACACGCGAGCTGCGAGGATGGCTCTCTCTCAAGTTCGATCCCACTCGCAAGGAGCGCATTCACCTCGTGAAGCTCTACTACGAGCTGTCTCTGGCTCCCGGGATTGATCCTAGTGTTGCCGAGCGATTCGCGAGCATGTTCATGCTGCTCACCAAGTCAGTCAAGTCGGTCGTCGCAGGTATGACGTTGGATGCTAACCGTGGTACAGGCGCAAGCACTACTTGAAACCCATCAAAGACCTGGTGTTGGATTGGCGGCCTCTCTACAAAGAGTTGAAGGCGTTTGTTCTTCCGACTGAGTCCGGCCTGGTCCATTCGACCAACTTAAAACGGAATGTCAAGACCCTAACGAAGCTCTGCGCGTTTGCTCAGTTGTTCATTGACCCATGCGAGCTTCCTGCTATGTTGGAAGAATTCCTTCCGCACTACACAACGTCCTTTTCTGAGGGTGCCTTCGTTGTCGTGGGCTTGATTAACTTGATGCTTCCGACCTCACCGCCGCCCCCGGAGAGAGAAGACCTACTACCGCACCATTACCTGCCCACACACTTCCACTTGTGGTCATTGGTCGGCCGTTCGAAGACATTCGACACGACATACCTCGACTACTTCTCTCGGCTCGCTCGGGATTCTCTGACGGCAGGGCACATCCCGTTCTCCGAACATGGCGTTTTCTCAAAGGAGCAGTCGTCTCTCATCTTCACTGCCATTCTACGGCTTCTGGAGATTCCTGTGGGGCAGTCCACTTCGCCATATAGCGCCCTAGTAGATATTTCTTCGGGCCTGGGAGTCATGCTGGACCGTGATTCACGGAAACACCCCGTTGCTCACCACATTGCGCGATGGATAGTGATGTCGCTCTCTCCCGCCTGCGTGGAATCAACCGACTCCATTCTGGTGCGTCTCGAGGGCTTAATTCAGGCTGTCGAGACTTTCTTCCACCCATCCAACTCAGGAAGCTGGACTAAGACCCTGTCGCAACTGGCGTATTATCTCACCGACTTCTTCGTCATGCGTTGGAACCGTGAGCAGAGCGGAGAGATGGAAGTCCCGCCCGAGCGACGATTGACCGAGCCTCTGAAGCGTCGCTTCGTGCTTTGTCTGCGGGATGTCATCTTTATGGGTATCTACTCCAAGAGTAGCACTGCCATGACCTTCTCTCTGTCAACTTTACAGGGTCTGGCTTACCTGGAGCCCCATCTTATCCTGCCCGGAGCACTGCAGAGAATTTATCCTGCTTTGCAGGGTCTGGTGGAAGTTCACCGCACGGCCTCATCTCTTCGAGCCATGCAAGTGCTATCCCGTGTCATTACCCGAACGAAGGGCTATCGGTGCCACATGACCACTCTGCTTGGTCTCGCACTACCAGGGATCGATGCTAATGATCTGGATAAATCCTTACACGCTTTGTCATTTATCCAGTCCGCCTGTTACAACATCCCCATGGTGGATATGACCAAAGGAAGAGATGACATCAACTGTAACATGCTAGCTCTGCAATGGATCTCGGGCGAAATGGAGAGAATGGAGGAGCAGGGAGCGGGCATTGAGCTAAATTATGACACGGAGCTGGATGACGAAACGGAAGAGATGATCCTACGCTCCTCGACCTGTGGCTTCGGAGACTTCACCATCTCCTTTCTCGGTCGTGTCTTTACCCTTTTGGAGAACCTGCCAGATGTCACCAGGGTGCGCAACGGGTCTCCCGAGGAGAATATCGTGAACACTCTGCCTGCGACCTTCATGCCCCTCCTTTCTTCTCTCTCGCCAGAGTACTACGACATTGCTCTGTCCAAGATTCTCGACTTTGTTTCCAATCATGTCATCCACCAAGCTCGCGATGCCATGGCCTTCATCTGCAATGCATTGTGCAAAGTCAATCCCGAACAGGCTCTCAAGCGTTTCATTCCAGTCCTGACCCAAGCCATCCGCACCGAAATCGAAGACAATGGTGCTGGGTCGACCAGAACAACGGGAACGGACGTTTTGCCCCGAGATCGCGGTTTGGTCTGGAACGTCAGCATGCTGAGCATGTGTGTTGTGCACGTTGGCGACGCTGTGCTTGCCCATCGCCAGGAGCTGTTCGACATTGCCATCTATATGCAGCAGAAATGCCGTGGCATCCCGACTGTTCACATCTCCAACTTCATTCACCACCTCCTTCTCAACCTTACGGGAACGTACACCAACGACTACGCTCTCTACGAGCCTGAGGTCATCGCGAATGGTATTGGACCCGAGCACTGGAGCTACCGGCCGGACGTGCGTAACTTGAATATCAAGTGGCATGTACCGAAGCGTGAGGAATTGGACTTTGCAGTAGATGTCTTCAAGAGCCAGGCTGAGACAGCTTTGTCGCAGCTATCGGCTTTGACCAATGAAACTTCTAGTGTCAAACGCGACGGTAGCGGGAAGGACTGGTCAGATGAAGTCACCAGGAATCTCGTCCTTTTGCGGCTTCTGCTTTCTGGCGTCTCGGTCCTTTTCGACCCCAAAGCCGCTTCAACTACAACCAAAGAGATATCGAATGGTGCCTCGACTGTATCCAGTGAATTTGAGATGGTGGATGATCCAGCTCTCTCTAATGGTGTTGGCGATGACGATCCGGATGCCACTCTTGACACCTCGGATGAGTCGACGATCAGAGAGACATTCACCTATCCAACTGGCTATTCCCTACAGGCAGGAGATTCGTTATACACGACCATCCATGAGATCCGGGAGCGAACCGGCACGATTCTACATGACGTCCACCGCTTTTTGGCGGACAAGCAGGAAGATGACGTGACCTGCTTTGGGGCTTTGTACTCTGCCTTCCGGTCTTGGTTCGTCGATGTGGGAATCGAAAGATCTGCCCATGTCTTGGACAGAGTCACGCGTCTCCTGGCGGCCGATATCCACCCGTACAAGATGAGTGGCATTCGTAAGGATTACCCTCGAGCATTACTGGTGCGCCGAGCCAACGTGTATCATCTGCAACGTCTTCGGCACAATGCCGCGCCGCGAGCTCGGTCCAAACTCGACGAGATTCTTCTTCTTGATCTTGCCGAGTCCTGCGTCTCCCTCTACACCGAGACCCGCCGGAACGCTCAAAACGCCGGCGAGTCCGCGCTCAAGGCGATCTGGGGCTCGCGACTTCTCATCATCCCACCTCTTATGCGAGCGTTGCAGAAGGGTGTCAAAGAGAATGACCATGCCCGGATCAAGGGCGCACTGTTTTCGCTTCTTTTAAGCAGCGTTGCAAAGACTGTTGGGCGACATTGGAAGTTTACTCCGACGCTCATCAAGACTTTCATCGATGCCAGCGCTGTTGACAAGCCTTCCGTTCAGAAGATTTGTTCGGGCGCCGTCTTCCAGGTGATGGACTATGGTCGCGCCATGGAACGGATGGCCATCTTGGATCAAGGCATCGTGGAGGCGATTGCTCCAAGTGAAGACGTCAGCGAGGAGATCGAGAAGAAGAGGACTGCCATCAACAAGAAGCGCGTTGCGATTGAGAAAAAGAAGGCTGATCTGGCCGAGGAGTTGGTGAACTTGGCTCGGGTATCGCACTGGAAGATTGCCAGTCGTGCTGCAACAATTGTGATCACTATGGGTCTTCGGTTCGATTACGTTGCCAGTGCGAACCTCATCGAGCTGGTGACCCAGGGGTCTATTGATGACCACCCGGGCTTGCGTGGCATGTACTCCCAGGCTCTGATTGCCCTGTTTACGATGATCGATGTCCGCGCCATCTGCACCCACGATTACAAGAACTACATCCTCGGTCACCAGCGGTTCCCGTCCAAGATCAAGGTGGCAACCAAGGCGTTTGAGAAGGGATGGACTGAGAATTACCTGGCCAGCTTCGCCAAACCCGAAGCCGAGTACTACATCGACCATGATTTCCCCGGGTGGCTCGTGTGGGGTAAGACAATGCCTGCCTACAAGTCCAACGTGGAGCGTGACATCGAGTATGATGATGTGGAGTGGAATGTGCGCGTCCAGATGGGCAAACTGTTCACCCGGGAATGGTTCTCCAAGTTTTTCATGTATCTGAAGCAAGAGCCGCGTGATCCCTCCGCGGACAAGTTCCGCATGTCTTGCGCCATGATGCTTCTCTACGCTTTTGAGCTTATGCTGCGCGATGGACTCACGGTCGCTTCGTTTAAGGACATTCAGGAAGAAATCCAAAGTGTCTATGAAGATGGAAGCGACAAACACCAGCATCGCGCTACAGCCGAGATTCTGGGTGCCTTGATCAGCTCTGTGACCGACACGAACGTGGAGAAGCGGACGCTAGTGTGGGAGTATGCGTTCCCCATTGTCAGGAAAGTCTTCAGCGACGGTCTCACTCCTGAAAACTCCGGATACTGGACAACTTTCCTCCACATGATCTTGCAGTGCCGCGATCCGCGACGTGCCTGGCCCTTGGTGGACTGGCTGGCCAGCTTCCGCCTGGATATGACGACCAACGCAGCTTTCAAGGAGAGCTCGAAGATCAACTTGCTTCATCAGTGTATCATCGATGCTGGCTGGCATTTCCAACTGGAGAAGCCGATTGTGGATGACTTCCTGGCGCATCTGGATCACCCTTACAAGGGAGTGCGGGAGGCGATGGGTCAGACTCTGGCCACTATCTACCGCACTAGATATCACGAGTCGTACCCTGACTTGCAGCATCTCATCGATGCCCAAAAGTCGTCTTCGTCGGTCGGCATGTTCCCTTACTCTCCGTCTAGCGAGTTTTCGCAGATGATCCGTGGTGTCTTCGACCGGATCGAGAAATGGCGACAATCGCGGACCCCTGGTCTCCAGACACCGTCCTCCTATACTTCCGGCAGCAAAACCGTTCTTCTCTGGCTGGATTCAACTCTATCCTCTCACGAATGCACGCAGCTCGTGCCGTTCTTCCCCGAGGTCTTCACCGCGCAGCTCTTGCACATGATGGACGTTAAGGAAGACCCGGAGCTTCAGTCCCTCGCATACCACGTCTTCCGGCACCTCCCCAACATCCCCTACCCCGCCGAAAAGGAATCCCAATTTATTCAGACCCTCATCCACATCGGCCAGACCTCTCCGTCGTGGCACCAGCGCCTGCGCGTCATGATCAACATCCAAATCATCTACTTCCGCCGTCTCTTCCTCCTGGACTCTGGTGACCGCGACAAGCTCTTCGAATGCATCGCCTCCATGCTCGAGGATCCCCAGCACGAAGTCCGCGCCGGCGCCTCAGCCACCCTTTCCGGCATGGTCCGCTGCTCACCTGTCTTCTTGCGCGACACCAACGTCCGCCGATTCCTGGAGCGCTTCACAAAGGTGCTGGCCGATAACCCGCTCCCCAAGAAACCCAAGAACTTCCGCTCTGGTATTTCGTCTGCTGCCTCGTCGGGCGCCGGCACCCCGACGCCAGAGCACAATCGTCTGATTATCGCTCGCCACGGCGCGGTGCTCGGTCTGGGCGCTCTGATCCAGGCGTTCCCCTATAACAGCCCACCGCCGCAGTGGATGCCCGAGGCTCTGACGACGCTGAGTATTCGCGCGGCAAATGATCCCGGTGTTGTGGGATCTAGTGTCAAGTCGATTATCAGTGAGTTTAAGAAGACAAGGCAGGATACTTGGCACATTGATTGCAAGGTAGGCAGTCCCATTCATTTCTACTCCGGTGAAAACAAAGCATATACTAACGAATGCGCTATAATTAGGCATTCACGTCTGATCAACTGGAAGATCTCTCGGGTGTCCTCTGGAAGAGCTACTTCGCTTAGAAAGAGCTCTACCTCTACTTCCAAGTCCGGTGTTTTGTTTTCTTATCCAAGCTACGGTGCAATGCAATGTAGTCTTAGGGGAGTGCATGTCTAGATGATGGCTGCTGGGTGATGGTGGCATGCGCCGGTGTTTGTGATGTCTGCGCTCATTCGTGGACTTGATTCGGTGAGTCTACTCTATTAGTATACGTCGAAGTACCCGACACATCATCGTGTTCTCTTTGATTACTGGATACTTCCTTTGTCTCGCCTCTTCCCTCCTTTTCTTTTTGTTCTGCATGTTTGTGTTGTACATAACTACCAGGAGGTTGGCTGTAGGAGGTTGGCTGTTCCCAAAATAGTATTATCTTATCGTTTTGTGTCGCGTGGATTTTCTGGTGTCTGATATTCCGCGTTGGGTGTAGTGAGTTTTGTTTTTGGGTGTTGGAGTAGATGGATGAGCTATGGTTATTATTCGAGGTTTTTTGCTTAGGTGCCAACTTGGGTGTGGAACTTGTGTAGGTCGTAGGATACGGTGTTCAGCTCTAACTACCGAGCAAGATATATATTCAGTGTCCGATTTGGGATAGTAGACCATCCGGTCACAGTATAGATATTCATGTTTGCCAGAGCACTCAGGCGAGTAGTAACTGGCCGCTAACCCTCAAAACACTACATATATGCACAGGGAGTAAATCCGCCAGTTCCAGCAAAACGACCCCTTGTACAACCTGGGAATCTGCGGACAAAGCCAAACCATACATCTGGACGGGAACTTGCACAAGACAAGTGACGATAGAGTCAAACCTGAAGAAAAACCAAAACGGGTGTCACTCTTTATGCATCACACAGGCTGAATAGAAAAGACTCCCAAGTGACCTTTCTAGTCCTCAATTGATTGAGGTCTTGCTATTGTTCGGTGCTACAGTCAAAGACGGGTTGCGGGGACGGAACGGACGGGTTGCTACCAGAGAGGGCTGGCCAGGAAATGGTGAAATTAAAGTATTACTTTAACACTTTCTTTCTTTGCTTGCTTATCTGTGCTTTCTTGATTCAGTTGACCTGCCGATTACTTTCTCCTTACCATGAATGTCTACCTTCGCACTTGGTCCAGCTAGTTAGTCCGCTACAATGGTCTTGGCAATACGACGTCGGGCACCGGTCGTGTTCACTACTAGAAGGACCAGATGGCCGTGGTCGCGGAAATTCACACGGCTGCACTGTTTCGGCTATCTTGTCTTCGTGGTAACTGTCATCAAGGCCTTTTCGTACTTCAAGGCGCATCCTGATCTCAGCCTGGGAGCCATCCATGCCGCTCCTACTCATCGACGTGCGATTCTGCGGCCTGGACAGTACAGAGAAGTGACAGATTACCGTGCTGTTTTCGGCGCTGAGGATTTGGTTGAGGATACTAATATGTCTTGGACGGATGATATGGGCCGCGTGCATGACAGACGGTATGTTCATGCTACTTCAAACATATATATTAACAAACCTCCATTCTAATATGCGACATCTTTTTCAGAAACATCCAATTCTACCTCGGCGGCACACTGACACTCAGCAGCACCCATCCCTCAGACTCCTCTCATCCCATCCCGCTCATCTACGACCCATACCCAAACTACAACGGCCGCTTCCAGCCCTGTCTCGGTCCACGAGGGCGCAATTTAGACCGTTCGTCACCAGAAGATATGGTGCAGGTCTACAAAGGAAAACAGGCTGCATTCCCTGCTCCTCTATTTGGATCGTATGAGGCCATGAGTCTCGATGGGGACGTGTGCACAGATCGATACTCCCGTCTCGGGGCATATGGCTACGGCGCGGACAGCAACGAAGATGTCCCGGGCTTTCAGCGGCCCTCTCCAGTGGCGTGGGATGATGTGGACTGGAGCAAGCTACAAGATCTTTGCTTCGATCGGAATGTTAATAGGTACAAACCTAGCAGCACAGTGGACATGTCGATTCAACATCCGCTTTCGATGCAATCACGACTGTTGGACCCTCGCAGAGCACCACAGCTGGATCCTCCTCCTCCTACTACGAAATTCAGGCAATATCATCCCCGCTCGGCGGTGTTGATAAGAGCGTGGCATGACATGAAATGGACGGCAAGTCATCGTGAATATCTCCGTGCTCTAATAATGGAACTGGCTTTGCACTCTGGCGCCGAGTATGAGGTCTTTCTGCTGGTCCATGTCAGGGACGATGCACTCCCGATCTTCTCGGACACGAAGACAATTGAGCAGCTGAAGAAGTCTATGCCGGCAGAGTTTCGCAACATGGCTGTATTCTTCAACACGAAATTGTTGGAGGCATGGTATCCCAAAATCCCAGAGCACAGGTACGAACCCTGTCTCTCCTATCTATACCGATAGTTGAAGCTAACGTTGACATACTCCAGTCCCATGCTCCAACACCACCAGCCCATACAGATCTTCTCGCAGCTCTATCCAAACTTCGACTACTACTGGCAATTGGAATTGGACAGCCGCCTCACAGGGCATAGCTACCACTTCCTCGAACGAGCCGCCCGTTTTGCCGAACAACAACCACGCAAGTACCTCTGGGAGCGCAATGCCTACTTTTACACACCAGGCGCGCACGGCCCATGGGCAGACTTCAGCCAAATGGTCCACGGCAGCCTGGCACCACCCTCCCAATCGACCACCACAATCTGGGGCCCAGTCAGCGGCACGGGAATCCGTCCCCTAGGCCCCGAACCACCATCCCCGCACGCAGAGAACGACAGCTACACCTGGGGCGTCGGCGAGGAAGCCGATCTAATCACCTTCCTCCCGATCTTCAATCCGCAAAACACAACCTGGACATTCCCAAACCACATTTGGAATTTCCGACACGGACCCGACACACCCCGCCGCGCAGCCGTCATCACCATGGGCCGGTACTCGAAGCGTCTCCTAGATCTAGTGCACGAGGCACAAGCCACGCGCGGCCTGGGTCTGGCGTCTGAGATGACGGGCCCTTCCTGGGCTTTGTTTCACGGCCTCAAGGCTGTGCATGTGCCTCACCCCGTCTACGCCGATGGCCTTTGGACACCAGCTGAACTGGCAGCGATCTATAACCGTGGTCCGCCGTATAATATCAACGGCGCGGAGGATAGTATCTGGAATTGGGACCATCGATTTGATCATATTATGTATCGGCTCTCGTACATGTTCACCACGCATACCGGGGAGGATTTGTATAGGAGGTGGCTTGGGTATCGAACGGCGGAGAATGAGGGCGGGAAGATGGTACGTTTTAGATCTTATCTCTGGTTGGTTTCGGTTGGGTAGCATACGACCAGATGTATACTTTGGAACTCGCTGACGCAGACCTAAAAATAGTCTTCGGAGGTTCGCTATGGACGGCATTGTTTTCCGTCCATGTTTTTGCATCCTATTAAGAATACGATGCAACGACCGGGACCTGACAAGGCTGTTCCGTGATCCTGCCTGCAACATCGACATGAATCTTCCAGGTGGAGGTATTTGTAATGAACTGCTTGGTTCTGGTGTTTATTAGGAGTTATGGGCTTGAGAGGTACGTATTCCGGCGTGTGCACCGCAGATACAGAAGGATCGGATCTAGCAAGCGCTGAGTATCATGGTCATAATTGTCAGGGCATGAGACCCAAAATCGCTTCTGCTAGTTCGAAGCATCTACTCTGAGACTACCGAGGGAATCCAATTTACAGGTCTTATCGTTTGAGTATGAATAGAACGGTGACATTAATACTGATCGCTGTGTACATAAATGAACAAGAGACAAAAAGGGAAAAAAAAGGCCAGGTCAATGCTCAGAAACAATATAAGGAGACAGGAAAACGTATGTACTTGAACAAGACAAAAGGGCAGACCCAGTCGGTCTATTCGCTTGCGTTTTCATAATATCGTGAACTTTCGAATCCTCCTCTATCCTCGATTGGAATTATACTTCTCATTGAAGGCATTGACCGCTATGAACCAAATATTAGCTTCTTCATCATCAACAATGACAAGAAAAGAGAAGGCAGCACTCACCAATAGCAATCTGCTTATACAGCCAGTTTCGGGCACTCTCCTCCTGAACAGGAATAAAGGGCCCATTCGCGCCACCCTTGAGCGTAATACTCATGCCGGTGCGTTCCTTGGAGATAGTTTGGATATCGGTAAGCCGGATGTCCCACTCAGTGTCAAGCTTCTTCGCGCGCACAAGCATGATGCGCGCGTACGTCAACAGAACCAGCATGTCGCGACCCGGTAGTTCCAGGTGGGCGATGTAATCCTCGTTGAAGTACTTGCCGTCGTCCGTGGTCTTGAGCCAGAACTGGCCGAGGGCTTCGCGCTGGGAATACGGGCGGACGATACCGTCCATGCCGATGAAGCGGGTCAGTCGGACGCGGTCGAGGCCTTCTGCGTCGAAGACGGTGGTGGTGTTTCGGACGCCTTCTGCGAGATCTGTGTGGGGCGAGTCGTGTTAGTAGATGTGAGTGAAGGGTTGCTTCAAAATAAACTCACTGGAGGCTAGATCAAAGGCACCAATGGCTGGCTTGGTAGCCAGTCCCAAAACACCCTTTCCAACACCTTTGAAAAATCCCAGGGCACCTTCCTTCTCTGCACCTTGCAATGGATGGCGGGCCAACCCACCAATTCCACTAGCTAAGCTAGTCGCGAAGGCATTACCGCCAGCTGTGATGCCATACAATGCGTGCTTGGGGCGATTGCGAGACTTGGACATCCGTCGCTGGTTTTGGAACTCCTTGTCCAGAGTCGCGGCCGCCAGACCCTTAGACATGCTTCCAGTAAGCTTCGCCATACTGTCCGAGAATCCGAAGACGGATTTCTTGACGAAGAAGGTGGCTCCTTTTGCAATTCCGTAGCCGAGCTCTTGAGGTCGGTCGGTCATGACCATGCCTTGGTAGGGCTCGTAGAAGATGGCGGCCACACCGGAGCTGACGTTGTTGAACAGACCGACGGGATTACCCAAGAAATCAGCCGAGCCAACGATGATATGGACTTGACGCACAAACTCCTGTGTGTAATGCGCGCGAACGTTGCTGACCAAGCGCCCAAAGGAGACGCGGGCATTTTCCAGCATCAGAGCATTGAGTCGGATAGGCGCGTCGTTGACATTACCCATCGACATGGTCATGATATTGATGAAGAACATCAGCGGGTTGGACGGCTGGATCGTATCCTCCACATTGACACGCTCAGTTCGCATGAAAGAGATATCTAACTGCATGGGCTGCAAGTGAAGAAGCTCAAAGTAGACATCCTGGCCGGCGTCTTCCTGTTGTGGTTCTGGAATATTCAGATCCTCTTCGCACAGTTCGCCCTCCTCCTGCTCCTCAGTCCACGAAGCACCAGGGATCTTGACAAAGTCCAACATGGCCATGACAAAGTCCTCGTCCAGCTCAAGGGTCATCTGCTGCAGAAGCAGTGTGGCATACTTGATGTAAAGCACACCATAGGAGTCGTCTTTGACCCTAGTCACCATCGTGTGGAAGATCGGGTGCGCCTCCATCTCCTTTCCGGTCTTGGGAACCACACTGGGGTACAGCAGAATTGGGAAAATGCCGCCATATAATTGATTGTCGATCTGGATCCACTTGATCGTCGTGTTCAGAGTCTGGTACAGCCTCGACTCCCTGTACTTGATCTCGATTTCGCGGAACGTGAGGTAAACCAGCTCCCGCAGGTTCTGGTTGATCAAGGAAATACCAATGCCGCCCAGACGAAGCTGAGCCTTGAAGTTCACTTCCGAACTCATTTCTTTGACTTCAAACCCAGCAGTGCTTGAGCTGGCCTGAGACGACTGGGCCTTCTGCTGCTTGTAGATACTCTTGGAAGGCTTGAAGTTCGACAACATGAGGGTCTGAGTGGGCCCATCGGCCACAATGCTGATGTCGATGATCTTCTGGTATCCGCCTTGCTGTGAAGGTGGAACGCGCATTGGAATCAGATTCCCAATCTCAGAAAGCCTAATATGGCGCTCCTTCCCATTGCAGGTCAAGACGAGAGACCTGTTCTTGGACGCGGGATAATCCCAAGAATAAGGCATGATACTCCGCGGCGGCAAACGATACCTGATCGGCCGCCAGCCACTTGTTCTGTCGTCTTCATCTTCTTCGACATTTGGATTCTAAAAGGCAAACCGAATTAGCTTTGGAAAAAGAGCAGTTTTCATAAATCCTCACTCACCGCTTGGTAGAAGAGGAACTCCATGTCACTTTCATTGCGCATCGAGTACGGCCAGTTCCGCGTCTCGAGACTAAAGTGAAGGAAGAGTGTCGCGCCCTCCATGATGACATCCACCTTAATCAACCGCTGTCGCTGATTTGCCTTAGCCAGCTTCACATGCACGGTTCCGACATCCGCAATATTGAACGGGGATGACCACTGATTATTGACACCGGGGAAACAGAGGCAGAGCTGTTTTTCGGCAACTTGTCGCAAGAAGTGCAATGGGATCAAGTCACCGCTCTTGATCTGGAGAACATTCGACGAACCAGGCTCGCGCACCTGAAGATCTTCGCTAAGCTTGTTCTTCAAAATGAACCGCGGCGTGATGGTCACCACCTTCGTCATCTTGTATTTGCCTTCGCCTTTGCCAACGGAGACTCCGGAGTGAAATTCACATCTGCCCGTCCGGTCGGGGAAGATCACTTCAAAGGTGCTGCCGATGGCCTCGAAACTCTGGGGCTTACTCCATGCAGAGTCCCCGACCTTCAGGATAGATCGGTTTCGCTGGTCATCCGTGGAGTAAGAGTACATGTACGGCAGCGCACGGCCTCCGTCTCTCGGGTCGACTCTGAGTCCCTGGCCAGCAGCATTTCGCGCAGACTGGAGGAAGGCTTTGCTTTGAATGTCCATGGGGAGACCGGTTTTGTTCAAAATGAGGTACGGGCTGTAGACAGAGACCTTGAAGGCGCCTCCACTATTGGGGATGTTGAAATAGTGCATGTTCAGCTTCAACTGCAGACCGCGTTCATCCTTTAGGCAAAGGGTGTGCTCCCTGCGATAGTCCTGAGCATTCCCGTTGATGATGCCAAATTCGCTCTGGCGGAAGACCGTGTCCTCCAGGTCGATGCTCAGCAGGAGCAAGTGAGACAGCTCCACGACGTGAACGGGACTCACACCTCCCTTTCGCAAGAAGTTGGTCCAGTCCTTTTTGGTGTTCTTGTCATAAATGCGGTATTTGAAGTCATAAGGCAGTAGGTTCTCAATTTCCACTGGCGCAAAAATGCGGACGCGCATGTAGGGGTACGTGCTTGTGAGCGAGTCCTTCGACTCGTAAGTTGCGTTGACCTGGAAATAGAAAGGCGGCGACTGCTGTCCATTTTCGCTGACACACTTGACCGTTCGCGTTGGCCGGCGCAAAAGCTCCTTCCAGAACAGCTGCTCGTTTGACCAGTCATACCCGAAGCCCTGATCAGGTCGGATAACAACCGAATGGAGAAATGCCGACCCGACGGGGGCGGGGCGAGCATCGCCTGGGAGAATCTTCTCGATCTTCAACAAGTTGCCTTCATTAGGGCTGACGACACCCAGTTCAACTGGAATTTGTGTGTTGTTCTCAATGAGGAACGGGGACCGGAAGGTGATATACTTGACATTGTTGGCTCCCAGTGTGACCTCCACAAGCAATCGGTGCAGGATACCATCTTGCTTGGGCTTCAACCCGTAGATGACCTCCCCTTCTCGCACCACAGGAATCCGGGCGATGCTGTCAAACCCGCTTCCTTCTAGCTTCACACCCACCACACCGCCATGGCCTTCGGGCGTAAGAGTCTCTCGAACAGCGGTGGAATCCTCAAAACGCCAGGGCGCTTCTTCTCCATCACTGAGCTTTGCAGCAGGACCGTCCTCCCCAGCGCTGACATCAGCCCAAACTCTAAGATCGAACCCAGTGTAGTTGCGGATCCGATACGGAGCATCAGCGCCTCTTGGCTTAGAGAGGACATCTTCGTCCGTAGAGAGGAACTGGAAGGATTTGGATGCAAGAGCAATCGTGGCAGAAGTGACCGTGAGCTCCATATTCTTGTGGGAGTACGCGTCAATGGAAAGAACATCTGGGTTGATCTCCTTGGCCATATGGAATCCCAGTTGCCACGGCTCGATCAATGGCTCCCATGCCGACTTCGAGAAGTTGTAGACATTCAAATAGGTGTCGAAATTCGTGTCTGCATTCAGCGTAGAGGACCAGTCCCGTACATTCACGGTGAATCCCTTGACACTCCAGTCGAGCAGAGGCAAGTCGTGCAAGTCTCCAATAAGAATCACACGGAGGCCATCGATCTTGGCAGATAATTCTTCGCGTTTCAGGACTGCCGAGGTCTGCGGTACAACACCCTTGTCAAGGGTCTCGACCGTCTGGCTCACGCGGCGCCGAGTGCGGGTTGCTATAGTCGAGGACGTCTTGCTCGCCGATCGCGCCCTCGTGCCCTTTCCGTCAGTAATCTTCT